TTCTACTTCCTCATATTAACTGAATGAAAATGATCATAGTCAAGACCGAACTAGAACGTTCGGGTTTGTTATAGACTTAATCTGTCTTGATTGTAGGATGCATCATACTATGTATGGAAAGCTTTTTTTTTCCCATTTCAAAACGATCGTAAAGGCCGGTGCAATTATAATTTTCTTTTTTCGAATGTAATTTACATACAAGTCATGAAATAAAAGAGAAAATTAAGATCGTTCTGAAATAGCACAAAAAGAACTTGTGAAACTGATTTTTCAGAAATCCGCTCTAGAATGTTCTAACAGCAGCTAACATGATGATATTTTTTGGAATTAGCATATATTTATTGTCGGCGCCAGAATTAAATAGGGGTGGGTATAAGCTCAATAACTCGACAACCGCAATAGCTAGCGACCTGCGGTTTTCGTCAATCGAAAGAGGAGGAGTTGGGACGCCTTTTTCTCNATCGTAGCTTTCTAACAAAACATCGCCTGAAAAAGGTCTCAAAATGCACAAAAAACTGCATGCAGAAAGCAAATTGCCTAGATATGTCTCAGTTGATAAAAAACAAAGTGAATATACCTTTTCACTTTTTGAAGTACACATAACACTCGGATTTAAATCCGATGTTTTCGCATTTATTTTGACTTGAAGAGATTATTAACCAATAGATCTTCAAATTTACTAATCATGTGATCCTACATATAGCTGTTTGTTTTTTAAGAATTCTTTCATCAAAGAGTTTTGTAACAGATATGGTAGGATCTCATGAATGGAGAATTTAATGGTTTTTCGATTGATACTCTCTCTCCAAGTCGAACGATTCACTGGATCTTATTTTATTAATACTGATTTCATTTAAAAATCTCTCAAAACCAAAAAAAAATGTTAAAAAGAGTCATCTTCAGTTTCTAGCTGTTGAAGCTAAGGTGATCCAACCGTGCCGCCACCGAATCATGCACCAGCTTCTCACTCTATTGCTGCATATACACATATCGTTTTCTCTCATTTAATAAGAATAGTATTTTTGATAGGTGTCGAAATCTTATCTTATTAATTTTTATTAATATCTAATTAACATAAAAAATGATTCTCTTACTTCAATTCGTTTTTCTTCAAGATCTTGACTTAAAGTAGCAAGTTGTGGATTAATATTATTAGCTCGTTCAACAAGATTATCAATAGTTGTTTTTTCTTTTTCAACACCTGAATGTAATGTCTATAAACAAAAAGAAACAAAAAATGAAAATTTAATTTTTTGATTTCTTCAATATACTTTTATTTGTTCAACATTAGCTCGAAGTTCATTGAGATTTTCAGTTAAATAAACATATTGATTTAATTGATCATGTAATGATGTTAAACGATTAGCAACATCATGCATATCCACAATAATTCGATTATCATCATTCTACAACAAAAGAATCAATTCGTTTCGTTCTTTTTCCTTTTTTTAAACGAGAATTATTTCATTAAATTTAACAAAACATGCATAAAACAAGCAGCATTAATTAGTTCATAGAATGAATTTTAAAAAAATTCCATGACTTTTTTTTTTGTTGTATTTTACGTAAAATTTTTATTATTGTAATAATAATCTGAGCGAAATAAATATTTTTTGTTTTATTAAACAGATTTAATTTAAAAAAAAAAGGCTTTTATCTTTAATGTACGTACGGCTTAAATGGTCTATTTTTGTTATTTTAATTGTTAGTAGTCTGTTCAGAGTTTTTTTTTTCTTTAATTAAATTTAACAAATAAAAAATAAAATTTTACCTGATTTGATTGTACATTATCTTGAATTTTTAATGAATCATCATTAATTTCTTCTTGTTTTCTTTCTAAAACAGTATCAAAACTAGATTCATTTGTAGTTGACGAATGTAATAAATCTTCGTCATCATCACTAATATTTTCAATTTTTGATGATAATGGTTCAGTAGAAACTTGTGTATTTGGTTGAACATAATATGACTTTTCTGATTTATTTTCAACAAGTTCATTTGGTTTCTCACTATCATTATTATTTAATGTTGATGGTGATTCCTGAAATATTAAAGGTATCATTTAGAATTTTATAAGACAATGTATATAAATGCTGAGAGTTGTGCCAATAGGAGCTATAAGTTACTAATATGAAAATACAGCATGCCACACTTTAAGCTAGAATAATCAGCTAAACGTACATATACACACACACACATACACATGCAGATGACTTTGCGTGAGTTGTGATTTTTTTACATAAAAACAAATGTAGAGACAAGAAGAATAGAGATTTATAATGAATTTCAATTAATCGAAATAGGTTTTTTTTTTTTTTGTTTTATAGAAAATGACTGTTCCTGAAGGTGGATATATTACTATTGATATTATTATCTATCATAATATAATTTGATGATAAATTTTTATCATATATAAATTCATTTTGAAATCAAAAATAACTCAAATTACAATAAAATTTTATACTGAATATGTTCGAAAAACTCAAAAACGTTTTGTCATCAAATTGATCATTATCTGACTCTCTAGTAGAGTCCGTCGGGTTGGTATCGGATTTGATCGAGTCCGATAGACTCTAGTCTTCTGAGAAATGCGTAGGATGTGTTAGTCACCGAAATCAAACGTTAAGGGGACTATCCAATTCCGATTAGAAAATTTTATGAAGGATCTCAAAATACATTTCGATCGAGTTTGGGTTCAAAAATTTAGTATCCGACGGGTTCTATTATTTGCCCTTCGTAAAAATCTATATAAAAAAAAGAAACTAATATACCCTAAAGAAATTTTTCAATAACTCTACCTAAAAACTTTCCCCTTTTCATTCCTACCTTCTTAATTTTAGTATTCTAAAAAATGAAATATATTTTTATTCTATGAAATGAAACGAAAAAGAAAAAAAAATTTAAAAAGCAAAATTTTATTTATTATTTCTTTCTTTCTTCAGAGAATAATGAATATTCACTATATATTTTTCCTTTTTTTGTTCATATATGTATATCTTTCTCTATCTTCTTGTCTCTATATGTTTGTTTGTTTGTTTTTCTTTCAGTCAACGCATGAAGATAAAAAAAAAAAAGAAACGTGTTTACAATTATAATAAAAAGAGGAAAGAAAGGAAGAATCAAATAATGAAACATATACTAAAAGAAAAAAAAACTTTTCTAAGACAAACATCCACACAAACACACAAAAAAACGAACGAACATGTTAAGTTGTTTTGTTCAAAAACTAACACGATGATAATACAAAAAATAAGTTCTACACGTTTATACATAAAACGCTGGACAACAATGTAAAATGACATATAACAAATAATTAACAATTAAAGGAGATTGTAATATTTCTTTTTCTTTTTTTTGGGGTTTTAGAGAAAGTTCATTTTACGAAAATAGAATGTGTTGATAAATGAACAAGTGTTAATAAATAAACGTAATACGAAAGAAAGAACGTAGAAGAAAAAGAATTCATAATCAGATATATCATCTGATCATAGTCATTAAGCAGATGAACCATCAATGCCATCGAACTCACCTAGAAAGAATAAAGAATTATTTTTATTTTTTAAAAGCAATAGAATATGAGCAAACAAACAAATAAAAATAAAGAAAAAAAAAACAAAATAAGAAAACCAATCATTATTCATTATTAACCATCACCATTAATATTAACTCACATGTTTTTATTTTTTTATTTTTTAATATTTGATATTGAGTGTTTTGGTAATTTCAACCATTTAACATGCATTGATGTGTGTGTGTGTGTGTGGGTGTTTAATGTTGGAGAAATATATGCGCATAATTACAATTAATAAAACAAGAGAAAGACAAAAAAAATCACAAAGAGATTTAGAGAGCGTGCGTTATTTCGAGAAAACAAACAAACATACATAAGTGCATCAGATGAGCAAATTTCTAATATTGATTTTATTATCTGTTTGATCAAACATAGGTTATCTTACCTTGGCATTTACGGTCGATATAACCGATAAATCTTGTTCTAAAACAAAAACAATAAACATTTATATTTGTTTTCTTTATTTTTTTTAACCTTAGGGCAATCCAACATTAGCAGCGGGAATAATTTATTCCGTATGGAAAGCTAGAGGGAATTTTTCTTTTTGTATATACTGATAAGAAAGTCAATGTTCTATTTTTTTCTGTCACATTTCATCATTCGTTAATTAATATTTCGCTGAGAGCTGTTTGTTATCATGTGATGATAATATTAGTTTATTTTGTCTTCGAGGCGTATTTTGAGTGGGTGTCGGTAGCTAGGGCATGAACTCAAACATAATAATGAAGTTTGAATATTTCAAATTTATATCATTAATTATGAATAATCTGATTTATTTTCATAACTTTTAATTAAAAGATGTTGTTTTTCCAAAAGAAAAACAAAACGATTTCGAGAATTCGGAAACAGATTTTTTAGCTAACAACAACGCATATTTTGACACAAATATGCTAATTAAAATTGCAATTTTGCGAGAAATCAATTAATTATCTGATGTCTTCTATTGCGAAGGATGAGTTTATATCAATAAACTGTCGCGCCATAAATATGTAAGGATATCTGCCTTTGACAACTAAAAGAAGAATGTTCTTATGAAGTATTTGGTTTGGGTTTTTCGATTGACTCTCACACGCATAGTCTAAGCACCATGCCAAATTTTTCCTTTTAACGTTCTTCAATATCATTTCTCTACTTCGATTTTCTACCGACATGAACAGTTTGGCTGCATGCCTAAAATGTAGCTATGAGAGAAGAGTATACACATCAAAGATAAATATGATCTAATAACATTGTCATATATCATAACATACACTCAAATTGAAATCTTTTATTATTATGATATTAGTGGAAGAATGATCAAATATCACAGAAAAAAAAATAGAACATTAATTTTGTTTACTATCACTACATACAAAAAGGAAAATTCTTCTCAAGCTTTCTATATGGGAATAATGTACTTTCACCACTACTTTTCGGTTGCCCTAAGTATTTAATTAAATTTACGTTTTTGTTGAAAACCAGTTGATGTACGTCCACCTTGTGATCGATTCGATGAACCATTATTATCTGGTGTACGATTAGTTGTTGTCGTTGTTGTTGAACTTGTATAATATGTATTGCCACCAATACGTTTTGATCCACCACCAAATGTATCATCATCATCATCATCATCTTTATTACCTCCTTTCCATCCCGTTCTCCAATCATCATCACGACATGTAAAACGATTAGTATTATTATTTCTTGATGGACTTGAACCAGTACGTCGACGAATACTACGTTTACCATCAGCACTTAATGGACTAATTGGTCGATTTTTCGATGATATACGATGCCAACCTGAACTAGCATGTGAATCTTCATCAGCTGAATCCGGTGCACTATTATAATCAAAATGTAATGAACTTTTAGCTAATGAATGTCGTCGATGATTTCTTGATGTTATTTTAGCTGCAACTGTTTCATGATCAGCTTTAATTGGTGCAAGTGGTGCACCAACAATAGCTATAATACCATGACGTATAGCTTCACGTATTGAATATGTTGTACGTGAACGTGAATCATATATTAAACCTGATTCATGATCAATTAAACCACGTTCAATAGCATCTTGTATTGAATATTCACGACTAGTTTTTGGATCAAATAATTTAATACGATTATTATCAAGTAAATTTTTTCGTACAGCTTTTTCAAAACCAATTGATTCATTTTGTGCTGGAAGAAATATTTCACCAGCATTAACATCAAATTGTGAAAATAATTTTCTATGATTATATGCTAATTCTAATGTTGTTATTACTTTATTTGAATGTGAATCAATAACTTGTCCATCATTATCAATACGTATACCATCTAATGCATCTTTTAATGTCATATAACGTCCTGTTGAAGGATTTTCAATAACAGTACTTTGTCCATCAATTAAACCACGTTGTATAGCTTCTTTTAAATTTAATTGTTCACCACTATGTGGATGTTTATATAGACCCGTACGAAGATTAAGTAAACCACAACGTATTGCATCTTCAACATTCATACGATGTAATTTTGATTCAACTAATCGTGCACGATATAAAGTCATTTTAGCTGGATTAAGTTTACCACCATCACGACGATTTATTAAACCTAATGAAAATGCATCATAAAGTGTTATAGGTCCTTGTTCACTATCAGCAAATGCAACACCATTGATATGTATATGACCACGTTCAATAGCGTCCAATAATGACATATAATGTTCTGTAGCTGGATCATGGAATGTACCTATAAATAAATATAAAAATTTTTACTATTTGAATTGTAATATGAAGATTTCTCAGCATAGATTTCAGAATTTGTGTATCTATTTGATGACTTCACGATTCTGGATTGTAGACATTTAAAAATCTCGGTTTCAGTGGCCTTATGAAAATTAATTTTCGGTATCTATCTTAAAGTATGCCTATGTGATGAAAGTATATCTTTTACGCTGCTCATATTCATCGCCGACTCGATATTCTAATATCAGAATGGGAAAAAAATTTGAAACTTTCATAATAAACTATTCTCATAAAGATCTGTGTAGAATCGAAATTCAAACATTATTTTTCACGTAGACCAGGGAGCATCATATCAAAAACTATCGTAAACATATAGTATTTCGATAACAATCAGCTAAAAGCGTGAACTCTTTCGAAGATATTTATAGCTCATTAAATTCTACGTAATGTACATAATCTTGTCTCAAAAGAAATTAATTATTTGGTGGACTGCCTTTGTCAATATTCTGCTTCTCAACCATAGGAATAATTTGCGAGAAAAGGTCTTCAAGTGATTAATTGCTTTCAAGCTTGACCTATATTCAATTGATAGGGTTTAGTGAGTAAGTAAATAGCCTCGAGTGATTAAGAGTTGTTGGGTTTTTGTTAATGAGATTTCGAATTTTTCCTATAGGACCCGAGTTTTCAGACGAAATCATACTTTTGAATTTTGGTCTAAAACATTGCCTCTATATTTCCAAGATATGAATTTTTCAATAATACCTATATTTTGAAAAAATTCATATCTGAAAAATATGTGAACAAAGTCTCAGGTCAAAAGTATAATTTCACTTGAGAATTAGAGTTGTACAAGACAAGAAATTTTTAATATTTAAATTTAATTCATACCTGTTTCAGGTACATAAAATCCAAGTCGAATAGCATTTTGCATTGATAAACCTAATGGTTTTCGTTCAACATGTTCGCTTATTTCAGCTTGAATTAAATTTCTATTAATAGCTTCTTGAATAGACATTGTTTCACCTGTTGAAAAATCTGTATAAGTTTTAGCTTCTGTATCGATCATTTGATTTTTAACAGCAACAGCACCTGATTCCATTCGTCCTAAGACATTATTTTGTACACCATGAATTTTATATAATGTTATACGTTTTTCTGTTATTGTATCCGTTATTAATTCTAAATCATATTCTTCAAATTTCTTTTGACTAACAAGTTCAACATCGAGTAATTTTCTTTCAATAGCTTTATCTAAAACAAAATTCGTACATTAAAAAAGAAATTAATCTTTAAAAAATTTTCTTTACCAAGTGGAATTTTCACACCATATTTTCTATCATTATAAACACCTTGTGCATAATTAAGTATACCAACAGCTTGTGCTTCTAAACCACCAATTTTTTCTTGTGAATCACTATCAATAGCAACACTTTTAACAATAAATTTTTTAACAATTTCTTGTAATGATGATGTCATCATTTCAGTATCTTCTTTTGTTTCAATTATTGTTGCATAAACTAAACCTTCATTTATGGCTTCAGCTAATTCATATTGAACATTTGTAACTAAATCTCGATAACTACCTATAAAAACAAAAACAAGAAGATTATCATTTTTATTTGTTTTTTTTTTTTCGTTAAAGAAATAAAATAATAATAATAAAATTCTTTTCTTTTTCTGTAAAAACTAAATAATAATAAACGGTGCTTACATCAGCCCATTGTACCCGCATATTCACATGCGTATAAGTTTCAAAAGTAAAATATATCTGATTGATCTGGTTGTTTTTTGTTTTTTTTTTCTATCGTTAGTATGATCGATAAAGGTGAAAGGAAAAAATATCTTTTGGTTTTTATTTTGTGTTTGTGCATGGAAAAATATTAAAACACGGAACAAATTTCAAATTATAGTTAACATATTTAATAATTGATAGACTTTTCAAAATCAAGGACGGAGACAACAAAATATATGAGACTTTGTTCTTCTTTCATTATCAATATCTTGGCTTCTTTAATTTAATTGTGTCTCGACTTTTTTTTTATTTTGTTTTCAAGGTTGATGATAAAAATTTTCAAGTACTTCATATTCATGTAACACTCCACTGTTCTATTCAAATTTATAGATTTGTTGCTCAGTGTTTCTAACGCATTGTTGTAATTCTATTCACTAGAGAAGAAAGATCATCAAGTGTGATTTGCCAATCAAACTAATATTTGACTTATGAGACTTCGACGAGACTCGTAGAAGCTTATAAGAGCTCATCTCTACGTACGCTATCTTTATCAAGTTATTACGGTTGTATTGAAAATTTTTATCTAGGACAAGGTTTGAGTAAAAAAATCAATGTATGGAATGTCAAGCTGATATCTTGCCCATAGATAAGTCTTGTAGACTTTAGAATATTCTGGAAATTGTAGCCCAGAAGAATATGTTATTCTTCAGATATCGAATATTGAAAGCATTGGACATTTTTATCTTTCTTTGTGACATGTTTATCTTGGGATATTCAATATCTCAAGATCAACATGTCCTTTCATATTGAGTTTTTCAGGGCATTTTACGGTTCACAAGACCTGTCAATAGGCAAATTTTCAAATCATAATAACTGAGAAAGAGCAGCGCCTAGAGACAAAATCTTATAAACTTCTACTAATGTCTTCGGAGTCTATCCAAGAGAATGATTTCAGCGCCCAGATCTTTAAGTTTCCGGTCGACAAATGGTAGGAATTTGGAAGCAGAAATCCGATGATCGGGTCACATAGCTGCATTTTTCTAGTTCCAATTCGATTGAGAAGTCACATTTGGAAGTTTTCTCTCGTTTAGTTAAAATATAAAACAAAATCGATCACAACTATTTAAAGACATGTTTTTTGTTATTTAAAATTTGAAATAATTGCTCCGTGTTTCATCATAATTGGAAACTTAATTAAGACACCTGTTTTTCATATCAATTGGTGTCTATGTGTGTAATATTTACGTGCAATTTCTACACGTTGATGTGCATTCTTTGCTTTTGTTTATTATATTATAAACAAGAGAAAGAAGAAATAAGAATAGTAACAATCACCAGAAATGATCTTTTTCTTAAAGATCTAATAAACAATAAAAATCCCATAATACTCTAATATTGAGTTTGTTGGGTTTTTTTATCTTGTCAAATGGGATGTGCAATATAGATATAGATATATATATATATATATGTATATATGTATATATGTAAGTTTTATTACCATATTAAAGCAATAAAAATAAAAAAAAAAATGCGATAACCTACTGATTTCCATATTGATTTTTCGTACTATTATTTATAATCAAATAAAAGATCTTTATTTTATCTTATTTTTTTTTGATATTTTTTATTTTATAACTTACCTGTTTCTTTATCAAGTATACCCAAATCAATAGCTTCAGATACTTTAATTTCTTTTTGTGTTAATGGATGTATAACTGATGTAATAACATATGTAGCCGTTTTTGTTGCTATTGTTAATTCATCTTCATCAACAGATATTATTGATGGTGGTTTAACACTATTATCTGATGATGATTCATCATCTGTACAACGTACATAACCCGCTTGTATAGCATCATATATTGTCATCACATCATTTGTATCAAGTTTACGATATTCATTTAATTGTATATCCAATATACCTTGACGTAAAGCATCACGTGGTAAAATTTTTTTCATATGAACTGTATCATAAACCCATTTAATATTATATGTTTGTCCATTAATTGTTACTGTTATTGAATCACTTGCTGGACCATATTCAGTTGCACCAACAAATTTTAAATGTATTGCTTCATGTAATGATACTTGAGAATTATTATATGGATTAATATAACGACCATATTTAGAATCTAACATATTTCTAGCTATAGCTTGTCGAGGAAATATTCGACGTTTTGTTGATGAATCTAATACCCAATGTATCATATAATCAATACCATCAACACGTATTGGTAATGATGCTGTGTCAGGTTCAATACCCATATAACCTAATTCAACAGCTTTTTCAAATGCATATGATTTACGATTTAATTTTTCATCAAAAAATAAACGTTGTTTAGTATCAACTAAACCACGTTGATATGCATTTTGTAATGGTAAACGATCACCTGTTGCTGTATTCATAACCCAAACAACACGATATGGTTTACCATTCATCATCATTGTACAATGCCATTGTTCCCATTCTTCTTCACTCCATGATTGTTGTTGATCTTCATGCCAATCATCAGGACGTTGTGGTGGTTGTTTAATATGATGATCTGTTTCGATTTCAATATATTCTTTTCTGGTTGTTGTTGTTGATGGGAATGGACGTGGTGGAACGGGTGGTTGAGGACGTGGTTGTGGAACAACATGAACCTAGAAGAAATGAAAAAGTATTATAAATTTCAACTTTGTTTAATATTAAATGAAATTCTTTCTTTTTTGTTTTTTTTTTTGTATTAAATTTAATACTAAAAAAAATTCTATGATTTACCTCATGTTCACGAATTCTTTCATCAATAATAACTTGAGTTTTAGGTGGTTGCGGTCTAGGTCGTTCACCTTCAATAACAATTTCTTTATGAATATATTGTCTATCTTCTTGAATATCAACTATTTCTTGTCGATGTTTATTTCTATCATCATCAATAGTAACTTCTTCAATATAACGTTGTTTTGGTCTTTCACTTGAACGTGCTCGATTAACATAAACTTCTTGATCAACAACATTAGTTGTTTGTTGTTCAATAATTTCTTCTGTTGTTGTATGATGATGTCGTCGATGTCTTGGTATACGTTGTACAGATTCAATTTCAATAATATCTTTTTCACGTTGTAATACTTGTGATGTTTTCGGACGTATTGTTTGTGGTTGAGATTCAATACGTATTGATAAATTTGAACGTGAACTAGCTGAACTTGTTTGATCTGTTATTTGTGTTAATACAGATTGAACTTGTATAAGACCACGTTTAATAGCATCACCAATACTTATTTCATCATTTGTTAATGGATGTATATAAACACCTCTTCGACGATCAAATAATTTTTGTTCAATAGCTAAAATAAAATATATATGAAATAAAATTTTATTCTTTTTCTTTATTGATTACCTTCTTGAAAAGTATAAATTCTATCTGTACGTGCATCAGTTATATTAGTTATTGAATAAAATGTTTGTTGACGTTGATCACTAACAAATGATGATGGTCTTTGTTCACTAAATCTACCTATAATTAAACCTTGTTCGTATGCTTCCATAATTGTCATTTGTCGTTGTTGTATTGGATGATTATAAATAGTAGCAATTGTATTAAGTAAACCTGTTCTTATAGCTTCAGTTATACCTAAACGACGATTTGTTATTGGATCAATAATATGTTCAATAATAAAATATTTAACATAATGTTTTGGATGTTGATCAATTAATTCAGTAAATATTAAACCTTTTTCAATTGCAATACTTATTGGAAGATTTTCACCTGTTACACTATTCACATAAAAACCTTTAGCATGATCAATAATTCCTTCATCAATCGCTAAAATAAAATAAAAAATAGATTATAGAAAAATATTGTAAATTAACTGATTTCTTTTTTTTTGAAGCAACGAAAGAGTTATACCTTGTCGTATTGGTATTTCTTTACGTGTTCGTGGATGTATAGCACTTTTAAGTGTATAAGTTTTAGTTTCTTTAACTGTTCCACGTTTTATATTTGATGATCCAATTATTTCTTGTGTATTTGTTGTTGTTGCTGTTGCTGATGATGATGCTTCAACTGGTAATGGTTGAGCACGTATATGACCTTGTGCAATAGCTTCAGATATTGTAAATATTTCATTTGTTTTTCTATTAATATATTGTCCATTTTGTTTATCTAATATTCCTAAACGTATAGCTTCTTGTACAGATAATTCTTTATTAGTAATATAATCACGAACACCTAATAAATGATATGAACGTGTTTCACGTATTAATGATGTTGATATAACATATTTATCATTATGTTGATTTATATTTGAATGTGATGATTGTTGTTCAACAATGATTAAATTTTTATTCATAGCATCATCAATTGATATTGATTCTTGTGTTAAATTATTTATATATAAACCATGATATGGATCAAGAATTTTTTTTCTTATTGCAGAATTTGGATCAATATATGTATTTAAACGATGATCAAATACACTTGATATAACAAGTGATTCAGTTTTTGATATTATATTATATGATTGTGGATCACCTAATTTAAGTATGCCCATTTTAAGTGCTTCAGCTAATGTTAATGACTGATTTCTAGCACGATCAATAATATGATGATCGTTTGAGTTTATTAAACCACGAGAATATGCTTCACGTAAATCGTAATTACTAGAATAATGGAAACAAATTTTTTTTTTTCAATGATTTGTTTTGTTTTTCTTTTCTTGATTGTTACAAACAAAGGAAAACTAAGATATTGGATTTAGTCGTTTTTTGATCTGTGTCAAACCTAATTCATAATCATTCACTTGATATATAAATAAAAGGTAATATTAGCAAGGTGAAATGATACTAGACTGACGTTTTATATTTTTCTATATATACATAAGTATTGTACATAAAGAATAAAAAAAACTAATTTAGAAAAGTCCTGGTAAGTTTCATTTTCATCAATGCAAAATAACACATACTACAATAGTGATTGGGTTTTTTTTTCTCTCTTTCTCTTCTGACCGCAACATATTTACTCACTGAAGAAAAAAGAAACCAGAAGGTTTTTCTTTCTTTGTGTAAACAAAACAATATCAGTCAAAAGAAACCCTGATTTTTTTTTCGTTTTCTTTCATTTGTTTTGCTTACCGTTGCTCAAGCGTATCGACAACGTATGCGCTATGTGCGTCTAGAATATTTGTGTCGATAGCTTCTCTCAATGTAATTGTCTTTGTTGTATTAATAGTAGTTGTGCTAGAGTCTGTACCAATATGAGGAGAAGGATGATTATTCACCGACGATGTAGCAAGATTTTTGTTGTCGGTTGTAGTTATAGTCGTGTGTGGCGGCGATGATGAAGAAGAGAAATGAGTGTAAGTTTGGCGATGTTGGTCGGGCGATAATAATATAGAGGAAGAAAAAGGAGACGACGAAAGAACGAATGGTAAAGAAGAAAAAAGGCCCGTTGACAAATCGAGATGTTTGCTATTGACCGCATCAACAAACGAGAGATTTCTACGTTGTGCCATTTCATTCACTTTTGTATTTGTAATTATAATATTACTATTCGTTGTTGATATTTCTGGTTGTTGTTTTTGTATAATAAATCGAACTTTCTTATTATTTAATGCATCATTTTGTGTTGATGGTATTAAATAATTTGTTTCAAATGAAACGGAACCGTCTAATGATGATGATAATGGATTGGAATGGTGATCAGTACTAACCTTTCCACGTGTCAAGTCAATAAAACCTAAGCAACATAAAAAAAAAAAAAGAGACAACAGCTTGTATGACGTCATGATGATTCTATATATATATATATATGTATTAAGCATGGAAAGAAAAATGTATTAGATGTTTGTTCTTCACTTCAACTTTTTTACCCTGTAGACATTTATGTCCTATTCAAAAAAAAAAAAAGACTAAGTAGACTAAGAAATAAACAGATGACGTAAAAAAATAAAAAAAAACGTATATGAATAAAGAAACATTAGACAATAGAAGAACCTGCAGCAGAAATATCAAACCAGGAGTAAGAATATACATGCAAACATCGATTTGTTCTATAGTTTTTTCAATGCTTTCACACTCCTCTCTTTGTATATATATATACATTCATATAAATGCATTCACTATCGTTCTCTCTCTGTTTCTCTCTCTCTCTCTCTCTCTTTCTATGTCTCTCTTCTTCATACGAAATGACTAAACTAGCTGGCTCAGCGCCACTCACACATACACACGACAAACGAAGAGAAAAGAGATTAGATCTTCGTCAATATCGTGATAAAACATCCATCTAATTATAGTCCTTGGCTCATCTACGTATATATGCATGTATGTATATATATACATATATATATCTCTATATGTGCAGGCGACGATACTTATGATTTACAATAGGTGAGAGGTTGTAGTTTGACGATATAGCAGCAGTCAAAGCACTTTTCTCTCTTTTTCTATACTTTTAACGTCAAGCAAGCGTGACCAACAATGAAAAGAAAAGAACAATAATTAGTCGAAAAAAAGAAAAATGAAAAGAAACAATATATAATATCGTCTAGTTCATCTATTATTAAAATTTCATTCAACATTTGTCTCAAGTTTGCTTTTTGTATACAATATTGTCTTATTGCTAAAGAGAAAGAGAAGCTATTTGTTGTTTTATTCATGTACATTAACGAAAAAGAAAAAAAGAGAAAGAAAACAGCCACGACTGTCACACGTTGAAAGATAAATTGTAGTGATAACGAATGCTTGATAGAAAAAACGTATCGTCGATTTCTTGGTGGATTGTAGTCAATAAGCAGAAAAAAAAAATAAAAGATTGTCGTCATCAGCTGTTCTTTATTAGTGTGCCTTTCATGATAAACAAAAATGGAATCATGTCAAACGCGAATATGTTTTTTGAAAAACTTATTTTTCTTCATACATTATAAGTTCTTTAATAAATACATGGATAGTTTTTTTTTTTTGATAATTTGACACCATTGGTCGATCAATTTCTTTTCTTTTACATGAAGTATTGGATTAAATCAGTGATAGGAGAAAAGTTCATCGATATATCTCATTCTATTACATCTGAAATCGAACGAAAGAAGAAAAGGACGATTGTAATAGACTCTAACACCATTGATATTATTTGACCTTCTTTGTGTGTATTCGATCATAAAAATGAACGATAAAAAAAAAAGCTAAAGAGTGTGAGAACGTGTATACTTGTCACCATTGACCTTGTTCCAACGAGAGAAGACTATCTTATGTTTACTACTTCCTTGAATTATTCTGTCATCGTCAAACTTATATGTTTTTATGGGTTAATATCAAGTGGATATTCTCATAATAAATGTGCGCGTGCGTGAGAGAGAATATTTATCATCGCAAACATTAGATCCTATTGATATATTATAAGACTTAGTATTAGATGACTAGGAAAAACATAATAAATTTCTGTTGCTAACATGCTTATCTATATTACCTGGTTTATTATTATTATGTCGATTGCGTTTGGTAGATGAAGATGAATGAGGCGATTGTTCATCATCATCATCATCTGATGAAAGAAGAAATTGTAGTGTGATGTTATATCGAGAGGCGATTGTACTACGATAAAGATGAACAATAGTTGATGCTGAATCTAATGGAAGATTTATTGTCTAAAACATGGGGAAAATAAATCATAGAAAGAAAAAACTATGACAAATTTGTTTTTTTTTTCTAATTACGTGTCCAGTTACATTATAACTCTTTACAAATGCCCGTGCATATTGTTCCATATTTGCCAAAAGATCGGCATAACGTCTAAGAACAAAATTTTTTTATTTTTTCGAAAGCAATAATAAAAATTCAATATTACCTATCAAATACTTCAATTTTATGTAAAACAGCTCTTGTAGCACGTTGAAAATTTGTTGGATATTGTCGTCGTGTAATAGAAACCGATGCATCAAGACTTGGATGAATATCGCGTAATGATACACGAAAACGCTTTAAATTTTTGTCATGCATCTACATGATGATTGTGGCATGACATAATATTTATCAAAATAAGATATATAAAACTACTATTTCTATACGTGCATAAAGCATTCATTTTTCATCATGCTTTTAAGCAACAAAATTAAACTATACAAGCAAACAAACTGAACCTACGCTCATATTTTTCTTTTCTTTCTTTTTTTTTTTTATAGTATAAGTTTTATAGAACTTTGTGCATTCAAAAGAAAAACAAAAAGTGAAGCTTATGATAGTGTTACCTTTGTTTCTTCAATAAATTTTACAGCAACATCATTCATGTTTTCGATGGGTTGTGCTTGAGAAAGAATTTCATTGAAAAGGTCCTAAATTTGTGTTTAAAAAAAAACACAATAGAAAAAAAAAAGAATGAAATTTGTTTTTGTTTTTTATACGGTAACAGTTTTTGCCATTAGTCGAAGTTTATTAGGATCAGTTGGGATTGGTTCAAGGGTTTCAATACGCTGTTGTAAATTATCAAGTATGTGTCCTTCTTGTTGATATAATGTTTCAAACGATCGATGAGTTTCCAAGCATTGTGCAATTGATCGATTTCTATAGTAATAAAAAAGAGAAAAAGAAAAGTGTGAAATTAAAAATGAAGAAAAAAAAATTTAATATGGAAAACCGTTGATTAATTTCCGAATTAATTTGTTGCCATCTTGATGTTAATTGTTCACTTATACGAATTAATTTATCATTACCCAATTGTTTACTTTGCGTGAGAAGTTCTTTAATAGACTTCTCAATTGATTGCAATTGTTTATCAAGTTCATTAAGATCATCTAATTGACGATGAATATATTGTTCATCGTCAATAAGAGGTGTATGAGAAGCTAAACGAGTTTCAAGCTCGATTATATGAGATGTTAGATCAGTAACGAGACTTAATGTTGTTTCAGCGATATCCAATCTATAGAAGAAAAACAAAGATAAAAAAAAAAAGCGAAGAATTTGATCTTATTGAAAATATTTTTGTTCGATTTACTTGTCGGAATAATCTTTTGATATTGTAAATAAATCTTGTGCATAATCAGATGTTTGATTAACTAATGAACGTAGTTCTTGATGTGACGATGAGTTATATTCTTGTCGAACAAGATTACGGATATCTTTAATACGGCTTGCTTGAGAAAGAAGATCATTTTCGAAATCCTATAAAAGAATTAAAAAAAAAAAACAAGAATAATTTTTTTTCTTAATAAAAATTAATAATTTAAAGTCATTCCTCTTCTTCTCGAATCACTCGTGTCATTATTGGTTTAAATTTTGAATATAGATCAAGTGGAATATGTTTTATTTTTGTACGAATTATTCTTGGTGATGGTTTTATTGTTAATGGTGGAAGTGACTGATGACGAATAATTAATGTACTTGAATGATTATTTTTATTTAATTGATCACTTGAATAACCTCGAACTATTGATCGAGTTTCAATATATTTTATATTCGATCGACGCCGTTGATTATTTAATGTTGTATTTGAATTTTGAATATAAATATTATTATTATTCAATACTGGACATGAACCATAATGTTGACCATCTTTTGTCAGATGTTTTTTATAATAATATTCGTGTTCTTCTGTGTGTTGGTAATCATCTTCATGATGATGATGATGATGATGATGATGATGACGATAATGATGTGAATGTGGCTTTTTAAAATGAATACGTACATTAATACCATGTTGATTGGCAGTAATTATTGCAGGTCTTTCTAGGACTCGATCTACGGATGTATAACGTACTGGTAATATTCGATAATTTGCGCTACTAGCAGTGCTTGAAGAGCAAAAACTACTAGTTGATGGTGTTCTTTGAAGGTATGTTTGTCGATGGGAATCCGTGTCGGATGAGTAATAATCTTTGTTTTTATTAAAAACAAGTTGAATAGGTACAGATCGTTCTTTTGTCCCTAATGATCTACTGTAATGTTGGGAATCAGCAGATGTTGTAGAAAATGATCGTTGCATTATTGACTTTTAATAATAAAATTATCTAATGAATACAGTCTCTTATATACATTTGAGAGAACCACACATACACACACACACACACACAGAAGTTCTAACGGTAATTGAAGTAAGACACCAACGAAGATCGACAGAACCGTTGGTGTACTGCTGCTATTATTGTTTATTGACTATCCACAACTGCCAGTAATGTTACCGTTTATGCGAATGATATATATATATACATATTCTTGAGTAGTTTTTTGTTGTTGACAACGTCTTGTGTCTGTCTATCTGTATTTTCTCTTTATCCTCAGATTTTGCATCGATATTTTTATCTAAGACATCAGTATACATAAATAATGTACATATATAAGAAAAGGACGAAAAAAGTCTCATCATATCGTTGCAAGAATAAAGCAAATAAGTCAACTGTTATTGATGATCTAGTTTTATCTCGTTTCAAATGAATACAGCTGATTGTATTTCTTATTATCTTATAATTATTCTATTGACAGAAGAAGGCTTATCAACACTTAACAGTAGACTTTATCTCTAGAAGATATTTTGAATAATAAAATAGATTATTCTAAGAAATGGAATTTTAAGTTTTGGAAAAGAAAAAAGAAACAATCGAAGCCAACCTTATGTTCTTGATAAAGTAGAAGAAGATCATCATGTGATGTTGGTAGACCCGTTTGTAATAAACGTGTCATACGTTGTTGAAGTAATTGACTAAGTGTATTTAAATTTTTGTTAATTAAATTAAGTTCATCAACGAGAACAAATGGTTTTGTCTCGTTGTTCGAATGTCCTGAGTCTATAGAAAAGAAAAACGTGTTGTAAATAAAATTTTACACGCATATATATATGAATAACAAAATAACTAACCAACAACCATAATATTTGATCGTGTTTGTTGTTGAGTATCACCACTTCGTCTATAATCACCTGTTACAATAACATCAAGTTGTTCAATACCAGTCGGTGAATTTGTAAAAAAATTCGATGAGTGATTTGAACGACCCTTAACAATTCATTTAATTAATAATCAAGAATACAATAGATAAATTACAATAGGTAATTTCTCACCAATTGTGAACTTCTTCTCTTTTGTTGATTAGAACTACTCATCGTCAACGAAAAACTATACACGTATATATACTATCAAAATTGAACGTACAGTGCACAAACAAGAAGAAGAAGACAAATGTGCATATATGCACATAAGAAAAAAAAGTAAATTAATGATTTGTCACCTTTATTGTATATGTGTATATATATATTCGATTTTGTTCATTATGCTCCCTTTCATGTACATTTCCATTGGGTATGGATGGTGTTCGATAAATTTTTTTTCCTGTATTCATGATTTTACATTTTACGCCTGTGCTCGAGTGAGTCTCAAGGATTGATTGAGGTCATTTTAGTAATTAATCGAAGGTGGTGGAAAAAAAGAAATCAATGCACTCACATCATCTTACTTGAGGATATTCGACGTTTTGGTGATACTGTTCTTGCATTTTATTAGAGGTCACTTATTCAAATGGAAGATCTTCTTCTCTAGTGACACATTACGCAAACGAATTTTCTCTTGCATAAAGCAAAATTGATATATATATACATTTATATATTAAGTAATTTGAAAGAGAGAAAGAAGACGAATAGTGTGTTTAGATATTGAATGACAACGATAAATTGAATTGTAATGAGCGAATATTGTAGACGAAGAAAAATAACTGTCGGCTCTCATTTGTTTCTCATAAAAAAGACAACATTCAGTATGCGCGGATTGATGTGATATAGAAGAAAAAAAATTCACGACATTTATTCTCATCAATTAACGTGAGATATATATATATATATAGAAAGATCTGTTTGCATAACTCATGTTCTTTATACATATATATATATATATTATTCACCTGCTTTTTTGACGCATGATGATGACCATCGGTTGTCGTTACCGATGATGGATCGAGAATTCGTGTAGTTGTTGGTGATGAAATTTTGATGGCTGTTGATGATGGTGGTGAAGGACTCAATTGTATATGAAGATTATCAATACGTAAATTTAATTGATCAATTCTAAAAGAAAAAAAAACGAAATCATTAAATACGAAAAAATTAAAAATTTTTTTTTTTTTTTTAAAAACCTTTCAAAAGAAGTTCGTATTTGTTCATAAGGTAATGCTAATGTTCGACAATTAGTTAAAATAGTATCTAAATTAATTTGTATATGATTTAATTGATTAATTGTATCAACAATTTCTAATTGTTTTGACTAAAATAATGAAGTTTACAAAAAAAATAGAAAATACAAAAAAGATATTTCACAAACTTTTATTTGAATTAATCTTTCAATATTTGCTATATCACGTTCAATTAAATCTAAATCATTATTAATATTATCTTTTAATTTTTCATATTGTTGTATAAATTGTTGTAAATCATATTCAACACGATCAATTGTCATTTCTAATTTATTCCATGCTAAATTTATTGAATCAATATCTGGTTCTAATGTTTCACTTAATTGTAAAGTCTATGAAAAATAAAAATAATCAAATAAAACAAACAAAAAGATTTCTTCTATTAATTTTTACTTCAAATTCAGCATCAATTGATCTCATACGATGTAACACTTTATTATATTGACTTATTTCATCTTGTCTTATGGCTTGTAAAACACTTCGATATGTTTCAATTTCATCTATACTTTTAAATTTAATTTCACGATTTAAAAAATCTAATTTTGTTTTTATCCATTTGAGAAGATCTGTAGCTAAATTTGTATATTCATATGACAATTCACTTTCAAGATGAATCTAAAGCATATATATATATACAAACAAAGTTCTATTGTAAAAACTATTCAAAATAACAAACTCGATCATGTTCTTGTTGAAATGGATGAGTAGGTAAACTTGAGCAAACTTTATATAAATGTGCGATATATAATAAAATACTTTTTTCATCAGGTTCATCGGTGTCAACATCTAAATAACAAAACAACTTTGTTTTTAAAGAACTCTATCAGATTAAGTGATCTATTCAGAATTGAAAAAAAAAACAAAATACACACTATGTTATAGAGAGTATCGAACGGAATACAGTGTACAACTAGGTATGCACCAGTGCCAGTGTAGAACTGGGGACCGGGTATCTATATAACTCAACGCATTATCAAATAAATAGGGGTACTCTTCGTAAGCCATTATGCAGTATATAGGGATACCCTCTATAAGTCATTATAGGATATATAGGGATACCCTCCATAAGTCATTATAGGGTATATAGGGGTACTCTTTCTAAATCATTATAAGGTATATAGTAGGGATGCAACGGTGACGATAANTATGGTATATTTTGCATTTTAAATAAAACCTATTTAGCGATTAAAATATGAAATACAAAATGCGGTCGGTTATTCTTGATGACATATTTACATTTTACAGCCGTCTGTATGTCTTTAGCTTTCGTCTTTTTTCAAATATATCTAAAACTGTTTTTGAGCCTAGTCACATATGGTTTTGTAGAGAATTTTAAGCGCTTTCTTTTGATAATTAAGACAGCTCTACTTACAGTGATAATAGACAGGAAATCTTAAAAATACTGGGAGGCTCATTATTCCTGGGACACCCGATAGATTCGGATTCTCCGACCTCGATTTACTCTCGTCAACCTTTATAAAAAATCGTTATTTTCTTAAAAAATGCTGTTTTTTTGTGAAAACCGGCTTGAACCAATAACCGTTGGTACGGTTACCGTAGTTGGACCGATAACCGTACCTACGGTTATCGTCACCGTTGCATCCCTACTATATACCTTATAATGATTTAGAAAGAGTACCCCTATATACCCTATAATGACTTATGGAGGGTATCCCTATATATCCTATAATGACTTATAGAGGGTATTCCTATATATTCTATAATGACTTATAGAGGGTATCCCTATATACTTCATAATGACTTACGAAGGGTACCCCTATTTATTTGATAATGCGTTGAGTTATATAGATACCCAGTCCGACAGGGTCACCCAGTCGCACTGTGTACCAGTCCGACTGGGTACCCAGTTAACTGGCACTGGTGCATACCTATGTACAACAAGGTAGACATAATATGAAAAAATGAAAAGTGAACGTCTTCAAGATTTGAATTGTAACTTCTAGACTTTGATTAAATATCAGATTCTTGATAACAAATTCTTTTATGAAAAACGAGATATGGATTTTTCAAAGTTTTGTTTTTGCGATTTCTTTGTCCTAGAAGTACTTTGAGCAAAAAAAAGATATTTGCAAATGGCATTAAAAAAACTGCCTTGAATGAGATACCATTTGTTGGTGTTTCAGATAAAAAGTTTTTTCACAGAAGTTTAGAATAAGGATATCCATCAGAGATTTTTCGTCAATCTTATTGCTTTAGTACAAGAAGCTGAGATTTGTATGAAAAATATTCGTGTGGTCGATAAAAACTGCCTACTGTATATTGTGATCCTTAATATCAGTCGAAAGTGTTTATAACAATATTTTTCTCATATAAAATTTTGTACAACTTTTCACGAGCTACAAGCTCATATAATTAACATCTTCTATCATTCTATCTTCGATAGAAAAAAAATGTGATTTTTTAATGATCTACTTCTATTTTTTATTAATGATAAATCTCTGTGTCTTTAATAGTGTCGATCATAGAAAATTTCTGGAAAAGTTCAGCGTTCGCATTGTTTTCTATCAAAGACAGAATCATAAGAGATGTTAAATATATGAGTTTGTAGCGCAAGAAAACTTCTACAAAATTGTATGTAGGAAAAATTTTGTTACAAAATGCTTGTGATTAAAACTATGGATCACAATGATCAGCAGCGATCATGCTTTGAATGAATAGTTGTCTATCCTTCGAAGTCTTATGAAAATAAGATTTATTGTATATACATTCGATGTGCTTCAGAATACTCTACAACATTCTATATTTAGTTTCTTGATTCTGAATAGATCACCTAATCCGACAGAGTGCTTTTTGTTAAGTTGTTTTACCTTCAGGATCTATTAATTGCATAATACCATAATGTTTTTGTGCAAAGTCAAAAGCTGTTACTAAATTTTCTCGATTAGAATTACGATAGGCTTCTTTTATATCGATTAATTGTGGACTTGAAAAATAAAAAGAAAAAAAAACGAAAGTTTAAGAATAAATGAATTTTTGATTTTTCAAAACTAACTTATGTCGATGAAGTATGGCAAGAAATGCTCGTCCATTACGCCATGAACGTGTAAAATCATCAATATAAATTCCTGGATAACCTTGACACTGTTGACGAGCCCATATTAATAACATATTTCGATAATTTGATGATATCTGATCAACTGATGATTTTCGTTCTGTTGTCGAAGAAATTTTTACGGGTTTTATATCAATAGATGAAGGTGATTCAGTTGTTGGAATAGGTGCTATTGGTTGTTTAACATTTATTGGAATGTTTTCTTCAGATGATGGTATTGTTATATCAGAAAACTAAAAAAAGAAAAAAAAGGATATCAATATAAATAATCTATAAGTAAAGGAACGTTTTGATGTTCAAATGAGTTTAAAAGTTTTTCATAAGATCTAGAATATCGAATGTAGATCTGTAATTGCAAGAACTAAGCAGGACTTGATCGAATGGAGAAGCTAGAAGGTCAACACAGAGGTTTTTTCGCAGACGAGAATATCTCAACATAGAAAACGAATATCATGACGTTAAAACATCTTAATGCTGCCTCTATTACCAATAAAAATTCCAAAATCAAGTAGTTTTAATTTGCCTAACTTATGAAATATTCTTTCGGAAATCTTCACATAAGAGTTAATTGGTATCGTCGAAAAATAATCCATATCTACAATTAAGTTTAATCATTTGCCTTGAAATTTTTCGTAGTACATGCCGTGCTTTTATCAAATTTTCCTGGAAAATATCACAATCGCAGCCACCCATGGAGATGAGATCCATTCTGAAAGAGTCTTAGACAATGAAGATCTCTCTGCATCTCAAGGTTACAGATGATTGAAATATCGTATCTATGATGCAATATAGATATGAAAATTAAATGAGAAAATGAAGATTAATGCATTTCAATACTTTATATGAAGGTCTATCAACATCTAATTGTTGCTTACGGTCAAATTTTACCGAGCTCTATTTGTAGTCAAAATATTAAGCAAAAGTATTGAAATTAATGGTATTTTTACCCGGTAGCAGAGCTTCTTACGACTAATGTATATCTGGCATTTAAAAATCGAAGAAGACGAGATTTTGTATTTCATGTAGATGAAATATAGTTAGTTTTCGAACTCACATTTTGCAGCTGTATAGATGAGAAAAAATTCGCACTTATCGATAATAACAAGATGTATTTAACAAACTATGTAAATGTTTATGTTTATTGAAATGTGACTTTCAAAAGAAGAATTTTTGATTTGATTTCATGGAAAAAATGTTTAATCACGAAACAGAAATCTTCACGATATAATATATTCCATGGTATATTTATTTATTATTGAAAAAATGTTTAAGTAGTATGTAATCTTTTTCTTTTCTTCACTCGTAATAAAAGATTCTTACTTCAATTAATGCTTTCTTCATAACGTTTTTGACTAAGAAAATATTATTAATCGTTGAAAAATATTGTTATGTATTATTTAAATCTAATGCAAGAAGAGAAATGGTGTTCGAGTTTATTAAAGCCTTATGGCTCTTTCACTTATGAAATAATCAATAAGTATTTTAATAAAATGATCAAAATTGATAAACAGAATTTAAAATCAAGTCGTTTAACAATAAAACTATAGAATTTACTTAAAATTAACTTAATTATAATTATTATTATGCAAAAACTTTTATTAAATGAAGGAGTATATTACTGGAAAAAAAACGTGCAACTCTAAAAATGACTTATAAAATTAGATCATAATAAGAATTCTTTTATTTCGGCTGAGTATTCAGTATTACTAGTGATGAACATTATATTACGTTGCAAAGTTTTTTTTTCGAATATTAGATCAACAAACTTCATTTCGATGTAAACAAATATCAAAAATTCATTATTGACATAAATAGACAAAGAGACTAATTGAAAATTTATTCAATATCTTTTTTTATAATTTAACCAATATAGGACGAGCGTTTTTATACTATTGATTAAGCAAGATCTATAGTCAATATTCAATAAGAATTTATTCAATTCTAATTAATATTTTCAATATAAATAGCTGTCATCTTTTGTAAATAATGACGTGAGAATACAAAAATTAACGATGCACTCTTTTTTTTTTTGTTTACAAATTTCGTCTATAAATCTGTCTCGATCAGTAATTCATAAATTAGCTTATGGCATTATATTCTAAGAAAAATATTGCTTTATTAAACTTACTTGAAAATGAAGGATAATACGCCAAATAAGACCTAATGTTAATTTAGGATTTCCATTAACTAATTCTTCCGGACGAATATTAACCAAACGAATCTATATAAACAAAAAAGAAAAAATATTATTAAATAAAAAATATCTTTTTTCTATTTACATTATGATTTTGTTCGAGACATCGAAGACACTGTTCAATATTTTGTAAAGCATGAAATTTCGAAGTACCTCGTTCACGTGGCTAAATTATTAATGAATTTTATATTTAAACAAAAAAAAAAAAAAGGAATAATTTTACTTACAATTGTTTGATTTGTAAATATTTCTAATAATGAAATAAGTATAAGTCCATCTCTTAAATCAAAAAATAAATCATCAACATGTAATCCTTCACGTTTTGATAAATGAAAATTAATCCATTTAGTAAATGTTTTCTTTTGTACTGCATCACGTTGATCAGCTACTTTTAAAACACGTCGATCAGCTGGATCCAAAGCCAAAACAGATATCGGTTTTTCTAATATCCAATCTTCATCATCAATTTCATTAAATATATTATTATTATTATTAATGTTATCTTCATCATCAACAATCATCTCCATCTCTATCTACAATATGAAAATAACCTTGAATATAAATAAATAACAAACATTATTACACATATGGTACCAATTTAATCAAATGACTTTCTCTTTTTAACATTCATTAGTATTCATATCATTTATTTAAATCATCGATATTAAGAACATTATATTCGTTTACTTACATCACCTTTTTTTTCTTCTCTCTTTTAATCGTATATGTACAATTTAACATGTCTCGTTTTCAAGACAGACATTGTTAAAAAGAAAGAAAAAAGAAAATGTATAAACTGTAAGGTATCGTTGGTGACTCGTTCAATCATTCGCTCGTCTACGGCTAAATTCATTTAAAAGAGAGTTACGCCAAACAAACCGAAAGGTGGCACTGCTGCACACGTGTATTTACATATATAGACAATATATGGTCATTATATATGTATATATCGTATGTATCGACGAGACGAAAAAACAAGTAGTGCAAAGAGAAGCACTTAGACTAGTAGAGTGAATAATGAGAATTAAGCCAATAAGATCAGTCCTGTTTCAATGTTGATAACAGATTTTTTTCCTTATCGGTATCCGATGGATCGATTCATAAAAAAAAGAAACAAAAGCGACAGAATAAGTGTTGAAAACTGATGGCATGTCGTACTAATGAAAAGAAAAAAGAAACCATATTGGTATAAAACAAATATAACACTCTCTAAAGATGATGTATTGACATTTTTATTTTGAAGGAAATATTGAGTTGAATTTTTTTTCTTTTATTTTAAAAATAGAAAGTGTCCTTTATTCATATATGAATGGTAAGAAAACGAACAGTAATAATGATATGATGACTTTATAATAATAGAGATAAATTTCAAGGGATTCTACATTCGTTATTTTTTTTGATTACTATGTATAAAATCAATATTTGAATTCTTTTTCTATCAGCTTACTGAATCATCTCAGTTTTAGACAAAACAAAAAATTAAGATAATTAGCTTTCTTTATTTGATTTCTATTCTAATATAAAACGATCACTAAATAACCGAAAACCGTCAAAGAAAACTAATTTACTGTTACAATATGAAATGATGAAGTAATATAAAGGATTGATATAATGTTACATATACTCTTTATAATAAGTAGAATTTTTACACATGTGATTATATGTATTAAAGAATCCTATCGGATACAATAACCATTCTCGATTTGAACAGCTCTATACATCGTTTTCTAGAGCAACTTGCCACTCGTCCAATGATATAAAACAAGTTACATTTTCATTATGATTTAATACTGTGAGAAGCCACATATGCATTAAGTCATATTATAATAATTATGGGTGTTATGATTGAACATCATGACTCAATATGTCTCGAAATTAAGGTGTATAAAATTTTGTTTGAATTTGATTCAATAAGTTTTTTTTTCTCATTTTCAATTGTCTATACCTAATAATTTTCACGAAATTTTTCGCCATATCGAAAAACTTACCATTTTCAATAGCTCTTGTAGTTTTGTTTTGCTTTCATAATGCTTTAGTTTACTCGATGTTATTTCTGAGGGGGAAGATGATCGAAAGTAAAAATTTTCTGAGAAATCGTACATCATCAAACTCTGTGTTAATATCAATTTATCGTTCTTTGAATTGCCGTGGATCATAGCCAAGTCGGCACATTAATGTCTAACGAAGGTCAATTTTTCTAATCTTAAGTACGACAAATTATACTGGTTTCGTGATAAATATTTTATGAATGAAAAATTTTCTGTATTAATAATAAATTCATCATGGCGTATCATTTGACATTTATGAATCTTTTTGAAAAAAAAAACCTTTTGCTTTCGAATTCTTGGAGAGGAAAATGAGAATAAGCTCTTTAAAAAAGTAGTCTTTTTTTTTTCTTGTCATAAATGTAGATTCTGAGTAACCAAATATCATTAGACTATAAAATTCTATAAAATTCAATAGCTGCTTGTTGTCTGTCTCGTGAGAAATAAAAAATTTCCATGTCCTTCTCTAGGGATTCGGAAGCAAAAGAAATTTTTTTTTTCGTAATTTTTTGAAAGATACTTATATGTCAAGTAAGATGGCATTGTAAACATAGTATTAATACATGGAAACTTTTTTATTTAAAAAATATTTCTCATCAAGTCTGTATACTTTGTCGTACTTAGAAATCGAAAAATTGATCGTCTTCAGCTATTAATATACTGATATTACTATGATCCATTCGAATGCAAAGGGCACTAAAGGAATATTGTTATTGAGCTCGGTGGCATAAAATGTCTGAGAAAGTTTCACGCTGAGTTGTCTTTATCCTTAGGAGTAACGTCGAGTAACCTGAAACATTATAAAAGCCATCAATTACAAGAACTATTAAACATAGTCAGTTTTTCGATATGAAGAAAATTGTCATAAGAATTATCAGATATAGATAATTGAAGATGAGACAAAACTCTATTGAATTGAATATAAAAAACAACTTTACATAACTGGATTTCAAGATATACTCAACCATGATGTTCAGTCATAACAACTATAATTGTTATAATATAACTTCATTCGTATATGGCTTCTCATAGCCTTGAGACTTAATGAACATGCAACTTCCTATAAACCATTCGACGCACCACGAGTTACTCTAAAAAGTGGTATATGTAACTTTTCAAAGAGAGAACGGTGATTTTATTCGTCAGGGTCTTTTGTGAATTTGTTTATAAAATAAAAAGTAGATTGAATTCTTTTTCTAGAAAAATTTCTCAAACAAATACCAATAATGACTGATAATATTTTCTTATGAAATATAAATATTTCTACGAAAAAAAAATTAAATAACAAATACTATATTTCTCAATTCTTAAATAATAATAGTTACCTTTTAATCATAACAAGTATTTTATGGTTAAACAATCTGTTTATCTCCGATAATGCTGAATTATCTTGATATTCCATGATGAAAAGGTCAGATGAATAAGAATAACAAACAAAAAAACATGCTATTGATATAGATCAGCGATACATATGTATCTTTCACACGATCGAGCGAAATGGAATACATAGGTAATCTTTCTGTTTTTATCGATCTAATTCTGCAGAAATCTTTCGGTTAAGATCGAAATTTTATGAAGAAATTAAGCTCAATCATTCGATAGAATAACTTTCAGATATTCTTCAAAAAAAACAATATCTGTTTGTCAATATGGAAATTCGTTTTCTTTTTCAATTCAAAATGATTAAATCTGTAGAAAATAAATAATGGAATTCAAACAAACAAACAAACTTATTTCCTATTTAAAATATTTCATTAATATCACTAATCACATGGCTTACATAGAATAATTATGACTTAAGATTTTCTTTTATTTATTAACACATTATAAATAAATAACTAAATGCAAAAGATCAAAACCTCAAATATCCAAGTAGACACTATGTGTTCTACAAAAACAAACACATTGTAATTTTCACGATCAATAATTAACTTTGTACTAAAATAAAACATCTCAAGAAGTTAAAAATTTGTGCGAAGCATTAATTATCAATTCTATTTTCAAAGACAGAGAGCAATTAGAATCAAGTACAAATTCTACATAGATCTGTAACGATGAAGCAGGTAAGTAGTACATAAAGAATCTACGATTAATACAGAGACAGTTTTTCTTAGCATTAAAAATAACACGAAGATGCAAAAAGAAAACACCAATTAGAGTTATATCTTCATCCATTTATCTAACCTTAACATTAATGCTTAAAAATATATCTGAATGATTTTCTGTGAAACAGCATACATAGTTGTTCCTAAATTTGTGTTAATTGCATGCATTCAAGCAAACATTTAAATTACGCAATCAAATACAAGACTCTAGTATTACAGCAAAAAAAAAATAATGGTTAGATCAACAACTAGAAAGACTTCTTTCTCTAACGACGATACTCATCCGATTGATAATCTCTGTTTGAGCTCGTATTTTGCTCATAGTATAGATAAAAATCATAAAAGGAGTCGTGCTGTTAGGTCTTTTTGTTCTCGAGTGGTATGTTCATTTTACTGAATTTTCAGTCTATTGCAGGATATCATAAAAAAAACTTCAACAAAGAGTTTCAGTCTGAAAAACAATAGCTCTCAGACTTCCTGTAATATTCTGAAAGTTTCAACTCAAGCGGATGATTTCTTCTTAAGATACTACATACCTAAAAACTAGGTTATTTTTGAAGCTCTTCTCGAGAAATTAGGCCTAATGGTACAAAGCCTTTCAGGATTTTTATCTATACTATGAGTTCACACGAAGATTATTAGTCGGATGAATTCCCTCATAAGTAGTAAGAAAACAGAAATACTATTAATAACACAATTTTTCCATCACACGAATTTTCAAATAAGGTTTTACATGCAATTCACCATCAACCAATCAATCATGCATAACTAAATAAATGGAAAAACAAACACATTCATTTCGACACTCACGTTGTAATACATACAGTATACTTGGTTAGTATGAAAGAATGATGACTGATGCAAGGAGGGGAGAAACTTCCATCACCGGGTATTAGTTAATTAGTTAAAAGTGAATCTATAACAAGCAGAGAGAAGGAGAAATGAGAATAATAAAATTGAAACAAACTTGATATTGTGTATTTAGTTTGTCATATGTTTATCGATATTTATTTTATTTTATTTGTTTTTTATTCTTTTCATCTATATTCAAAATGTTGTTGTTTTTTTTTTTTCTTATTGGTATAACAAGTAAAAGTAAAACAATAAGGAAAAAAAAAATATTTTTCTTTTGTTTTGATGCTTGTGTGTTTGGTGTTTTTTTTTTTCCTTTTTCCTAAAGTTGATAACCATATTTTTGAAGTACAGCAAGATGTTTAGCAACTTGTGGTTTTGTTGCTAATTTTTCTTTAGCATTTTTTTTGAGTTTTTTTAATTGACTTTGTCGTAAATGATAATGTTTAGCTTTGATTTTTCTTCTTTTTTCTAATGTTGCAACAACAGTTTGATATTGCCAACCAACTTCAGTTGATAAACGGCCAAGTTCAGTAAAACGACGGCGTGGTTTTAAACGCAATGTACGTAAAGCACTTGGAACAACTAAACGTTTCTTTTTATCATAAGGTGTTGGAATACCTTCATATGCACGTAGACGTACTAACGCTTGTTTTCCACGTTCACTTTTATGTGGTACCATACCACGTACAATACGTGTAAAAATTTTAGATGGTGCACGAAAATGAAATGGACCACGTGATGGATTAATATTACATCGTTTACGAAGAAATTCCAAATATTTAAGTTTATTTCGATAAAATGATCCACTTATATTAAGACCTTCACATCGTACAACAACAATATTATGACCTTGTAAGATTGTTTTAGCTACTATTGCTGCTAAACGACCAATTAAATGGCCACGACCATCGATTATTATCGATTGAGCACGAAAACCAATTGGTTGCGACTAAAGTAAATACATAAACGTATAAGAATAATATTGTTTTATATTTTTAAAGAACTTACAGCTTTTTGACGTGCCAGAGCTGTTTTTGGCATAGTTGATTTAATTTAGTTGATCGAAAATGATATCTAAAAAATAAATCCTTATGACTCTCATGCATATTTAGATATTGCAAAGAAAATTAGAGAATATTTATTTAACATTTATTGCTTTGGTTGATATGACGATGACATTTACAATCAATGTTCTACATTCGCATATTAGTTATGTTAGAGGGCGAAACATTTTTTTGATAGTGAGGAACATCAATAACACTACTTGATTACTTTAAACACAATGTTCATCCTCACAAAGTGTTCTGTATGAGAATGAATTACACTAATCAGTGTAGCGACTGGGTTTCAAGTACCATACCAACTTTAATATTCGATATATTAATCGTGAAGTATTAGCTAAATAGATAACAAATGAGATGAATTCTGTTTTAAAATATACTTATTCCTCTAAATAAAAAACTCAAACATTTTCCAATGAAATTCTATGTTTAGAAAAAAAAAAATTCTCTTGTCTTTATTTTTTATTCGAGGTAATATCTATTTAATTCTATCTATAAGCCTCTTTTCTCTTATTCCAAGAAAAAAAAAGAATTTTTTGTAAACAAAAATAACAAAAATAACGTCCATTAATTATTTCTTCGATTCATCTGATTGCTTGATTTTGGACCAAATAAAATCAATTATTATTGAACACATTTGTTATTGTTATTGCTTTTGATTAATAAATTTATGTTTAATATCAATATAAAATTCTTCATTAAAAAGTTTTTTTAAAATAATATTTAATTCTAAAATTGATTTTTATTGGAAAAAAAAATCTTATCTTTCTCTTCTCTAATGTTTTTTTTTATCACGATTGAATTCGAGTGACCTCTATTTAAGCCAATAAAATAATATTTCTCTTTTTGTCTTGTCTCTCTCTTTCCGATAGAAGACAAATCAGTTGTTAAATTTCCATTTCTACGTTATTACGACTGAGTTTTCTATTCATCAAATATTTCTTGTTTTTTTTTTAGAAATAGAAAAAACGGCTTGTTTTTTTCTTTATGAATCTTACCTGCTTTAAAAAATAAATGAGTCAATATCAGTCAAATGATAGATTTCATAACATTAACCTTGATTGTCAAAATAAAACTTTTATATTTTCTTTTTCCTTTTTGTTTTTTTTTTCTCTAAATGCGTTCTAACAATCAAAGAAAATTTGTTTTTTGTCTTTTTTAGAATAAAACATTACAATTTTATATCATCTGATTATTATTCGGCAAGTTACTGGTCAAAAAAAGCATGTGTAATGAAATGATGATATATGAATACTATTCTATATTTATATTTCATAGAAATCGAATTATCTAATCAAGATTTATTTATTAGGAACACAAATAAGATAATACAATTGGGCTTTTTCGAAACAAATATTCAATCATAAAATATTTTTATTGTCTATTAAGTAAATAAATGGACTTATTGATTGAAGTTGTTAATCATTGGATTATTGTTATTTATATTTGAATACAACATATTGGATAGTATGTATTCATATGAAGTAATGATCTGATCTTGTTTTTTTCTCTATATATAATATTGTTTATTTTGTTTTAGTAATCATTATTCATTTTGATGATTAAAATGAAGGTTTTATTTTTAATAATTTATGAGTTTCATGGGAACATACAATAAATACTTATACATATGCTTTTTAATTCAATGAAAAACAAATTAAATAATTTTTATTATTAGAATTCATATAGATAAACAAGAAGAATTAATGTTTTTGTTGTATTTTTTTAGATAATCTATCGATCTCGATCGTGTCTCAATATGGATTACGAACGATGAGTAATACAAATGGTTTTCACCCGCCTTCAGCAACGATGGCGTACAATGGACAAAATGGTTTGTTTAAAAAAAAAGAACTTTTACATTTTTTTATAATACCTTATATTCACTTAGCAAACTATCAAAGTTCGAACTAAGATGAGCTTTTTCTTTCAAAAAAATTGGATTAAATCATTGGTTGAAAACTCTTATGTGGAAGATTTATTCGACAAGTATTATGTGTTAATGTATTGTTAACAGCTTTCAAGCATGAAATTGAATTACAAATTTTTCATGCAAACTGCGCATCCGTTTTTTTTTTCAGACTTAAGAGAAAAACATGTCTCCACACCTCATGTTTTTGTTTTCGCGAAGATACGATTTATTTAACAGAAGCATTACTCATTAAGTACGCCCTTTTTGTTTCATGAAGTTAATGATTCAGTGTAAGACAGTTATGCCCTAAATAAACTTTTGCTCTTGATGAGGTCAAAGCCACTAGGCAACATATGGTTAAGGCGATCCTTATGTTCAATAGTTGTCTAAGTAATCTAATATTTCAGATTAGTTTGAATATATATTTCATTATGTCTGAATTAGCGCTTTGAAAATATTCTAACATCTGTTTATTAGTGAAAAGATACAAAAAATAATGTTGTGAATATGTGATTGAAAGTTATAAGCAAAATATAATCGCAGTACTTGTCGAATAGATTTTATAACATCATTAAAATTTAAAAAAAAAGAATATTTTCATTGTTCACATAATCTGAATTAGAATATTTCTATGAATACTAAGCTTTATATAATTTAACCTAAGATTAAGCAAAATACCTTTTTCCTTTATTTTAAATAATAGACATATGAAGGATCAAGAGATTACAATTTTTTTTTAAATATAGAATTTAAAATTTATATTCTTACTATGTGTTTTGTCTTTAATTAGAAACTTCAAAACGTTTACCGAGTACAAGTAGTACAAGCAGTACCAGTAGTAATAGTACAATAGCAACAAATAAACGTTTAAAAGCAAAATTAATTGTATCAAATGTTAATGAGACACGAACAATGAAAAAAGATAAAACAAAAAAACAAAAATCAACAAATGAATCAAATAAAAAACGTTCAAATCACAATGATTCAAATAATAATTCAACAAAAAAAGTTAAACAATCATCACATTCTCGACATCTTCTATCACATCCTGTTTTACATCATCATCATCATCCTCAACATGAAAAAAAATCTCAATCTGAAAACATTCCATCATCAACAACAACAACAACAACAAATAAAAGAGAACATCATCATCATCATCATCAACATCACCATCATCATGTTATTAATAATGATCATTGTGATTCATGTGGAGAATTATATGGTGAAATGATATCATGTGATAAATGTCCAGCTACATTTCATCTTCTTTGTGCTAATCCACCATTATCACGAGAAGATGTTCCTAAAGGTTCTTATTTTTGTGAAAATTGTCGAGCTAAAGCAGCAGAAGAAGAATTAATAAATAAAGAAAAACAAACAAAAATAAATCTACAAACACAAAAACCATTTTCATATGATCCAAAGAAAAAATTAAATAGTAATGGATTTAAAAAAAATCTACAACAACATTCAACATTAGGACAAATTAAATTACCAACAGGTAATCTTTATTCTTAAGAAGAGTTTATTTTCTCGACAGGAAAAATGATTTGAAATAGAAAAAGCTACAATTTTTCTAAACAAATTTGATCTGCCTTATAATTTGCGGCAATTGAAAAATTTTTATGCAAAAATCTTTTTTAGTATAGAAAACCAGTAAATGAAGACCACAGAAAATTTCTCATGCTTATATTAGGGATTACCCAAGCAGACAAAAATTTTGAAAAACGCGTTTAAACGCACAAACGGGAACCGCGATTGTGAGTTATTCACGCTAATTATTAAAATGCCTGAAACGCCGTTTTTTGCGTGAAATTATCACTTTTAGTGCGTTTACACGATCAAAAACTTGTATTTACAGCGTTTAAACGCACGTTTTTTAAATTTCGGAATTAATATGCGTGTAAACGCTGAAAATACGAGTTTTCGATCGCGTAAACGCACTAAAAGTGATAATTTCACGCAAAAAACGGCGTTTCTGGCATTTTAATAATTAGCGTGAATAGCTCACAATCGCGGTTCCCGTTTGTGCGTTTAAACACGTTTTTAAAATTTTTTGTCTGCTTGGGTAGTATGGTCGATAACCTATTGTCCAGTAGCTTCCGATGAGAAAGCAACTTTAATCGGTTCGCAGTAGGCCAACGACGCAATGTTCAACTATATCAATGACTACTAAGATGGAGGTTAAAATTCTGATCGTTCTTAAAATTTATCAAAGATACTTCCGAAATTGTTTCAATATATTAACTTAATTTCTTGATAAGCGATTATCTTGTGAATTTTTCCTATGCATAAATTTCCTTTGTGACATTTTATTATTGTTAGTATAATTCATGTCGAGAAGAATAATTAATTTTAGAACTAATATTTACAAAAAATCTTCTAAATCCTTCGTAATGAATTAGTTCTGATTTATAAACCATACTAATCATTACACTTTAGTACTAACTGAAAAAAATAAGTTCATCCTTGAAGAAATTTTCCTTTTTAGTATATTCTTCGGTGAGATGCCCTAAAGTCTCACAGGTATTGTTAGAAATATTATACCCGAGATCTCATATATCATTCCTTTTGATTAAGGAAGAAAACATGAGACTGTCTCTAGTTTCATTTCAATAATGAATGTCTCGAGGCTACGAGGATCGAAGAAGTCAATGTGTCTGGAGGCAGATTATAAGGTTTTTTGCTAAAATTGATTGGATTTTAGCGGGAAAGTCATCCCTTCCTGTGCGCGGAACACCCCTATTTAATTGATTTTTCTATTGAAAAAAAAAAAAATTTCGACTTGAGCAAAATTTTACTAATATTATTCTTGAAAATTAAAGAAATCAATATTAATTTTCTTTCTTTGTTTTAAGCATCAAATGGTCGATCATTAATACAACCATCTGGTGAAATAAAATTTCGTGCAACAAATAATACCACTAAAATGAAATCATCATCATCGAATCTCAAACGAAAACGTATCGATTCATTGCATTCGCCACCATCGATAGCAACTCCGCCTATAAAAATTCCTACGACACAAATTGAAACATTACGTCGTTTACTTCTTTCATGTCGACCAGAAGAATTTCATGGTCCATCGTTACCATTCGATGATCCAACATATAATCGTGATAATTATTTTCAAAAGAATACATTAACATGGCAAAAATATTGTTTTATATGTCGAAAATCTTCAACAAATCATATTCCATCAATACATTGTGATTATTGTCCATTAACATATCATTTAGATTGTTTAACACCACCAATGACATCATTACCATCATCAACAGATAAATGGATGTGCCCAAATCATATTGAACCAATATTAGATCGTTATTTATTAAAGAAAAATAAATTTTCTACAAGTGAACGTGTTAAAATTTATCAACAATATTCACAAATAGAACATAATACAATTATACAAGATTTTACACATATGAGACAAACAAAAAGACATCTATTGTCAAAAACAACAGATAATCGTAGATTAGAGCGTATTGATATAAGTCATATACCCAAAGTTATTGAACAATATTATTTTAATGCAAATAACAAATCTAAACAGTTTTATGAAAATCAAATTAATGATAATACAGAAGAAGAGAAAGACAAAAAAGAGAAAGAAGAATGTGTACAGGTAAAATTCTGTTTTACTATAAAATCATATATGTGAAGATATATCATCTAATTGAAAAAAGCGAATTATATCAATGTCTATTAACAATATGATTGAATATCCGTTGCTATTGTAAATGATGTCAGTATAGTCTTTCACTATGACAATATCAATAATAAACGAATGTACATTCATGATAAGTTTAATAATGTAAATAGAATGTAATTAGATGACAGTGTGTGTGTATAGTAGAGCATATCGAGTCTAAAATTTTCGAACTCAAGACAAGTTCATAGAAAAATTTTAGACCCAAACTCGATTGGATCCGTGTCTTACACTACTCCAACGAGCTCTCATCTAGATCATTGATGAAATCGATTTGAGTTTTCGATGGCCGATAGACCGGCTTAGAAGAGTACAAAAGTTGTATTTTCTATGGTTATACTACTTATTGTTGATGTTATGAAACCTTATTTTTCCAATTAGTTAAACAAATGTTTTTCTGTGCATAATAATTATTATAATTCTCGGTTTTTAAGCAATTGCTCCGCACAGACCAATTGATAATTCAGTCACAAGGAAACAAAATATCACTTGGATCGATCATATATAAAGTTGTATATATTCCCTCGTTCGTATATTTCGTTTTTTTAGAAAAATTTTAACTTTCTATAAATTCACTATGATGTTTTTTAAAATTTTAGGCACTTATTGGTCTTGATGAATGTTCTTCTACATATGATCCATGTGTATGGGATATATTACAAGCAATACTTAATCATATCAGTGATGGTCATGTATATGAATTCTCATCCATAGTCAATTCTTCTTTATTAATTGAGAATGATAAAATAAGAAAAATATCACATGAAAAAGAATCTAATACACTCGATAAAATTGATATACTATTGAATGCATTAAATGAATCAAATTATTCAATAGAACACAATAAAATTCATAATAATGGTCTTGAAGTTCTTCTTGCTGCAGCTGATTCATGTTTAAATAATGAAAATTCTTCATTAGTATCAAAACAAATACCGTAAATATTATTCTTTAAGAACAAAAACAATAAAACCAACAAAACATAAAATTTGTTTTCTTTTTTTTCTATTTCTCTTTATAGAACTTCATTAATGAATACTCTCTCACTTTTAATAGATCTTTCACAATTTCGTTTATCTCATGCAGCCATTATACATATACGTTCTAAACATATTATTTATATACGCAAACAAGTTATTTGGTTTGGTTCATCATTATCAAATGATATATGTTTGAAAAATTTCAATGATCAACAAACATGTCAATATGTTTCAGAACGACATGCTTGTTTATTTTATGATCGAAAACGAAATCTATTTGAATTATTAAATTATAGTGAATATGGTACAATTGTTAATGATCTTCGTTATGGTCTTGGAAATATATCTGATAATGAAAGTGATGATGATGATAATAATGATGAGAAAATATTTGAGAATGATAAGTTAAAAAAATGTTTTTGTTTAACATCACCATCATATCATTCAGCATGGGATGGACCTGCCCAAATCGAACAAGGAACAGTAGTTCAAATTGGTTGTCATGAATTTCTCTTTTACCGGCATGTTGTCCGATAGTACAAAACAAAAAGAAAACTTCTTTCTTTTTTTTTTGTTTCTTTACTCTTTTGTACATAATTTACTTGTGATTTTGGGTTATTTCAACAGAAAGAAAAATAATGTTGACGATGAAGAAAACACACACACACACACACACAAAGACGCGCTTGTATTCTTTCTCTTCTTATTTTCGATTATTGTTTTTGTTTTCTTTTTTTTTCCCCTATAACGCATATCATTATATATAATATATAAATATAAATATATATATATACATAGCTTAGTGCCCGAGATCGACATTTGTTCTCGTTGTCTATTTTTGTGTGTATGTTATACCTTTTTTTTCCCTCTATCTCTCTTCTCTATGTCATGTGTATAAGTAAAGAATTATGCGCGACTTATTCTACGAGCATAAAAAGTTTTCTTTTTCTGTTTTATTCAAATCAGACAAATCGATAAAAAAGACTATCTAATGATAACAGATGCTTACCTTTCGATAAGATCATCGGACAATCAAAAATCTAAATAAGATTTTTAGAATTATACATTTTCAATATAATTCATATGTTTCAAATATAAAGATATATGAATATTTTTGATCACCGAAAAACAAAAGGTACATTTGATTCATAGATCTCGATGTGAAAAGTGTTGCACTGGGCTAGCCCTCTGCACTTTTTACGTTACATCTGCAGAATTTTAGACAGCAGTTGTTCTCAGTCACTTTCTGTTAAATGGGTTGACTGCCAATTTCTTTATTCCTGGCACTTCTAAGCACTATCGAGAGATGGAGCAAGCTCAGTTTCCTCCAAAAATCTTTGAATTTCCTCTCGAAATGAGACGATTATTTATTATCGGCGAAAAAAATGCCAACTTTTCAGTATTTTAATTGGAACTGAGCCGCCCACCTGCAATATTTTTTCTGACTCTACCACTATTCATACAATAACAAACGGTATAAGAATATAACAGTCATACTGTTACAAAAATAGATGAGATAAATATATTACACTGAATGATAGAAACAGAGATGGTGTGCGTATGGCGTAGATGAAAATAACAGCCACTCTCCTGTTCTTCATACGTTTTTTGAGTTAAGCCCCCCCCCCCTCCAAAAAAAATTGATCTTGACTCAGGGACATTCAAATTGCAATAAAATTCTTAGTCCTATACCATGATTTTTTCGGAAGATATTTAATAAACAAGGAGCTAAAATAGCTCATTTGGCAACCCGAAATTCTCTGTGAGTCTTCATTCTATAGACTTAATGTTTCTTTTGTTTAAAAGAGAATGGAAGAATACAGAGTATATGATAGAATCCTTTTTTCAAGTTCTTACTTCTTAAGAACAGAAAATTTCAATGTCTCAGAAAAAGGGTGCTCTAATTATAACAGTATTCTTTTATCTAATGATAACAAAGTTTAATTCAATAAAACAGGTTTTGTTATGTTCTCTGTGTCGACATGGTCTTTGAAACAAACAAACAAAAAATGTTTGCTACCATCAAGTTCATTGGAGAATTCTGAGACGTGCAATGAAAAAAACAAATTAACAGAGAAAACTTGAAGAAGACTTGTCAAGCAGAAAATGGCAACATTTTTCAGAAAAAATGACGTGCAAAATAAAAGAATCATGTCAATTATGAAAGACGGGATGTCGGATTGTCTTCACATACATTTATCTCAATTTTCATGTTTTTGACGAAACCTGACTTTTTTTTAGAGCAAGGGTTACATGAGATCATTTTGATTATGTGACATTATTATTGTTTAACTTTGTCCTATCATTCAATTAACTTCGGAAATAAATATATCATCTGCTACGAGTGCGCCATCTATTACTCATTAATACTAACTGTCTATCATTCATTGCATACTCATACGTTTATTTAATGATCAAAGGACAGTTTTTCTCAAACAAAAAATCCAATAGAACGATTTCAAGTTAAATAAGTCAAAAATTCAATAAGATTTTCTTTAGTGGAAATCTGTTATATATTTTATCTTCATTGACATTCATTCAATACGCCATCGGCATATGCTGTCCTCGTGTACGTCGAGAGATATTAATTAGAGTAGGAAGAAAAAAAGAAAAAGAAAAGTATCAAATGCAACTGAATAATGATAAGATTTGACCATCAACTTTGACAGTACGATGATCATGTTCAAGGTAGTCAGTCGAGATTAATCGAGGTATTTCTCTGAATATATACGTCATATTAATTGAATTCACATGACAAAAATCATTGTTTTGTTTGAATGATTGTACTCACATTGTTGTTTATCTGTTAACAACCACTTATAACACACTCAACTTGTTTTTGATCTCTTACATATATATTGTTTCGATTCTTCTGATCATCATTAACAATATATCAATGTAAGATATAACAAAAAAAAAAAAGAAAGAAGTTAGTAAGTCATCTTCTGTATTCCTTTTGTTTTAGTACATGTCGATCAACATACTATTGAGTACGTAGCCTACTGTAAGATGTTTTGTCTAAACAATATCATATAGCCTAAGGTCATGATTTGTCTATAAATCTATTCGGCATGATTCAACTGTTGCTACTGTTTGCAATTGTCTCATATATAGATAATAATAGACGACAAAATTTTGATCTTCTTTTTTCGAACAAAAGAAGAAAAAAAAATAAACCATACGGCACTTTTTCCTCTTGTCACCTCAGCATGATTTTCTATAAGGTGACAAAGTACGTAATATGAGTAGATCCACGTGTTATTCAAAAAGGTGTACCTAACTTGTATTATATAAATTCTATTATTATGATAAGAATATTGTTGATTAAACTAGCGAAAGTTGATAGTCATTTGATTATAATACTGTAGAAGTTAGAAATGAAGTTTTGTATTTTCGAAACAAAACAAAAAAAATGACTCCTACTGTGAACTCATCTAAATGATCTGTCTGCACGAGTATGAATGAATATATCTCTTTATGTGTGCCTCTCACTCAAACAATAGACAACAGAAGTGCGTAGTTTTTTTTTTTTTTACTATAACTTTTCTCGCCTATTTATATGAATGTCTGATTGAATGCAGGTGTAGCATGCTATGACTCTACTATTTCCTGTATACGTATGTTCATTCATTGTATGAAGATGATGAGTAAGGAGGGCAGAAGGTATCGCATGTCTATAGAACGACAAAATTGGCTAGACATACATTACTCAAGTGTGAGAACAATGGTGATCACGCTTATTCGATAAGAGTATATGTTGTTCATATGTACGTGTAGGGTGTGGAAAAAAGGTGGAAAAGAAGGAAGAGAAATTATTAATTTTTCTCTCTTTTTTTTCTAGTATATTTAATTAAATTGCTTTTTGTATTGCCTCAAAAAAAAGACAATAATCATTCAAGTAGTCGCAATTTTGAAACATTTCGTTTTCATTTTTTTTTTTGATGATATAGATTCGTTTGTAGTCTTTACATTTCTTTGTTCTATTCGACTACTGTTAAGTGCCTTGTTGTCAATCGTAAGTTTCTTTTTTTAATTTCAACCTATGATCAAAACACTTCTCAATTATTCTTATTTCTATTAATCAATAATCTATTTTCTTCTTCTTCTTCTTCTTCTTCTCTTGACTATGTACGATTCATTACACAAGAAATGACCAATAAATCATTTGTAAATGCAAAGGTGTCGTTTTGATATTCTCTCACACTATGTTATGTATATAGACAAACAAGATTATTATCATGTCGATCAAATATAAATATCTATATACAGATGCTAGAAAAGAATAAGAATATTTCTCACAATATGATCAGTTCACAGCCGTTTTGTTGTCGAAGCGCAAAGTCCATTGAGCTGAAATCGATAAGAAATTCTCAATGATTGTAAATTATTCGAAAAGATTCATATGATGAAAACTAACTGAAACAGTCAATAGACAACTATCACATAGTCAAATTTCAGATCTTCTCGTTTCATTGACACAAATTTTCTCTAAACCATCTCAGAATTTTGTTGAAGAAATGTTGTCTTAAATTAATTAAACAGTAATAATACTCTCCAATAGTTTTAAAACGAACGGTATTATCAATAAAAAAAAAACAACAGAAAAACGCTCTCGATTAGCAAATACAGTTGTAGACATTGGAATTTATTACTTCCATATCCCCAAATGAGAAGCATTTTCAGGCCTGCCTCCAGAAGCGTGCCTTGATCTCCTACCTCAGAGCAAAGGATGGAGATTTGTTTGGTTTGTATATCATGAGGATTTTGTAGAGACCCGTTAGCTTAACCTAGAAAACTCCGCGAGAAGATGGTTTTGCTTTGTCACCTTGTTTGTCATTAGGTAATTATTTAAATAAGATTAGTAATATTTTGTTATCACTATCTTATGGACTATTAAATAATATTCTCATTTCTATTATTACAATAACTTTCTGTAATACAAAATTGTGCTTATTTCTCTTCATAAGATACTACTGAATAGAACGTGTTGATGAAAAGAGGCCAAACTCTAGATTTTAAAGATAGGAAAAAAGCTCATCAATCTCTAATGCACAACGGTCATTGTAATTGTTTCAAAAATTTATCTGAATCTAATTAAGACATACAAATTTTTTTTTCTGTTCTTCAATTAAACAAACGTTCCACTTTTTTTTTTTTATCGTTCCTATCAATACTTTTTCTTCGTTCTTTTCTTTCATTCTGTTTCTCTCTCCTCTCATTCGATCGCGATCGTTCGTTTCTCATTTTCCATTTTTATATCAATCAACACATTCATATATATTTCGATAGAATGACAACAAAAACGACAATTACCTTATCACCAATAAAACATCATCATGGATCAATTAATTTAAGAAAAAGTCGTCAAATATTTTTATTAATAAATCGTAAACAACAAATGAACTTATCATTAACAATACCAATAATAAATTCTTTACCAACAATGATTACAGATAGTTGTGAAAAACAAATTATACTACCAATGAAATTACCTGATCTTGTTAATGATATTCTTATTGAACAACAACGACGAGAAATTATTGTTAATATTGCAACTATATTAAGAAAAGTTGGTGATCAAATTGATGAACAATTACAGGTGATTATCGTTCGTAAATAAATCATTATTTTTTGTTTTTTTTGTTGATAAATATATAAATATTTATCGATAGTTTTCATTCATATGGAACTTTTTTTGTTTAGATAAACAACACTTCATCAGTATCATCGTCATCATCATCAATTGATCACATATTTGGCCAACGAACCATTACATTCATTCATGGTTTATGTCATGTTCTTCGTTTTTTCTTGTAATTTTTCTCTTTTTTTTTAAAATAATATTTGCTGTTCATTGGCCCGGTTGATGGTGCTATTTAGCCCTCTATGTATATTGAATTTGTTTTTTCTTCTTGTTTTTCCTCTATTATTTATTTTTCAATATATATATATATATACATACTAATATTTAAATATCATTAATCTTTTTTGCTTGATTTTATTCACTAATGAAATAAAGTTTTTTTTTGTTTTTATTGATTAAGTCAAAATTTTTTGTTGAAAAAAAGGAAATATGATTTATCACCTTTTTTTCGATTTAAGGAATTTTAATTCAATCAACAAGTACATAGATACATACTTATTATGATTGACTTATCACGTTGTATTTTTTTTCGATTGACACGCGAACATATTTATTTTCTTCAAATGTGTTAAGTATGAAATACTGATTAGGTCACCGGATATGGTCAAGTAGTGATCATCATCACCTTTTCATTTGTCTTTCGTATTGACTCAAGTAGTTATTTGTCAATGAGACAGACAATCATCCATGAAAATGTCATATGAATATATACCGCTGCTGCTTTCTTTCTTTTTCTTTTTTTTTTTTTTTTTTTGCTTTGTCTTTTGAAAAGTGAGACTCTTGAATTCCTCCGGATGGGACACACAAACTGGATCAAGATCATTGCCGCTGTTCTTTTTGATCAACAATCGATAAGTGTCTTGTATTCAATGTCATATCAATTTCATTGCAGTCAATTGCACATACACTTCATTTAGATTTTCTATGGTAGCGGCAATGAATAGTTTCCTTGTTCTTTCTTTGACATTTTTTTGTTGTTGTGGTCTGTTGATATGGTTGTGTATAGTTTTGATCTTTTCTTTTCTTTTCTTTTTTTCATGTATGTCAATGAAAGGAAATTGAAAGTGGCACGTGCGTTTCAAATTTCAATCATTTTTTATTTTATAGAAATGATAAAAAATAATATATTTGACAATAATGGTTAATATAGAGATGGAACCGATATCAGTCGGTCTGCCGGTAGACTAGTCATTACCGGTGTGTCTTAGTTATTGTTTTGTTCTTATGATCTCATACAGAATGTGTAATAGTTGATTCTTTCTAATATCACTATCCATAGATAGAAAAGTAGGACAAATCGTCAGTCCAATGTCGGTTGGCCGTTCACGAAAAATTCAGATCGGTTTAATCTCTAGATTAATAGGCATATAATGACATTTGTTTTTTGTTATATTTGTCAAATAGGAGATTCGATTTGTCTAATTAAAATTGGAAAGAAAATAAAGAATAGGTTCTTTTTTTGTGTCTTTGAGAGTATCTAAGTTTTGGATTATTTTGTTTTGAATATTATTTATTCAAGAATCAACAATTACATCAGTATTGTCATTTGTTGTTATTTGATAGTCTGTGGTTTTAATTACATACATTCATTTTACCAAATGACTTGATAAGTATTATATTTTTGAAATTGATCTTTTCTTTTCTTTTTTTGTGTCCACAAGACATCTATATATAATTAATAAAGTGTTACTCGATTTATAATAGATGCCTAAGGCATTTAATCATACAGGTGTTGTATTTGTCTATTCGTTAAATCATTAGAAAAACAATGTTGTATCGTTGTTAATCGATTTATATCTTATCGCATGCTATGAGAACAATACCTGTATATATAACACACGTATTAAGTTGATCGTCCGATTACTTCATATATATATGTTCAACTAAAGTTTAGCTTTCGTTCAATACTTAAAAGTGTTAAATATCATGCTGAGGTAGAAAGGGCGGAGAACTACTACTGTCTCTTTTTCTCTCTCTCTGTGTGATTCTTATGCACCTGTATATTTATGGTAAATTCAACTATTATTTATACTCATTTGTTTGCTCTCTTCGACTTCTACTCAATCTCAATTGAGAAAATGAAGGCCGGATATTGACAATAAAATCTAATCAAGTGGATATAAGTGAAGGAGAAAGGAGAACATAAGCTGATTGACAAATGAGTTATGCGCGTGGCTATGGCATGTTTGTTGATTATTCTATAGATTTTTTCATTCAACAATGTTTACTCGATTGAAACAAAATGAATAGATAACATGAGAATTATTTTTTGACTTATGTGTATACTTATTTAGTTCGATACACAATTTATGTTTGACAAAAGAGTATGTTTTCTTATCAACAAAACAAATTGAAGAATAGTAATTGTTGTTTATAAACTATTATTGATTTGTATAGTAAAATTAATGTTTTTCATGAACATTTTGTTTTTGTTTTCTCAATGTGCAGTCAATAACAATATCAATATTGAAAATGATGTGTAATTTCTATAGTATAGAGATTTAATGAGCAAATAAATGATCTTAAATAAATAAATAGATTTTCTCATAAAAGTATGTGTAATAACTTCAAAAGACTATTGAAAGTAAATATCTATATATTTTATTTGACTTATTTTCAACATAGATTGTATATTTTTCATGAAATTAAGCTCGAAAAAGATTATTGTTTGATATTTGTATGAACCATGGAATTCACTATTGATCAAATAGATAATAAAACAGTTCAATACAAATGATTCAAAACTTGATGAGCAATTAATTTCTTTTTTTTTCTGTATCTTTATCGGATAGTAGTTTTTTCATCGAATTAAAAAACAACAACAACAACAACAATCTTTTAGAAAAACATTGACAAAAGAATTCTTGGGGTATGTATGGTCTCACGATCTTTATCATTTAGCAAATATTTATGATGTAATTATTTTTATTTATTTTGAAAATTTTTTCCAGAAAAATTCATTATGTGTCATAAGTTTTAAAAAAAAAGTGTAAAATATATTTTTCACTGTGTCTATATGCCTATTTCAAAGATTTAAATTCAAAAGCTAATTATTCAAATCTATTGAGTTTTATAGAGATTTTATTTTAAGCCTCTTATTGTGAATTCATAAACATAGAACATGAGTAAGATCTAATTTTACTCGTTATAATACATAATACGCTATTAGTTACTTTTCAGAGAAAGTCTAAGTATGACTTTGTTGACCTTATTTTTTTAACAATTTCCTTCGGAAAAATTTATTGAGTTAAAATTTTTTCAAACATTCGCTTGAATTAATTTATGATATTCTAGGTACAGATGTTCGCTTGTGAAATATTTCTAAAAGCAAGTTAAGTAAGAATAGTGTCCTGCACAAGTACGACTTTTTGCAACCGAACACGAATCAGAGCTAATCAACACCAGGCAAATACTTTCACGGTCACAGTACGATTTTCAAATTTTTATTTTATATGAAAAATTATACTATTTTGTTTCCTTCATAAACAACAGCAGAAATTCATTTAGTATCTTTCTGCTTCTTAAATCCGATCAATTTAGCTCAGTACACATTCACTTGTTGCTAATGACAGCGGAATCGAACGCAGTGTGTTGGTATCAACCGTAATAATTGTGGATACATACATGAATGCTTTTTCCATCACATTTATACATATTCACTTTTGTGACGATTCATTTTCTTTTTCATATATTCAATTACTCTGTTATATAGTTCATTATCTTCTGTGGGGGAGTTTCATTAAAAACAAACTCTTTTAGTAAAAACAACATCGCTTTTTATTTTTGCAAACTGTTCTCAAATATAATTAATTGCTCAATCATGATCGAATTGATTTTCACTTCTATGCTTGTATATAAATTATCAGTTTGAAAGACTAAAAATATTTTGAAATGTCAAGATACCATTAATTGTTGCGTCGGATCCGAATATGAGATCATATCTGGGACCAGAAACCATGCTCTAAACTGGACCAGGTGCTGGGTATCTGATCAGATTACAGGACATTATATAAGAAACTGTAAAAGTATTGCAAACAAATACGACAAGATGCTGACTATGGAAACATCAATAACTAATTATTATCTGAGACTGTTCAACTTAAACTCATTTATTTTCGTACACTTTATCAGCAGGTACATGGTTTGAAAAGGCAACAATATTCATCATCGAGTAATTGAAAATTCAGTAGCAATCGCGGCGATATTCAATAGAGTTTAAGACAGTCTACAGTTAAAAGACTTAAAACTCTTTGACGCACAGATCGATTCAAGAAGTTACCAAGATGGGCACATACAATCCCAATTTCGGAGTTCCAAACAATGAATTTCATTTAATATCTTGAAGTTTTTCTTGAATAGCAGAAATGCAAGAGAATGCGAGACATTCTAAATTTAGAAGGCTTCAAACACTGTCATAAACGTCCACAATATGAAAGCTTACAAGGACAGACACATACAACCCTAAAATGGATGCTCAAAACAATGTATCCTGTGCGACTTTTTTGAATTTTCAATTTCAGCATCGTGAATATGTCTCTACTCAATTAATATGTCATTGCAATGAATAACACGCATCAATCATTGTATAAATAATTTTTCTGTAAATTTGTGTAGTAAAATAATTTCTATATTGTTTATTAAAGTATCAGTGAATATTAATTAAAGAGAATTTTTCTTTCAAACATTGTTTAAGAAAAGATATCAATGAATTTTTCAACTCAATATTGTATTTTTCATTTCGTTGATTTGTTCACTATGTTGTAATTATTGTCTAAAATATAATACTCTATCAAACCCAATCAAATAGACAGTAACTTTTGAAATCTTTGCTCTGTTCAATAAGCGAACGACGAATCGATCGATCAAAATCTATGTAATGGAACAAAGAGAGCTTTATATTCATCGAATGATTAATCGATGACTGTTGATTCAGATTTTCTCTCATAGAAGTTTGGATGAATAAGCAAATAATCATATTAATCATGCTACTCTTTGTATTGGATTCTTGTTTCTCTGACGATGTCTATATTCAGATTATAAAACCTTTCTTTTTTCTTTCTTTAGATTATTTGTCATCAATTGACTTAGCCTATTCTATTTACATTTATACGCTCAATTCTGTTGAGAATAACCTACTGATACAATCGACTTCATCATTAGTTGTATTAAGCATAATTAATGAAATTCAATTGTTTTATTCTCGAATTTGCGTTCCGTAAGTGAATTAGAAAAAAAAACAAATCATTAAGAACCATTGTGTTTTTTTGCTTTCATCTAAAAATACCAATATTAAATTATCTTACAGAATCATACGATAAAAAAAGGATAGATTATATATTTTAAATAGATTCTTTTTTAATTTTCTAATGATGTATTATGTTTAACAAAAATGAACCTTCTATAGTAGATATTGAAACAAATAACTTAGCTAATTATGTTTTAAATCAAGAAAATTTTTCTAATTAAATGTGAAACATAATCCAAGACCTAACATCACATTTGCTTTCGCACAATTAAATGAAGACGTTCTTCTATAAAATCTATATGACGCCCCACATCCCGTGAATTAAATTCTTCTGTTTCGTCATGTGCTTCGACAAGTTCCGATGAGCATATCGATCCTATCAGAATAGTATAACAATGAATTAAATGGACATTTTTTTCTTCTACTACTTACCAAACAGATGATTGACACCATCATCACTTACAAGATAAGGAGGACCTATTATTAAATATTCGTGATATGCAATTATCAAAATTTAATATGAAAATATTAACCTTTAAAAGCAGGGTCAGTATAATTTATGATTACAAGAAAGAGTTGAGTATGACCAGGTGTCATCATTCGAAAAAGACAATCTCTATATCTACAGAAAAAAATAAATAATGATAGAAAAATATAATATATATGTATTCATACTGTTCACGAGTCGATGGATTGATAGCTACAATTCCACCACGATCCCATATATAATCAACAGGTGGAAGAGGTCTAAAAACATAATTGAAGGTTTGAAAAATAAATATTGATAGATTTCTTACTTGTTAAAAGTGAAGAAATCAGCAAAATACATGGTAACAGGACAATTGATACCCTTCATAAATAAGATATTAATAAACATTAGGATAGATTATTTTTCATTTACTTTGTAAATTTCACATTGATTGTTTTCATCTTTTTCGGTTTCATATGGAATATTATTTTCGTTAAAAAATGCTTCTATAGCAGCTTGAGATCCTTCAATACCAATAACTTGATGGCCTGTATCTAAAACTGCTTTCATATCCAATGTTTTACCACATAAAGGAAAAACAACACATTTTTGTTTTTTTGATGAAAGAAGTTTTGGAAGAATATGTTTCTTGAATAAGCTTTAAAATCGTACAAAAAGAAATGAGATTAAATATATTCACGATGCAAGAAAGAATATAAAACTTACTCGCTCACAAAAGTTCGGTGAAAACCAATACTATTTTGTTGCCATTTTTCAACCCAAAAATTCAAACTTCCATCATTAGATGTCGGTGCTCGTTGTTCTGTTGATGAGTCACACATCTGATAGATTAATTAATTTTTTAAATCTAGAAAATTTATCATATAGTTCAAAAGAACAGTTTACTACCAATGAGATTTTTTTAAACCTTATCTTCAGTTAAATAAGTTATCGATGTTTTTTTTTTTTTTTTTTTATTAATTTTTCTTTTGTAACAAACTTTTTTCTTATATGTAAAACAATATTTATTTTAAATTCGAACTCAATTGTTGTCTTCTCTCTTATTTTTCTTTTTCACTATATTTTTAAAGTAGTAGAGAATAAGAGACGAAGAAAGAAAACGTTCTATGCATTACACCATCCATACCTAACATTCAGCGTCCTTCTTTTTGCGTTTACTATTTTTATTTTTTTTTTTGACATCAATATTGGATCTGATTCATTAAGGGTACATGCATGCAAGCATGTGCACATTAAGAGTAGTCGCTTCTATTATATTACCGTCATGGACTGCTTTACTCATTCTATTTTCATTTATGCGTATGGCATCGAAAGTAATCATTCATCCAGACGTCGTTTTTGTTTTTTTTTTGTTTATAGAATGAGAAAGAAAAAAAAATCATTGCGCAGTAGAAGAAAAACAAGAAAGAATTTTATTACACTTATTTTGTTGTTCGACGTCGTCACATTTGCTTATTATAAACGTATAAAGATAGACAGAGCACACATGCAATATATTCATTTAGTCATTTTCTTAAGAAACAGAAAGATACAGCGTTGTTTATTTGTTTGTTTTTTTCCCGTTCGTGTCTGCTTTTTCTTTTCATTCTTTGCTGTATCACCCTTGAGAAAGAAAGAGACAGATATGATACGTAGAAGGACAGTTAACCAATATAAACTTTGGCCTTTTTCTTCTCTCATTCTTTTAATAACAAAGCACCATACAGTAGAAACATGACGGTCGCTTTTTTTTTATTTGAGAACTCAAGGCCAGACAAACATAATATATTTACAGTTACTCACGCTACAAAGTCCTTTGAAATGTGACCGCTTTTTTCTCGGTACGTAGTTCACTTCGAACAATTTTTAGTTAGGTAAGATACATCAAGACCTTTCATCTGTCTTCTCTTCATTCTTTTCATTATACATGAGCAGAAGAAACGGTAAAGAATATCAGGTTGTGACTTATCATTGTTTTTTTGTTGCTATTACAAGATAACAAGTTGCCAAAACTGCCGGTCAAACAAGAAATTCATTCTATCTTGTCTACATTTCTTTTTTTTTTCTTCTTCGACTTGCGTTCATCTTATATTTCAGATAATCTGAATATATATATATATATATCATTTCTTTAGGCTAACGAATCGATGTTGTTAACAGATAGACTAGATAATATAGTATACACAACTGTGCAAGTATTAATCCAAAGGTTACAAAAGTATAAATTGTTGCGAAAGATATTGTTGTAACAAAAGCATAGTTGATTATTATTTTTAATTTATTTATTTTTTGTCTTTTAAGATTAAATTTTCTTTAATACATATATATATTTCACATACTTATGGCTGAAAATAATTCAACATCAGAAAATAATTTCAATGAACCTAAAGAACAAGGTAGAAATATCTGAAAATAAATTTTTTTTTTGTTATTTAAATGAATTTGACTTTCATAGATAATACTACTGTACATGAAGGTGAAACAAATGAGACGCACAAGGATGATTCAAATGTAGTAACAAACACTGAAAGTCATCATGAAACAGAAAAATCAGTTACTGAAAATACCAATGATTCTATTGCATCTGTAACTCATCAACTTGAAGATATTCATGTCACAGTTGAGGATGTGATGAATCCACCTGCCGTGGAAGAAACTGGTTGGTTACTATAAATAAAACTTTAATTACTATATTTTAGTAATATATTTAGAAACAACACCAATGGAGGTAACCAATACCGGTGAAGTCAAAGGTAATTACATTTCGGTATCGATCATGAGAAAATAAAAATAAAAAAAGTGTGATTGACATTTTTAGATAAGGCTAATGAAATAATTCCTACGAATAACGATGAAGTAAATGAAGTAACAAATACAACAAGTGAAACAATAAATGAATTACAAGAACATGCAACAAATGCTGCTCATAATACTCAAGAAACGGTTCAAGAAGCAGCAGATCATGTTCCAGGTTTATTATTTTGTTTCAATTAATATATCTATAGAAGCTATTTTTTTTAGAAAAAGCTACAGAAGTAAAAGAAGATGTTGCCGTAGTTCATGTAACTGAAGAAAAGGCTAAAGAAACTGAACATCATGTTGAAGGTAAACTTGTATTAAATAAAAGTTTTATTATACGAAAATCTTTTTAGAAAAAGCTGCTGAATTAAAACATGATGCTGAAGAACGAGCTGAAGAATTAGCACATAATGCTGAAGGTAGAGTTTTGTTTTTCTACATATTTTTTTTTAATTGATTATTTATTCAGAGAAAGCTTCTGAGTTAAAACATGATGCTACAGCTGCTGCTCATGATGCAGAAGTCAAAACAAATGAAACAGTACATAATGTTCAAGGTATTATAAGTTGCCTGATCATTTGTTCTTTTTCTTTTCTTTTTTATAAAACTAAAATAAATTTTAATAGAAAAAGCTTATGAACTTGCTGCTAGTGCTAAAGAAGCTATCATAACCGGTGAAAAATATGCGGAAGAGACATTAGCGGCTGCTAAAAAGACAGTTCAAGGTTAGCAATTTTTTTTCTGTTTTTGTTTTTGCATAAATAATTTAACTTCATTTTTTGTATTCATTTAAAACTTAAGAAAAAGCAAATGAACTTGTTGATACTGTTAAACACATGGCTCATGATACAAGTGTTAAAGTACAAGAATTTGAAAAAACAGCTGAAGAGAAGTTAGGTGAAGCCGAAAAATTAGGTAAAATTTATATAGAATGATTTCTATTTTTAAAGTATATTTTCAATTAAGGTGAACAAAGATTTGAAGAAGGAAAACAATGGGTTAGTGAGAAAACTTCTGACGTTATACATAAAGGTAATGAAATGCTTGGTACAACACAACAAGCAATAATTAGTGGTGCAACTGCTGTAGCTGAAACGCTTAAACACGAGGCAGAATTATTATCAGAAGCTGCTTCCAATGTTGCAGCAACTATTGAACACGCAATAGTCGATGTTAACACAGAAGCTAGTTCTGCAGCTGATGCTGCTGTAACAACGACAGTAGAAGCCCAAGGTACTACAGTAGCAGCTGTACAAGGTAAAATATTTTGAAATAAAATTTTCTAAATTCTATTCAATAGAAAAAACAAATCGTGTTATAGATGATGGCAAACAATCATTGTCATCAACACCAACAGCTTCTCATCCTGCACCTCATGTCGAAGAAGTTGTAACTAAAACTGCTACTATAGGTACAACGGAAACAACATCTGTTGTCGCAACTAGTACACCTACCAACGATCATGTTTCACAAGAAGCTTATGTAACTAACACATCTGGTCAAACCGCTCATGGTCCACACCCAGTTACTGCTGATCAAGCAGCACCTGCTAATGCAGCTGCAGTAAATAAACCAGGTGGTCCATTTACAACAATTCGTAACTTTTTCAAAAACTTATTTACTTCAAATTCTTCACGGCAACAAGTCAATGCTACCGCTCGAGCGAGTGATACTACTCAGACAAATGAAACAATAGCACCTGTTACATCAAACAGTCCATCCCAATGATCATAAAGCGTTGATGTCGAAGTATTTTTTTTTCTATCCCTATGGACCTACTTCATCGTTTATTGTTTGTGTTGCTTGATATGTGCACAGTGTTAAACTATAAAAAAAATAGAAAAGTTAACTTTTTTTTGTTTCATTTGTGCATAATCATGAGTTTATCGTCATATTCAAAACAAGATATCGTTTATGTGCATGTGTGTACTTTTGTTTCGTTGTTTTTTATTATTATTATTATTATGATTCATCTAACGTTTTTATATAGCTGCAGCTATTTTTCCATTCCTTTTGCCAACTATTTTGCAGATCATACCTGAGGCAAGATCTTTAAAAAAGTATTGTAAAGATAAGATATGTTGATAAGAACTAAGCTGAAGTTACCATTGGTTGATCCATTATTAGTGTTTTATCAGTGGAGGATAAGCAGTAGATAAGGATGTTGTTGGTATTAGTTTTTGTTGAAAGCGTACTTTTGCTTGGGAAATTTGTTTGCTTAGTTGAATTTGAAATAATCTAGTCTTTTGTTTTTCAAATAACATTACTGTTGAACTAAAAGTGGCTTGTAATTGAATAAGTTTATGCTTAAAACGATAACATAAACATAAATACGATTAGATTTATTAGAAGTAAAATGATAAATGAAAGAATAGCTGGAATATTTTTTATAGTTCCATTTAGAATGACAAATATCGATATTAAAATTCCTAGGATAGCTACTCATACGAAAAAATATCCAAAGTACAAACAGATGTTTGAGAGTAGTCATGATGTTCATCAATACGATGAATTGATTTGAATGAAATCGTTCTATACGATGAATGATGACAATAACAACAAACAGTTTGTTTTGGCCAAGTTAGTAAACTATGATTAGTAAATATAGTGGCGAATGTCGTACTATCGCTCAATCATCGATGTCGAAATTTGCCGACAATTTTTTCATTATTACTAAAAGAGGAGCAATCATATGATTATCCGTGTTGAATTGATATTGAATTGAAATAATCAAAAGAAGTAAATGTCGTAAATGTAAAATTACAATAACATTTAATGATTTTAAACATTCAACAATACAATATATAAGCTTTTACAGATACTTGCATTAGTAAATAAATTTTATTTACTATTAAAAAAGATAAATCCAAGCAACTTATTTTAAACAATGTCCTTTTTTTGATGAATGCTACGTGATATTGTACATGAAATATATACTGACCGCTGGAATGAAAGTGATAAATAAACTGCATAGAAACATATTGCATATTATTGAAATGCCAATGGTGTCGGTTCCAGATCTGCAGACCCACTTTTTATTTTAGTTAACTAGGAATTATGTATATTTTATTAGTTGATGAAGAAGTAGATGTTAATGATAATAAATAATTATCTGTTTCTCTTCGATTTATTGATCATGGACATGAACTTAAAGAGTATTTCTTAGGATTTATTTGTCTTCATGATTTTAATACTGCTTCATTAGCAAAAGACATAAGTCATGATTTGGTAAAGCACAATATTCTTATGTCAACGTGCATAGCACAATGTTATGACGGGTAAATAAAAATATTTGGGTACTCAAGTTCTGTCCTCTATAGAGTTTTTATTCAGTGCTGTCATGATGTCTAGTCAATATAATAGAATTTATGTGAAATTAAAAAAAATTATGGCAAAAGCTATTTATATCCATTGTATAGGACACAGATTGACTTTAGTTCTGCGTCATATATGTTTAGTAGTACCATATATCGATGAGTTTGTTTTCAATCATAGCAAAATTTCATAATTATTTTACATCTTTTCGTGTTACTAATCGACAGTTTTGTGACGCACAGAATCCCCTTAAGTTAGTTAAAAGCATCAAGCATTTTAATCTACTTGTGTAAATTTGTCAATGCTTTTTCAATTAGACAGGACATCGACATAAAAAGAAAATGGCGAAATAAATGTTGAGACTCTAGATTTAAATATGTTGACTCAATTAAAAATAATTTCTTATCAATTATTAAAGCATTTGAAGATTAAGCAGAGATTGGGAAAAATCGTACAATAGATGAAAAACGTTTGTTTCTTGTTGTAAAGGAATCAATGTTTGCAATGACAATGTTCATTTTAATTCGTTTATTAGGACTGGCAAAGGTTTTATCCGATCAGCTGAAAGATAAATTCATTTTCTTTTATGTGAAAGCCTTTTTAATTGCGATTTAAATGATTTTCGCGTTGATCTTGATTCAGCAAAGAACCTTATATCAACAACACTTTGTGGAGGATTAAATGATATAAAAAATAAGAAATCATTTAAGAAATTTTCTGATAAAGTAATATTATTTGGAGACACAATTGGTGTGAATACTAATAAATCTGTGCGAATTAGACGTCAACAAATAATTTTGTCCAGATTTAAAGAGTGTTTTGTTACGAGGTCATAGAGTCATTGAGATTATTATTCTAATGGAGTGAAACTTCGAACAAATATGTGTTTTTCATTAATGGATTTTATTTTGTAGGAATCAGAGACCGTCACAGGACACTTTTTTTGCCCTGCTCTGTCCTGGCAATGAATCATTAAAAATTTTTTCGCCCTGTCCTGCGCTCAGGGCAGGGCATAAAGATTGATATTATGTCTGGAAACAAAACTGATAACCTTCATAAAGGTTCAAAATCCTTTTTGACTTCAATATCTATGCTTTATTAAATCATTTCAAAGGGTGTTGCAAGATGTTCATATTTTATATGAAAAAGTTCAGTTAAATCGATTGAAGGCACAGAGTCCCTATTTTATGATGAAGGAGTCCAAGATGAAATTTTGAATCCACGCTCAAAGAATTCCGTCGGATATCATGAACAATCTAGCATCATGATATCACATATATGGTTTTGTGGAGCAAGTTACGGCTCATCGAATAGCACCTAAGAAAGGAATTTTTCTTCGTATCTTTATGTCGTGAGGGTCCTCACACTGGTTATGGCATATGAGGGATATTATACGGTACTCAAAGATAGTATGACCCGCAGAAGTTTTAAAGATAAACCTATGAAAGTTCTTTTTTTTAACTCTTTCCAATATAGTTCTAGGTACTCCTCAATTTATTATATTCGCTAGTTTTTCACGTTACTTTCGTCATCCATAAAAATAGTCACTTTCCACAGGTCTAGGCTATTGATTAAATATAAGGCATTCCCATGTAGGCATCTCTATGTCATAAAACTAGGGGTGTCGGCTTAACATTAGCATTGCATTAAATAATGCTTAATTTAATGCTTTTGTATTAGAATTAAAAAAATAATTTTAATACTTTGTATTAGAATTAAAAAATTAATTCAATGCTTCAGCATTAGTCTTAAATTAGCATTAGGATAACGCTAATATTTATCATAATTATTCGAGTATTCTGCAAATGTATGTTTAGTTTCAATGTTAGAGTCATCTCTACCCAAATTTTTCTTGTAAGTCAGTCTTCTATGGCAATTTTTCAAAAAAAAACTTTTTTTTCGTTTTGAATGCCTCGATCGAGCAGTCAGACAGTAAGATCAGCTATGGATTCATATATGACCATACCCGATCAGATGTCAGAACCGTATATGTTCATGTAAGATCATACAAAAGACCATACAAAAAAATCGTCCCAGGGCGAGCATTCAGATAATAAGACCTTACAAGAATCGTACGTTTGATCATATTTGATCTGATACGATCAGACGAAAATCGTACGGAAAATCGTAGTCTCTGATTTCTTACACTAAGTCGTATTAACAGATCCTTGTAAGAATCTGTTGCGTCGTGAACTAATCACAGCACCATTCTATTTAAACTAATATGGCCCTCAAATAGCACTATAAGTTTGTGGTGAACATAAAGTACATGTAAGATCTTTATAGGATCTGTTAATACGACTTGGTGTAAGAAATCAGAGACTACGATTTTTTGTCAGATTCTTGTAAGATTTTGTTCAGACTACAAGATCTTATAAGATCCTGTACGATCTGATGTCAGATTTTTCAACCTGGGGTAGTCTCTGAGATCTGATATCAATTCGTATGGCAAGATTCTTGTATGATCCTACAACATGATCTGATATGATGTTTTACAATCGTATACTAATAATTTCCCTGATATACTCAGAAACATACATAATTGCTAATCTTCGCCTACCTTCATCAATCGCGCTTCAATCTAACCTTAAATAACCATGTAAATCGATTGAAAAACACAAATCTACAGGTAACCCACTCCTCAACCCAGGGATACCTAGGATTCAGTCATAGATATCTCTACGGTACTTATGACACACTTTGGAGTGTGTCTGGCACATGCAAAACTGACTTCGAAGTACCACAAAGGTATAGTAGCTCATTTTACAATACCCCAACCGTACTTAGGACGACTTTTAAATACCCCAGGGTATATAGGGCTCCCTTGCAAGTATCCAAGAGTACCTAGGACCCACTCATAAGTACTCCAGAGGTGTATTGGAGTCAGTTTTTTACGTATCCCATGGGTACCTACGACTACTTTTAAGTACCTCAGGGGTACGTAGGACTCACGAGGGAGCCTTTCCAGGTGACACCCTCCGTTTGGGCTCATATTTTGCCCATAGGTGGGACACATAGCGTAGATAAGAGCCCTAAAAGGGTTTGTGCCCAAAGACTGTTGTTGTTGAGATATTGCGTTTTTAAGGTATTGGGATAACTCATTGCCGTGGTCCCCCTCAGGGACATCAGAAAAACTCATTTTCGAATTTCGACTTGAAACTGCATAGAGAGAGGTCTCTATGAGAGTGGTTTATTGTGAAAGTTTCAGCTTTGCTGAATGCTCCTAATTGGAAATAAGAACACCAAAACTTGCCTCTGCAAGTAACATTAGGTTACCATGATCGTATCTTAGGATAGAAATAAGGAATAAGTCTGAAACTTTCACAATAAACCATTCTCATTGAGACTTCTCTCTATGAAAAGTTTCAAGTCGAAATTCGAAAATGAGTTTTTCTGATGTCCCTGAGGGGAACCACGGCAATGAGTTATCCCAATACCTTAAAAACGCAATATCTCAACAACAACAGTCTTTGGGCACAAACTCTTTTAGGGCTCTTATCTACGCTATGTGTCCCACCTATAGGCAAAATATAAGCCCAAACCGAGGGTGTCACCTGGAAAGGCTCCCTCGTCAGTCCTAAGTACCTCAGAGCTACATTGGACTCAGTTTGAAGTACCTCCGGGGTACCTAGAATCCACTTCTCAATACCCAAGGTATACCTAGGGCTCACTCCTAAGTACCCTAGCGCTGCATTGAACTCACTTTGAAGTACCTCAAGAATACCTAGGACTTACTTTTAAGTACTCCTGGGGTACCTAAAATGCACTTCTAAATATCCCAGGGTACATAGGACACACTTGTAAATACCCAAGGGGTACCTAGGACTCACTTCTAAGTACCTCAGAGCTACATTGGCCTCAGTTTTAAGTACCAAAGTAGCAATACGAGTCACTTCTACGTACTCGGAAGGTACCTAGAATCCACTTTTAGGTGCCCAAGATGTACGTAGACCTCACTTCTAAGCACTCCAGGGTTCCATTGGGTACACTTCGAAATAGCCTAGGGATACCGAGGATTGACTCCTTAGTATCCCAAAGTTGCCTAGAATCCACTCCTAGATATGCGAGTGGTACATAGAACTGACTTCTGAGTACCCAAAGGTTACCTAGAAGTCGTGTCTAGGCATGCTATGGGTATATGGAACGTTCTCTTACGTACTATTTTATGTATTGTCGATATAGGAACATTATAATAAAGGGTGGTCAGAAAGTTTCGATCCCTCTCTGTAAATTGATGTTATCTACATGAATACATATGTAGATAGTTGATTGAAATATACAGTTTTGTAGAGAATGAGAAGGGCTATCATCTGAAAAAAAGATAATTGAAATTGTGTCGTAGCTATGAAAAGTTATGATCATTTTATTCATGATGACAAAGCAAAAACACGTTACATTTTTTGCAAAAACAAAAAAGTACTTTAATTTTTGAGGCATTTAAGTCGAGTGAAACATTGTTTTCTGCAAGTTTCTGCAAGATATTTTTATATGATCCGATAGAGTTGGACAAGCTCTACCAGAATATGAATATCAAACAAAGATTCTGATCTTCCTTTCAATACAAAACTTGGAGGAAATTAGAAAGCTTAATACAAATCTGACATATCTTGCATTAGAGAGTGCGCTTGACTTCGAATAACTCTAGCTTATTGACTATTAATTTATGTTTCGAGCTGCAGTGTCATGTACTGAAGTTGAAACTAACCTTTCCGAGCTTCCTGAATAGATGGAACAGTCGATCAGCTGAAGATATTGAAAGTTTAGCATACTCTCTCTTATGCAAGATATATGGAATTTTTATCAGTCTTTCTGATTTTCTTCAAATTTTTGTATTGGAAACAGCATCAATTCTTTTTAATATTCATATTCTTGTAGGGCTCGTCGAACTCTATCGAACCATATAAAAACACCTAGAAAACCATATTTTGCATCACACATTAGAAGCATATTTTCTTTTCCAAAAAATGTAACGTGTTTTTGCTTTCTCATCATGAATAAAATGATCATAACTTTTCATAGCTACGACACAATTTCAATTATCTTTTTTTCAGATGATAGCCCTTCTCATTCTCTACAAAACTGTATATTTCAATCAACTATCTATAATATGTATTCATGTAGATAACATCAATTTACAGAGAGGGGTCGAAACTTTCTGACCACCCTTTATTTCGATACTAATCATGTACTGAAGAAGATCAGACGTCAGATTTTTAATTACACACTAGCAAAGCTACGAATATTAATCAGTCATATTCATTTGTTGCTTTCATGACTAAGTAACTCACCATAAGCTTACCTTAACAACAGTATGATACATTAGAAAAAAAGTTACATTCATAACAATAACTTCTCAAAGCCAATCATTGTCAGGATGATTGAGTATTTGTTACCGATAAATATGCATCGTATAACAAGAAAATTCAAGTAGAATATAATCTCAAGTGATAATTTATGTTTCTTGCCAATGATTTAGCGAAACGTGCATGGTTCAATCTTTGATCGAATTTATGTAGGATTCAGAATAAAATTTATATATACTTTCGAAATAAGAACAATAATTGTTTATTAAAGTCAGAGTTATTCCAGCTATACTAATGGGGATAAAAAATTAGCAATTACATCCATTTTGCTAAAAATATACGAAAGTATTTGATGATTCTAAATATATATTTTAATTTTAGAAACCATTAGTAGCAAAAAATTATTGTAATCGTCGTACAGCTCGTTATGCTATTATGATTATTCTTATTCTTTCAATATTTATTAACTTTCCATTATTTCTCTATACAAGTATAAATGTTTATTGTACAAATAATGGTAAAATAAAATATTATGGTCTTGAATTATCATCAATATTACATACAAGATTTTTTTCACGTTTATTTTATCCAACAATGGTTATTATATCTTTACTTATTCCATGGTTAATATGTTTTCTTATATGGTTATTTTTAATTCGTGCATTACATACAGCACAAATACAATTAACAACAAAAACAATGAATACAACATTTACAAATGATCGTAAACAAGATACATATTTTCGTATAACATTAATGATTGTTTGTGTTTTATCTGTTTATATGGTATGTCGTAGTGTACATTTATTTGAAGTTATACATTTATTAATAACACAATTATTTAATTTTCAACAACAAATTTATTTTGAACAAATACGTATAAAATTATTTTGTATATCAAATATAATGTTAACTATAAATCATGGTGCAAATTTTTATATTTATTCAATAAATCCAAAATTTCGTTTAACACTTAAATTATATTTAACATATTATTTTCGTCGTTGTCGAATAAAACGTCGACGAGCATTTACATTATTTCATTTAAGAAGAAAAAATACAAATGATAGTTTAGATGGTTTAAGTGTACTGAATGACTTTCATCGTTCATTGATGTTAACATCAGCAAATGGAATGACACCTAGAAATGACAATAATCGTAATAATAATAATGAACTTCTTTGTCTAAAAAGTATGCGAAAACCACAGAAATATCTTAATCAATTTGTTGATCCAAATTCCAATAATGAAAATTCAGAAAGAAGTTATGTTTGGAGAGAAATTGAACAAAAATTAAAACATTCTCATCGATATTATTATCAATGATTTACTTTCTTTTTTTTTTTTGTAAAAATAAAATTTATTTATTTTCTGCTCTAAATATATTAATGAGTGTCATTGTTAAAATCTATTTAGTTTTTTTTGTATTGATATATATTATAATATATTAAAGAAAAACTAATGGATAATGATAATCAAGTTTGGTGTATTCCAGCCGATTGGCAAGAATATCAATTTGATACTAGAAAAAGGAAACAAATAAGTTTGACAAAAAGTTTCAGTCAATTGTGTTTTTTTTAAGTTAATCTTGTATTGTTTGAAATGATGTTTCCAAAGTTTGATAAAATGATTTATGCAGAGTGAGACGAATCTTAGGTATTGGGAAACTTGTTTTTTTATCGCAATAGTAAAAAGAGAATAAACAAATTATATTTATGATTTCTGAAGTAATCGGTGTGGCAGAATACATGTTCCTCTAAGTATTTTTTCTATATCACCATACTTTAGTCTTCTTCTTGAATGATTCATAGTCCGATTTTCTAGAAAGAGATATTACAAGTTTTGCTATGCGATATTCAGTAATAAAATTAGATGAATAACAGTGCGAGTCTTCAATATGGTTAGCTTTTACAAATAAAAAAATAGTCTGTTTAAGTCTATTCATTGGAGTTTTTCACTAAAGAACAAAAAGAACATAGCAATCTTGTAGCACTTGAAAAGCTCTGTATTGTAAAAAGGCTAGTAGAATTTTTGTCAGAACCGATATTGTGTTAATTAACTATTTCTTTCAGATTTCACAAAAATAGCGTTTTTTGAATCAGGAATTTTTGGAATCTCAGAAAAAATTTGTCAATATAACTCAATTTTAATTTAATTTCAAGGGAAATGAATGGTGCATTAAACTGATATGACAGAATTTTAATTTTTTCGGCTCAGTTTTAATAAAACAATTTTCACGTCAAAAAGTCTTGATTGAAACGAACTTCAATGTACATCATAGGAAAGAACATAGTTAGTTATATCCCAAAAATGTACCCTGTCATATTGTTTTATTTGCTAAAAGCTAGGAAAAAAATGCTCAAATGTTGTGAAAAAAAAAATAGTTTTTGAAAATTGGGCATGGTAGAACCTCACACTATTACTTTTTCTAGTATTTCTGCTTGACATTTTGCAGGAAAACTTGTGATATGTTTTTGTCTAACTTCGAATCGTAAATCTTTTTCAGAAAAAACATTAAGGTATCACAGTAAAACTTGACGGCGATATTGAGAACATATTTAGAAAGACATTTAGTCTGGCGTGCTTCTATATAATTCAGAAAAATTAATGTAATCTTATTTTAGAACGTTTTATTCACTACATTCCAATCTAGAAGTTCGGTTAATGATAGATAGTTAATGTTGCTTAAATTAGAATCTTTGCTATGAATACTAAAATAAAAATCTTTGAATTATAAATCGTCTCAGCGCGGACTATGTAAGAAAAAAATTCAGTAAATTCATGATATTCTTGATTCGATATTTATATAAGCAATTAAGCGAAGTAAAGAGATAAAGCATATAATCTCCTACTATTGATAACAAGAAATAAGCCTGGAAATGAAAAACTTTAGCTAATTGAGAGCATAGAAGAGATCAAAACATGTTCAAATTAAGTAATCTTCTCATCGCGGATGATTACTAATTATCTATGTCTCATGTCAATTATGACGCAGTTTCTTTTTCTTGAGTATGATTCATGTTAACGAGTATAAAGTGAAATAAGTAATTATGAAGAAGTTATTGTATGAAAAAAAATATTAATCGATATAAAATTACAGAACAAATATTATATCGGATTAAATAACAATAAGCAATCTGTTTTTTTATTATTCTTGCATATTAATCATAACATTTTTCCAGAGATTATACATAAAATACAGTATGCTCGAATTGCAAACAAAAATTAAGCCAATAATCACAAACGACGTGTTTGCAATTTAGAATGCAAAAATTTACGTTGATCTCCGTTTTATTGCGTTTCAAACTGCGAACAATTTTTACTTATCATAGTAATCAAAAGTTTTAATTGAAAACAATCTATATTGACAAAACACATATGTAACAAAAAACCTAATCTTCATGAGTACTACTTTTGAGGGTGTGGATCTCCGTCTAGATCTTCTCATAATCCTCACTTACACACGTGTAGAGGTGTTCAAATAGAGGCCAAAAAGCTGACTGCAATTAAATGTCAAGAAACATGTTGTGTGAACACTACTGAAATATTGAGCTGGAATTGGTTTTAATTGCGAAATGTATGATATATTAAGTATGTATTAATCTCAGCAAAAAAATACTCTTTAATTAAAATAGAAATTTTATAAAATTCATTGTGTTAAAGATGATCGACACATCAATTATGAGAATAAAATATAACATGCATTATTAAACCATTTCAAGCATATTTAGAGACATTTTTTATTAGAAAAAATTGTTTTTTGATGTAATTGTTTGTATACATTGACTTTACAACAGATACAAAAAAAGATTTATCTATTTTAAGTTTCGTTATTTCATAATACGATTTATCAATTAATAGAAAATAGTTTCTCTTTATGAAACTTATCGATTCGATTTGTCTTTTTGGTCAAAATATCTTTTTCATAAACATATGTTATTGTTTAAAATAAAGCTTCTGTTCAAAGAACAATTCTGATTCATCAAATTTCATTCTTGTCTGTCAACTAAAACAGGAAAAGATCTAAATCAAGCTATGCTCTTGATATTGTACATGAATGAATGAAATTAGAATTTATTTGTGTTTTTAGTATTAAAAATATAATGAAGAAGTTTTCTTTGAATATTAATCAACTTTTGATCGTCAGACCTATTAGTTTAAAATCAGTATTTAATTGGTCTATAAAACAAAGTTAATTGATAATAATAAGAGTCTCATCTAATCAAGAGGGACCCAATTAGCTGAGAACACTTATAAAGCATGTCCTATTATAACAGTGCACAGTATAAAAAAATGTCAAGTAAAGAACGGATGTTATTACACGTACAACTCAATCATACGATGTTGTTTATGTGCAGTAAATACAGAGAATATCCTCTAGGTCGTTTTTTAAATAAAAATTAGTGTGCTGAACAAGAATATGCCTTCTGTAACAATTATATTCAGAAATTTACAGAAACAAAATAAACCTAGCTCAACAATAAAGTTATCACCACCCATNGTACTTTTAATGTGTCGGATAATCCTTGTTTAATTTTTGTCTTTAACTTTCTACACAAATAAGTTTGATTATGATTTTACAGAGAATTTCACGGCGCATCTTTTGAAAAAACAATTAGCTCTAAAGAACAAAAAGAAAAAAAGTTATAGTCAAAATACTGAGAGGGCCATTTAATCTGACTCACCCGTTATATCCATTTAACTGTATAAAATATATATGAATCTAACCGCATCTATGAATATCTATGTAAAATTAATAGTTTTTCAAGCAAAAGTCATCGAAAATCATGGTTGTATTTTGTCTTTGGTTTTTTTGTATTTCTGATTCGATATTAATTGTAAAATAGCTTCTTTTTAGTTACAGTTTGCGTAAAGTAAACGAAACAAACCTTGTAAAAGTAACAAAAAAACAATCACTTTTTCTATCCGTTAAAGAATAGTTTTTTCACAATATGAAGAGTTATATCATATTAATCTCATCAATGAATACAAATATAATACAATTTTTCTTTGAAATATAAAAGTAAAATAAAATCAATTTACAAGAAGATTGATGTCATTGTCAATTCGTGAGTATATATCAGATATCACTATTATGTAAATGCTTGAATCGAATTAATTTTTAACTGCATCATCTTGAAAGAAACTATATTAGACTTTGTTCGACAATATTCAGGTCTATTTTAGAAAATAATGTCAGTAGTTAATTGGGTAAATATCTATATCTTATAGATTTCGCTGTTTTGACTGTTTTAAAAAATTCGTAGTGTTCTTTTTTAAATAGTTATTTGAAAATTGATTGCTTCTATATGTTACCTGTTACAACGACTTCTCCAGTACTGATGTCTTTTGTTTTATATATTTAAAGATGTATAAGATTTTTATGAGCCGTTGGTATAATACAGGTTTCTTTTATTCAAGTATACAAGAAACTGAATTCATGTATTTTATTTTCTTGTAAAACTTTTCATCATAATCATAAGATCGCATATTATATAGGCGTACTGATTTCATTTTTATTACAATAAGTACAAAGAGAATATGTCTAAGCATCGATCAGCTGAAATGGAAAAACATAAAGAGGGGATCATATAGCATTCTCATAGTATTTATTCATTTTATGTGCAGAAGAGTACTCACCAATGACTTCTATATTTTCAGATGTCAACATTTGTCTAAAATAGTTTAACTTTACAAAATTTAAGCCTTTTTTAAAAATGAAACGTTGTAAACGACTGGTTTACTAGAGAATCATTCTATTTTAGATTATAATATACCAAAGATTTAATTCAAACAAAGCATGACCACGCGATGTGTTTTTTGTACCATTCTGTGTACAGGTTACTGCTGTCCACAATGTAGTCAAATGAGTCGTGGTCTAAAATTTACACGATTGGTTCAAATTTTGGAAAAATGTTCTGAGCATATCATGTATCATGACGAAATCAATTCTGTTGTGCAACGAATTCGACAAGTGAGTTTTTTAGATTGATGATTTAATTATAAACAGAAGTTTATAGATCGAACTAATTTTGATATAACTGCAATTTTGTCCCACTCAAGTCTTTGATGAGACAAAACATGTAGTAGATGTGGTAGCTAAGAAGTATCTTGAAAAAGCGACTGGTGACGTGAATCATCTTGTTCCGATTGACGTTATTGCTGATGGAAACTGTTTATACAATTCTATTGTTCTTTTGATGAATAATCCGGCAGTAACGACAAGCGAATTACGGGGTATAAGGATTTTGCTTCCATTTTAATAAGCAGGACCGTTTAATCTACCATTATAAACCATGCGTTGACCACGAGCACCACCAGATATGCATCCCCACACGCTAGCACAGCCACCACCACCTTGTGCACGTGGAGTGAAATTGAATGGTTGATCGACTTCCGATTGTAGACGATGAATGTAAGTACCATTTTTACGATTTAATACTTCAAAATGTGTTTCGTCACTCCACATAACATTATTCCATTCATCTAACCAATGTTCATGTTCTTTAGCAAATTTTAAACATTACTTAATTTGAGTAGGTCTTCTTAATGGTTTTCGTTTAACTGTGTAGCTTTTATAACCCATACCTATTAAACGACGACACACAGTAGTTGCATATAATTTTGTACCATTCGATAAAGTCCACTCGCCTGCCACCATTTGACTAGATTTTGTTCGATCTTTCTTCATAATTTGTAATAATTGACAATCATCAGCAGGTGTTGATGCCTTTTCGTATGTCCTGTCCGACTACATTGGATAAGAATACGTTTTGCTTTAAGCTGCTTGAGGCGCGAAAAACACATTTTTGTGATACGCCAGATAGCTGGGCAACTTATCGTTGGCTCAGGCCTGTGTTTAACAATGTTTTGATTTCGATTTTCTTTTTAAGAGTTACTTTGATATGACCCATATATGTCGTTGTAATCAATAAGAGAATAAAAACAAAATAATAAGCACACAACCAACCCAAATAGGTAAGTTAGTGGTAGAATGCTTGTAACTACGTGAGCGATAGCTTTACCTAATCGAGAATTGCAATATACTATAACAATCTCTTTAAACTTCCAAGTTATTCTATATTTTTGCACAGCTGAAATCGGTATCTTTTCTTTGAATTTTTTTTTTGTTATGATCATATAATTTATGAACTTTTACTTAAGCAATATTGAAAGAGGACATTCGATTTTATAAAAATACGATAAATTTAAGACGAAAAAGTGATGCTGATATATAATAAAATTCGAAAGAAGTGTAAGGTGGAAGATGATTCTATAATATCTCACAACACTGTATATAGCTATATAAAGAGTGAAGCATACAAGAGAAAGAAAAAATCCAATGACGTATATGTGAAAACATAAAGGAAAAAACCAAGATGTGAAATGACCTAGTTCGTAGAGAAAATGTCCATGTACGATGCACAGACACATATTGAAAGAATCTTCAACATTAACTTATGCATGCTTTTTTACCTGCTCATCCATATGCATGCATATACTTTTATAATACGTTCGCTCTACTATTTTCTCATTTTCGAACCGAATTCATAATAATAAGCTATATGCAAAGATATGTCCAAAGAAAATCGACCCAATACGTTAGTAAACTAACATTTTTCGTCCAAAAAAATATGTAATGGTACTGAAAATTTAAGGATGGGTGTGGATGTGGGGGTATGTGATTGTCTTCCTACAAACACCCACACTCAACCTCATTTCGTTTTCTTGTTGTTTTGTTACGTTATCAGTACTTGGTTTGGGCACGAAATTTTTGACCTACCTATAAAAGCCTTGTCCAATTTGCCCATCGTTTTTCTCTGACACAAAAGAAATTTGTCCATTGATCTAAATATCTTGGTTACGCTGCTGATCCCAAAGAAAGTTATATACGTTGGGCGACATCGTATTTTATGTGCAGGTGAGATAACGATCATTACATATTATTCTTTTCCACTGACTGTAAACGCACGTGCAATGTTCTGATAAGGCCACTTGTGAATATAGAGCGTTCTCTTCTGTTGGTTTCTATCATCCTTCTTTAGTCAATATTTGTGCTTACCCTTTCATATATTTTTCTTCTATCGTATTACTCTTTATATCAATACTACCCAGTCAGACAAGCGTTGAAAAAAACGAAATTTTTACGCGTTAAAAAAAATATTTTTTCTTTTTAAAAATGAATTTCATAACCTTAATATTTACAAACTTGCTTTTTCTTCAAAAAATAATATTTTTTTTGACGCGTATAAATGTGCGCTCTTTACGCGTAAAAACATCGGTTTTTTCAACGCTTGTCTGACTGGGTAGTGAAACAAAAAGAAAGGAACGAAGGCAAAAAAATCTTTTTTCAAACTTCATCATATTAAATTGAGTGCTTTCTGTAATAGCTTGTTCGTATAATTGACGAAAACTATCAACGATGGGAAATATTTTTGGATCTTCGAAGCTAAAAGATGATAATCTTGAAACGTTTCATCTTGTCTGGCTTGATCCAGCAGCCGATGATACCGTTGAAGACAAGGAAGGCCAACAACTACTTCGTACATCAATTAATCATTTAAGAAAATTTAAAGATGCAGAAAAATGTGAACATTATATTCAAAATGTATCAAAAAGTGATCGAATTATTTTTATTGTTACTGGTCGATTGGGCCAAGAAATAATGCCACGCATTCATCAACTTCGGCAAATTTCATCCATCTACATATACTGCATGGAGAAGAGCTATCATGAAGAATGGTCAAAAGAGTTTACAAAAGTAAGTTATTTTTTGCTCAGCAATGATTGAATTCTGAACTCTTGAAGATTTCGAAACTCAAACATTAATAAAAGAGAACAGTATCAACCACAGATAAATAGAACTTCTAGAGCTTTCAGAAATCAAGGAGCTACAGGCACCCAACTAACTCATGGAATCATAAGAAATCTTGGAACTCAAACAACTCTAGAAACTACGAAAACTCAAGAGCTTCAGGGAATTTGAGGAACCGCAGGAGCCCAAAGAACTCTAGAAACTCTAAGAACTTAAGAAACTTTAAACAGAATATGAGTGTACATGTGGTCTATGATGATGGAGTGTAACTCAACCGTAGGTGTGAAGTCTAGTTGTAAGTGGGATTACGAACAGAAAGTCCTCACGTCTACATTCACATTCCATATAAGTACTCACATCCAAATCCACACTCCATCCTCCAGTTTCGAGAGTTCTTAAAGTTCCTTGGGTTCCATAACTCCTGTTATTAATATTTAAGTCACGAAATCCTGAAAAGTGCAGAGCTTACAGATTTCGGATACGTCTTGAATTTTTTATTAACTGATTATCAGTACTGGAATCCGTTTTTTGATAGTGCTATATGATTCGTTATCGTTTCATTTATTTTTAGGTCAGAGGCGTCATTGTAGAATTAGAAGATCTTGTGGCAAAAATTCGATTAGATCAAACAACACGAATTCGTAACAAAGTGGACGAACCACTCTCTATCAGTATTTTTGATCCCAATATCGATAGCGGACAATGGACGATAGGATCCAATACTCAATTTATTTATTCACAGTTATTGATTGATTTTTTTCTTCGTATGAAATCAACAACTAAAGATAAGACTGATCTTATTTCTTTGTGTCAGAAGGAATATTTGAATAACAAACCTGAATTAGCCGTAGTTTATGAATTTCAACGAGATTATCAACCAGAACGTGCACTATGGTGGTTTACTCGAGATTCGTTTCTTTCACGATTATTGAACAAAGCTCTTCGAGTACAAAATACGAATTTGCTTTTACTCTTTCGATTTTTTATTCATGATATCGAACGACAACTTCGAAGTTATCAATGCACATCCGTTATGTATGTCTATCGAAGTCAATTGATGTCGGATGAAGAATTGCAAATATTCAAGGACTCAATTGGTAAATTCATCGCCATGAATTCGTTTCTTTCTACTATACTAAATCGTGACCAAGCTATTAATTTCGTCAAGACTCTCCTTCCAGTAAATGAACTACAACACACTTTATTCGAAATTGAAGCTGATCCTCAATTAGCTACTAGTAAACCATTTGCTAATATAACAGCATATGGTTACAATGCATATGAAGAAGTTCTCTTTATGGCCGGATCCATCTTTCGATTAATCGACGTTTGCTGTGATGGCGATCAAATATGGATTATTCGAATGAAATTATGCCATGAAGACGATCAGAATTTGAAAACAACTTTTGATTATATCAAAAAGAATCAAAATGAAGAAACAAATCTATTTTCATTTATTAATATTCTACAACGATTGGAAAAATTTGATGAAGCGGAAAACTATTGTCTTCGTTTATCTGATGAAATACCCCGCAATGAGTATGATCTTGCTGTGTGCTATGATATTCTTGGAAGTCTTGCACATAAAAAAAATGATTTGGAAAAAAGTATAACATGGTATAAAAAATCGATCGAGTGTGCCACCCGAAGTCCACAACTCCGTAATCCTCGTTTGACAACTACTTATACTGCGATTGCAGCCATCTATCGGCAAAAAGGCGATTATAAACAGGCACTTGAATTATACAACAAAGCGTTAACAACTGCAAAAGAAGTATTCGGTGAAGAACATCTTTGCATAGCTGAATATTATACAAATGTTGGTACAGTCTACCAAAATGCTAAACAATGGTTTGAAGCTCTGGATTATTATGTGAAAGCATTAGTAATTCTATATAAACAATCGTCGATGGAACATACTCAAATCAGCCTATTGCTCAATAATATGGCTGATTGCCATGCTGACCTTGGTCTTTATGATTTGGCTTTAGCACACTATAAATTATCGTTAGAAACATTAGAGGCATCACAGTTGCCACAAAATCGACATATGGCAACGACATTTCAGAAAATAGGCTGTGTTTACGAGAAGAAAAATGATTTTCAGCAAACTCTATCGAATTATGAACGAGCAGTCAGCATTTATCGTCACGCTCTCTTACCAACACATCCAACTTTTATCCAACTTGAACAAGATATTCAACGCATTTCATCCCAACTTAAATAAGACAATCCTATAGCTTTGTCTCTACAAAACAAGATATTATGACGAGAAGTTTCGATATGTCTTTCAAGGGTATTCATCGTTGTGTGATGCTATTTATCAAAGAATGATTTTAATCCTTTTATTCTTGTTTTTCACTATATGATTGAATTGCAAGCCATCTGTACCGTTTGCAAAACTATCATTAAAAAAAAAAATTTTTCAAGGTTAAAGATATCAGTTTGTTAATATTTAGACCAGAGTTGGAACCGGTCCGGCAATCCGGTTCCGGTTCGGCCGGACCGGACAAGACCGGACAAGAAATTAAACCGGGACGGACAGGACCGGATTTTTGCCAGTTCATCATTACAAAATTGTTGTTTGCATTCGAGAATTTTCTCTACTGAAAACGGTGTTTTTACGAAATTTTCAAGTCAGAAAAATGTGTTTTGCGAAAGACTCAATGGATATCTTGTCTTCAACTTGACTATAAGCGATTGATTGTTCTCTTTATAGGTCTATCGGTTTCTTTCTCGTGTATCGCTCAATTTAACATAGATCAAATAATTTATTTTCTTGTTCTACTTAGGCAGCTGCCTGAATCAAGAAAAATAAATATTTACAATTTTGTGTTAGATTTGTTGTAAACTTGCTTTTTTTCATTTTGAAACTNGAATTAGGGATGGCGATACTCTGTTAATTTATTTTAAATTTAAATTTGTACGAATTTAAACTTAAAATAAATTTAAATTCATTGAATTAGATTTAAATCCCATATGAATTAATGTCAATGGATTGAAATCCAATTAAATGAATTTAAATTGAATTCCATTTGGTTTAAGTTGAATTTATATTGATTTAAACTGGATTTAAATAAATTTAAAAAATTTAAATAAACTGAAATAATTTTAAAAAATTTAAATTTACGTAAATTCAATAAAAATTACAAATAAATTTAAATTTACAAAATTTATTTTTGGATTTATTAAACTTTCGTAAACGTAAATCGATCATCCCTAGTTCCGATTTCTACACGTAAATATTCAATTCTCGTTCGCCACCATTTTATGCAAACAGATACTTTCATGGTTGGTTATTTTCGTCGGATTTTTGCCAGTGTGGCTGTAATATTCATCCGGCCGGTTGCTGGCCAGACCGGACCGGACGAATTCTTTAACCGGCCGGACTGGACCGGACAGAAGAAAGCTGTCCGGTTCCAACTCTGATTTAGACCATCATCGGTAACCTACGGATACGAAGATTGTCAAAAGTTGACCAAGTATTAATGAAGATAACAAATTATGAAAAAATAATTTTTTATATTTGAGGATAATCATCGAGCAATGTACCTTTTTTTATACCGCAAGTCAATATATTATCTAATGAAGCTCAATGATATTCAGGTTCTTAAATTTTACTCATGAATCCTATCGGAGAAGATAGGAGCCGACATCGAAGCGCCTCGGAAACAATTGTCCTGCTTGAAAACATGATCGAACTAGACCCTTTTTTGATTCATAATTGGATAATACTGAAAATGTTAGGATTTGTTCCTATCGAATCCGTTACTTGAGCACAATCGAATGCATTTAGATATTGAATTTAGAAGGAATCAGAAAACAACGAATTCCACAAAAGATATAACCGGACTATCAGGGATGTGAGTGAGAATGTAGGTATGCATTTTGTTCTCACCTACACCTATCAAAGTTATAATCGATTGATAATGATTGTGAAAACTAATCGATTATCACTGATTGAACTCTCAGACTTTTAATATATGAAATAATTTATTGTTTCAGTATTTTTAATGGCTGTTATCACTTTTATACAATTATCTCTTCCGTTAAGTGACTTGATGAGACTGCTATCACGTAATCCTATATGATATTCACCAGCTTACTATTTCAACTGAATTTTTTTAAACATTTATATATTTCTATAATGAATATATTTGCTATGTATATACACAATGGATCAATATTTTTGTTTAGGATGGATTTTGAGTAGTTTTTATCTGTATAGGAAAGTATTTATCTCTACATCAGTAATACACATTCATATAATGATGACTATGTGATTTATACATAGACTATCGTAGTTTGTCATTGTTTTCATGCTTGATATTTCAGAACTTCATGTATTTAAATATTGATTCTGAATGACACGAAGAACATAATATTTATTTAGACACTGCATCGTTTATTAGACAAGTGAAATAATATTCTTGTTCGTCGTATAACTAGAGAAAAATAGAATTTAAGATAGAATTGTCGATTGACAAAACGTTTTATTTGAAGAGATAAATATACGATTTAAGGAAATACATATTCTATATATGCAGTACTCAAATCAGAACAACAAGTACTGAATGAGACAAAATTGTACGGGTATGATAGAATTCAAATAACCCTAAATCACTGTTATCAATATCAGTCATTTTTTCTGAGAATATATTTGAGAAATTCGTAGTCGATTAACTAAAACATCGTGTGTACTTGAACGAATGTAACGCTCTATTTTATTAGCTCTCTTAGTGAAAATTCAATGGGATTCGATGAAAGCTTTCGCACTACTAATACGCTAATCAACATGAAATATTTCTTCAAAGATTTGTTGCTATTCATATTGGTGTACAATTGAATGTTAAGTACATTGTGATGTGTAGTTACCTATTCTTCAATCATTTCTATGACCAAAGATCGATGTTGATCTGAACTAATAACTCGAATAAATATTCTAAAAGAACAAATTTTTCTTTCTAGCTGCTTAGGTTAACAAATCTGGGTGATGATAATATTATTATGTTTCTTTATTTAAGAAATGTAATGCCCAAAGATTTATTAATGCATTTCTTCTATACTTGTCACTAGTACAAAAATGAGAACGCAAACCACAGACAGAAAAAGAGGGCTATCATAAGGAAGAGCATGCTAATACGTATACAATATATTTTTTTTTTGTTTTTAAATAAAATAATACAGAGAAACAAAGAGAAAAGAGAAAGAAACATACGATAACGATCAGGTATAACATAATCAACTAATGAAGAATCATAACAACGAATCAAGAAAAGAACAAAAATAGATATAAATCTTTATCTATTATTGCAGGAATGAAACTATCACAAGTCAATATTCTTATCTTCATTCTTCCCTGATTCCTTTTTCTTGTTAATCTATCCGTTGATGTCATACCTCATTAGATATATCCTATTGAAACTAGGAAAATTTTAAACCGATTCATGTCCAAAATCTCTTTGCTTGAGCTATAGCCGTTTTAGTGAATTAGTTTCTGATCAAAGTTCTTTGATTCTTGTCAAGACATCTTTAAAATTGATTTTCGAGTCTAAGTTTTGCATCAATAAATTTTTCAATAGAACTAATTCATTACGAATATGTCACATTTCTTATTACTTTCTATATACAGATATCAATATTGAAAAGTCTATTATGGGAAAACAAGTTTCTTTTTATGCTTATTTACAGTGGCTATCAAAATTGTTCAATAAGTTCTATTGTCAATTTGTTTTCACTGCCTTGACTGTGAATGAAAATCCAACATGTGATTCGAGTGCAGTAACATATACACAACAAAAATATAAGAAAAGAAAATTATTACCAGATTCAAAAGGACGTGATTTTTAGAAAGCCGAATCTTCAGTTTTTCAGCACTATAAATATCAACAAAGTATAGTTTCTTTTTCAGACTACACAACACGATACAGCGAATAATTCACTAAAACAAATTGAGATGTCTCCAAGTTCTGTAAGATAGTTTTTGAATAAGATAGAACAATCTAAAAAAAAGTTTTAAACTAAATTTTTTTCATAGAAAATAGTAGAAAAACTGCAGGTTTCAGAAGCTTCTATAATATTGTTGTATTTCACGTCAGACAAAAAGGCTTGTACAGAACTTGAAGACATCTAATTTTTTTAGGGATTTGTTTGCTCTATCGTTTCGTGTAATCTAAACAAAATTATATTTGTGCATTCTAAGTGTTGAAAAACAAGGTGTTTGCTTTTCTGGAAATTTTGTCTTTAGGTATCTGATAATTATTTTTATTTTCTTATCTTCTTGTTCTATATATTTTGTTCTCTATTCAAATCACGTGTTGGATTCTTTTTCGCGATCAAAACAGCAGAAAAAAATGGATGTAAACCACGATGTTTAATAATTTTCCTAGCTGCTCCATATCTCAGAATAGGAGGCATTAGAAATGCTGATACTTTCCCAATCAATTAGTCTCAATGAGAAATTTATTTATGCAAAGTTTTTAACGCAAAAGTTGATTTTAAAGAGGATGTGAAAAGAACCGATGAATTTTGTTGAAAACAGGTCAATTTGACGGCGCGAGAGGCCGTGGGTGTGGAACTCACAAACTTGCACTATTATAGTAAATTTACGATATATCATCAGAGAGGTTAAAACAATTTATTTTAAAAAAATGCCAAATAAATGAATAAAACAAAATTGTTGTCAGATACATCATCAATACATAAATTCTTTTCTCCTAATGACAATATATACTATACATGACATAGAAAGCAGCAAATATCATTTTATTCTTCATTTCGTCGGTTCAACCACTACATTAGTCTCCTATACACATTGACTTAATCATTCATTAAACTTTCGAGCATATCATCCTTTCTGTCGATGAACTTTAACATATACTGTTGAGTTATGCGTAAAATTAAAATGCAATTAGTTCATAATATTCTATGTCCGTCCTACTCGAACTCAGCTAGATCAATAATACTACTGCTCTACTGATTAATACCTGCAATAAGATTCTTTCGTTACATTAAATATCGAAACACGCAATATTTAGATTAGGTAGAATCTACAGTAAAAATTTTAAATTGATAGAATGCATTGAAAGATTTTAAAAAGTTCCAGAATTATCTAAGTACTGTTATTACTGACGAGCTTTTTCTATTGCTAAGAAAACGTACCCAATAATCTGTGAGTTTTCTCCTCGCACTCTCGGTTACCACGACCAGGAGAGGGGGAGCCGTAAAAACCTGATTTTAAACTTACACTCACTATTTTCTTCAAAAATATATCTGGACTTCATAAAAATCCATTAACATAGCTATGATTCATGAAAAAATATACATGGACACAACTCATTTTAGGTTTTCTCAACTCTCAATGAAAGACACCTAGTACGGTAAGATTTCTCTGAAAAACACTTTATTACTTTGCGAGGTTTCCTCCTCAGACAAATGTACTTTAATTGTTATGCTTCTTCTCATCGTGTATATCTCTAATATTGTCGAGTATGGTACCATAGTGATTTTATCCTTCTCCTTCAATTTTTACGTCTTATATTTAAATTTACTGATATTTTTAAAAATACTAATAACAAAGTAAATTATTCAATATTTCAAGTATAAAATAATGAATAGACTCGTTTTAAAATGGTACAAAGAGATAAAACAAATATTCGATTGCAAAAATCTTTCCAATAGATAAGCGACACAATTGTTTCTTTTTTTTATGAAAAAGAATATGAAAAATATTGCCAAGAACTGTAATTAATAAATTAATTATACATTATAAAAACCTTCCATCATTACAAGACGATCCAAATTTATATTTTTTTATTAGCAATTTTTGTTTTAAAATTGGCACGACTATCTCATAACCATGATCAAAAGCAATTGTCATTGATGCCAAATCTTCTCATTCTGTAATATAGTTTTTCTAATTAAAAGAATAAGATCATGACTATTCAACAGGTCTCCATAGATCTTTGCTCTTATTCCACAATTCCTAATTCTTGATTACAACCAATATTCTTGCTAAACAACATGAGATAGGTTACTATTTTACTTCAAAGTGTTGTGAAATTACATGTTAACTAATATCATATAAATTTAATCATCATCATCGTATTTAAAATTTTATTCAAAATCTTATAGATTAACAATAATTCTTTTTATCAACTCAAGTATTCCTAGTTAACAATACTTTTGCAAATATGTTCAAAATAACTGTGTTTGCGATATGTTCTATCCATTTGCCTAATCTTTTGTGCTTTTTATTTTATAATAAATTAAGCAATAATATCAACAGCTGTATATTTCACGTTGATCGACATGTAACGAAATACTTCTTTATATAATAACAGATACTCAACAATACATTTGACATATCTCCTATTTCGATAATATTTTTTTTTTCTCTGTTATTGATCATTTTTCACATATTTTCTCATCATCATTCTTATCATTTATACCTGTTAAGGAAAAAGAAACTCGCTCGACACACTTATTAGTTTCTCATCATCGTTATCATAGTTTGCCCATCAAAAGATTAGGTCGGATGTCTATTCTTTCCGCTCAAAGAAAATGATTGTATTGGTATGTTACTTGGTCTTCCGGGCACATATCATCATTGATGCGCAAGCAAACGTGCTAATAGAGTTGCGTTCAATGTGTGAAAAAAAGTAAACATTCCATATGCTAATCATATCGAATATGAAAGAAAAATCTTCTAGTGTATATTATAAATTTTAATATAATATTCTTTCTAATTATTTTAATAAACATAAATATTATGTTGTATCATCATGAAATTTTATAACAAATCAAAATTTATCACTTTCTATATGATTATATTAAAGATTTGATTCGCATAAACAAATGTATGTTGTTTTTGTTTTTGTTTTTTATTATTGTATTAGTATTTAATTCTTTGCCAATCGACAATAGTGATTCAAATCCCAAGAGTAGTTCTATAATATGCATGCAAGTTTTGCGCGTATTAAAAACAAATTATAGTAATATTGGCAAGTAAATCAACACTTTTTTCTTACTGTTTTACTATTAAATATATATATATATGTATGTATGTATGTATCTATGTATCGATCACGCTTCATGCTTCCTAATTACTCGAAACATTCCAATACAACACGTCGTATTCATATAATGATTGAAAGAGAAAGAGAAAAGTAAAGAAACATGAAGAAGTCACGTACAAATGAGCGATTGAAATAAATACACATACACAGATTTCAATCTAGTCTATAAAATGATTCGATGATCGATTGTTTTTTAGTTTATTGGTCAGCTGCTAAGATTTCAATGAGAAATATAAAACTAAAAACAAAATCAAGATATGTTAATACAAAAATCTCTTGACTTAGAAATTTTGTGTTATGAAAAACAAAAAATTTCATCTTATTATTGTCCACTTGATTTTTCAAAAAAGAACACAATCTCTGATTCGAAACTAAGAAACTTCAAAAAATTACAACATTCATAAATAGAAATGAGTATAGACATTTAAATAAATGATTTAATAAATATTCACTATACTAGCAATGCCTTTATTATCATTGTCGAACACTATTTAGCTTCTCTCCAATTTCAAACTAACAACATATAAAGTGTATTGTGTCGAATCTGAAATAATAACCCCAAAACTATATCAATCTTTTTAATATCATATATATATATATATGATCTGTAATTTATTTATCAATGAATTCAATTGATATTTAGTGCATTTTTATATTTGTGTTTGCTTTGTTCGCACAATTTTAATAGAGACGACCGTCACACATTAATTGATAACTAATTCATAGAAAGTGAAAAAAGCAATATATAGTTTAATTATTATATTTATTCAACATCAAATTATAATAAAACCTCTAAATAATTTATGAAATCAAAAAAAAAAATAGCAAAGAAAACATTTTTGTTCGTTAAAAATATAACAATAAGAATATAATCTTTATTTTCTTTTTTTCTTTTACATCATCGATCATGTGCCTATAAGAATCTCATGAGAACGACGAAGAAATCATAAATCGATGATTTTAAATCATTTTTTACTTTTATTCCTATCTCATTGATGATAATGATTATACACGACTTAAACGTATATGTTAGTCAATATTATATCTAGTTTCTCGTTTTCTTTTCTTTGTCATTGTATGATGATTGTAATCGTAGTCGCTTCTATAGATATATACATATTGATTGATGATCAAGCTATCGCATCATGTTTACACGACGTAGAGATATTATTTTAATCGAGTTAGTCGCCTAACATTTTCTCTCTCTCTCTCTCTCACACTCTATCTGTTTGAATGTGTATGTTCATGAAGGCGTGGTTTCACTTGTCATCAGTAGTATACAAACGAGTATAGTGCGCCCTGTCATTTAAGTCGGCATGATACGCAAAAGAGAAGAAAAAAAAACAACAACAGCAAGGATATCGAAATGATAAGTAATGAAACAGATCAATAGCAAACATGAAATTAGTTCTGATGATCCTGTCAACCACAACATCGTTTTATGATTTTCCGAACTGATAAAATAACTTCTTCTTCTTCTTTTAGCATATGTGATAATCAATTGCTAACCTTTTCTCTTTGACTTGCTTGATTTCCAAATGATTCTTTCGCCTCATTTGCTTTCATAATCGGTTTTCCAGAAAAGAAAGTTGTCTGTATATTCATTAAGAAAAGTCTATTAGCAAATAGAAAAGAAAAAAAAATAGAGAGAGAAATTATTTCTTATTTTTCTTTTGATGTATCATTACTACTTGATAATAGCAATATAAGCTTTTGCTCGTCGTCTTCATCATCATCATTCATAATAGCTTTTTCTCCCTCTCTCTCTCTCTCTCTCTTAGTTGGTAGACATATCACAAGTATCTTTTTACATGATTGGTTAGACAAAATGATACGTACATATTTCATTACATGGAGAAAAAGAAAAAAACGTAGTTATGTTATTGTGATTGGCCAATCGTATTAAAAAGAAAGAAGGGAGTAAGAAAGAGAAAGTAATTTGCACTATCACTTAGTTATTTGACTCACGCTTGATAGGTAGTGTGTATTATAGTTGTCAAAATACAAAGAACAACAAGGTTTGATCATGGGCGCTAATGATCATCAACTATTTCTATCTTCACCTGATTCAACATATTCAAGATCATCATCCATATCATCATCTTCGTCTTCACCCTCTCCACGAACATTATTAAATGAAAAACAAACATCAAAAATGAAATCATTTTTAATTTCCGATATATTGAAACCAAGTTTCGGCAATCATAATCAACATGATAATATTGAAAAATCAAACATTCCTCTATCATCATCATCGCCTACAACAACAAATGATTCATCATCATCATCAAATAATAATCACAAAAAAAAACTTGTTTCAGGAATTTTTCCAGCATGGGTTTATTGTACAAGATATTCTGATCGACCATCAGCAGGTAAAAAGAAGCGAGGGAGAGAGAGAGAAAAATAAATATAATTTAACATTTCGGTTTTGAAGGTCCTCGTGCACGAAAACCTAAGCCATGCGATACAATGGATTCAAAGCGACCACGTACTGCTTTCACAAGTATTCAATTAGCACGTTTAAAAGATGAATTTGATCGAAGTAAATATTTAACGGGTGAACGTCGACAAATTTTAGCGAATGAATTAGGTTTAAATGAATCTCAAATAAAAATTTGGTATCAAAATAAACGTGCAAAAATAAAAAAAACTTCTGGTGTACGAAATACATTAGCAATACAATTAATGGCACAAGGTTTATATAATCATGTATCGTCTAATAATAAAAACTCATGTAATGACTAGAGAAAAGCTATATGGTTTTTTTTATACAAACCTTCTAGTCAAAATCGTTTTTTTTTCTTTCTTTCTGTTATTCTTTGTTGTACAGCGATTAAAAACACAAATATAAAGTGATTTTCCTTTGTATCTTATACAAAAGTAACAACTGCTCCATATAATCGATCACTTATTATCGATGCAACAGGTCTAAGTCGGTATGTTTGATTGAAGTAATGATATCCACCCAAAAAAAAAATATTATTATATTCTTTCTCTTGTTAATTCGATAAATATAGAGTAGAATGAGTTGATTGCACACAGACTATATGCTTATGATGACTCAAGGGAAATTTTAAATTGCAGTTTTCTTTTTCTATATAGCGGTAGCGGCATTAGTTTGACTAGCATATGAAAGTTTAATGACTGGATGCAGTTAACTGATTGGCAAGAAAAAAAAGATAGAGAGCGAGAATGCTAAAGTATAAACATTCTATCCATCAACTTCATCCTATTAAGATTATTTTGATGTTTCACAGAATAACAAAAATGAGCAGGTGGAAAAATGGGAGTAACCAACGATTGTGATGAACTTCATAGAGATTGACATGAAAGTCAAAGATTTTGTCATGCAAAGCTCATATTGTTATCTGATACTAATGATAGTTTAAATAATAAGTAGTCTTTGTCAAGTTCAAAATTTTTCGATTCGGATTTGGTTCATTAGATTTTCTTGGACTCGAGCCTATATAAATATAGACAAGATGAGATCGATATCAACATATTTTCATTGGAAGTGATATTTTATATGGTCGTGTAAAAATTGTGTCAAATGTCATATTCTCACGACTCGTGTGCTCTAAAAGTTTATGCGAAAATTATTGAATAACGATAACTTGAGTATATGTTGGTGCAATTTTGATAGTAAAATGAATCCTTTTTTTTTCGTAAATAACAGACTTGTCGAGTGTATAAACGTGCAGAATAGACAAAATATTAATGAATTAAAAAAAGCAATGAATCTTTGAGGAGTAGAATATATTAGAGATCATGTGGGTCATGCAAAATGTCTCGAACTCTTTGACATTGCTAGTACATGTATTACTAAGTGTGAAGCCGAGAGCAAAAACGATTGATTCCGTTCATTACTAGGTCTGGGTCTAATCCGACAGGTTCTAATGATAACGTTGAAATTTATTGATTCGTCAAATATCGAGGGAAGATTTTATTTTATTTTTGATCGTTAAAAAATATCAATAAACTTGTTTTAGTCAAGGAAAAAATTCATGGTCGTAAAACTTGTCTATCGAACGAAAGTGATCATTTGTGCCGATAATACAGCGTGAATAAAATTTTTAGATAAGACTATTTCGAATTGAAAGAAGATGAGATGACCTTCTTTATCTCAAGAAACTTCACATTTTTTATTCCTTCATATACAAATACCTACTGAGTTGCATTCATAAATAAAAAGATTAAGAATAAATTGAATTTTTTAAAAATTTACTGATAGAGATGGTAGAATAAATGAGACTCAATATTTTTATCAATTTGAATAGTTACGGACTAAATTTTATTTTAAGCGACTCAGCATTCAGTTCTCTACAAAACCATAAGCGAATACGTACCACAGAAGATTTGAATCTGTGGTACTAACATTAGATTCTCTATTAATATTTTGGTTTGAAACACTATTTCCTATGTGCTATTAAATACAGTACACTTGATTGTATCTGAAATGGTGCTTTGAAGCTTTTAAAGAGTTCTTCATTAATGGAAAGAAAGCGCAAATCAGTTTATATATTTGTGCATGAAAGATGTTAATGATAGATGTTCGCAGCGCTCGTGTAATAACGTTTTTACTTTTACTTCTATGTCACACATTTGTCTATGATTTTGTAGACAAATGAATGCTGAGTCTTTTAAGACTTTTAAATTGTTTAAAAAATGTGCACTAAATATTGTTGCTAGGTTGCATTGAAAGAAAAATTAAAAAAAAACAATGTCTAAATCACATACCAATCAACAAACAGCAATTTTTAAATGTTCACCATCTACTAATTTTGATCGATCATTAATTGAGAGCGCTCATTTTAGTGGACATCATTCAATTGAACAATATCTTACATTTAATATTCTTGGAAAACTTTATTATGTAAAAAAAACTTTATTTCAAAATCATTCTGTTTTATTTCATGATACGTTATTTACGAAATTTGATCAACTTGAACAATTTTATGATCAAAATCGACAACAATATATTATTAATATTAGTCCAATAATATTTGAAAAAATTTTACAATATTATAGAACACAAAAATTATTTGAACCATCTAATATTCATATTGATTATTTTAAAGAAACATTAGATAAGTTCCATATTGATACATCATCATTAGATATAGATCAACGATGTGAACGATTTGTATCACGACAAACAGTTTTTCAAATAATTCATGTTTTATTAGAATATCCTGATTGTAAGTAGGATATTCTATTGGATTGCTATTTTTTGTTCATTTTGTTCAATAAGTTTTGAATTATAAATATCTTAAGGAATCATTTTTAATAGCACACAAAAATTAATGACGTCGGCATCATTATATTGTATAGAAAGCTTGCGTAGAATTTCTCTTTTTATGCATTGATAACAAAAATACTGATCGATATTTCTTCAATATTTTATCATTCTTTACTTAATATGATAATAATAAAATCCTAGACTGTGTTATCTGTCTGCGTCATCAATTAACTGAATTCGATGTTGATATTGCCGATATGGAGCTTCATTATCGAATAGATTTCATCATTGAAGTAACTCGGTTACTGATAAATAAATAAGTTAGGATAGTGCAATATCATAGGATGACCTTGTCTACGTGAATCTGTCAACGAACAGGACTAATCAAACCGATACGGTTTAGTGGTATGTCTTCAACAGCTTCGTGACATGTTTTGTTCTCTACCTTCGTACTTCCTCCCTTCATGTGGTTATTCGCTACTTAGCTCCATACTCACTAACTATTAACTGTCCGGACTTAATCATTTTTATTATACATGTCTTAGACAGATATTGTGCTGCAATTATTGGAATGATTTCTTTTTTTTCGTCTGCTTATGATAAATGTTCACTGGATGATTTGTATTTTTACTATTAGGAAAAATACCTTAAAACACTGACGAAACGGTTTTATGACATGAAGGTGATTCAAGTATCTGATGTCTACGAAGACCAAAAACAATTCGTGCTTTTTATCATAGTCAACTTGATCTCTTTGTATGCTAGTTATATGCCCCTTTTGGGACCAATAAGGTCCCAAAAGGTAAAAATAATGCAATGCAAAAGTCATGGTAATAATAAAGTTTCGATAAAAACTGTTCATCTTTGTTTGAAATGGATGAGCAAAGCTTTTACTTGTGCACTGCATTTTCTATTCAATAGCAAGTTATTTATGCAGAGCTTTGCTTTGTTTTCGCAGACTAGATTTCAGCTTGCAGAAGTATTGTAAGATGATGATAATACTTACATGAAGATCAAGAAAAGATTGAAGATGAAGCACGATCCTGAAATTTTTGTAACTATGATAATATCTGAAAATTTCGAAAAAATTCATGACCTCATTAATTACGATCCTTATATTAGAATTATAGTCTTTTTTATAGTTGAATCGACGTGCTTGATAATCTGGACGAATCAAATTTTTTTTGCCTAAAAAAATATGTTTGCTAGGAAAAATTGATCTTTCAGAAAATGAATCTCTAGAGTTCTAGCTACCGATCTCGTATTGATATTCGTAATCATCACAATCGATTACCTTTGATCCACTATATTTGAGAAAAAAAATGATTAGACAGCTAGGGACTTTCTCTCGTGAGAATATTTATAATCTTCTACGATATACTATTTATGAATTTGTATATTATATAACATTTCTTCTTGCTTGTTATTGAAATAATTTTTCATTTCTTTTTTTAGCATGTCGATTTTCCCAAATACTTCATTACATTTGTTCAATGGTAACTTTACTCAGCTGTTTATTAGTATCTATTTCATTAACATTTCGTGATCCGAATATTGATCTTCATATATGGAATACAACTGAATTTGAATTACCATCACGATCAAAATCAATCATTGCTCATTTCTATAATCGATCATCAAATATTTTTATTATCGATACTCTATGTCTTATTTGGACAATTATTGAAACCATTTTACGTATATTATCAACACCATCTCTTTATAATTATTTTACTACATTAGGTATATTTGATGTAACTGGTATGTAATTAAAAACCATACATGATATTATTATTATTAGAAAAGTAAATTAGGTGTTGTTTTTCATTCTGTTTATATATATATAATTGGCACTGGAAGAAAACCAAGGTTTGATTTTTGTTGTTTTTTCTTTCGCTCTGAAAAGAAATTTCATTTTGTTCAAATAATTAGTCAATGCCAAAAAAATCCAATTCATACTAATGATATATTTAGTTGTATTACATTCAATCGCCGTGTAATGATCTTAAATCTCTTACGTAAAATACGTCTTGTACGTTATATACGTCCATTAAAATATTTTTTATTATCTCTTATTGCATCAAAAAGAGAAGTCATACGTCTTATTGTATTAATATTATTTATTATGGCATTTCTTGCTCCATTAATATTTATTATTGAAAGTTCCTATATATATGAATGTTCATCATCAACAAATATACCAAATACACGTTGTATTCGAACAATAAGTGATGCATTTTATTATTTAATTCTTATTATATCAACTGTTGGGTAATATATATAAATAGAAACTAAAAATTAATTATTTAATAAATTTCTTCTTTTTTTTTCAAAGTTATGGTGATGTTTATCCAATGTCACATCTTGCGCGTTTTATTGCTATGTTAGCATCGCCATTATCAATAATGATATTATCAATACCTTTATCAACAATTTATAGTAAATATATTTCGTCATGTGAAATTTATCAAATGCAATTAGTTATGCCTGAAAATGTTCGTTATCTTGTTTATGATAATAAGAAAATTGTTAAACGAGATAATAAATTACAAAAAAATGAAATTATCGATGTAACTGAACAAATTCATAGAAATTTAAAACGTTTGAGAATTAATTGAAAATTACATAAAAGAATCAGATTAACGAAAAAAAAAAAGAATAATTAATTAAAAAAGGATTAAATAAATCTTAGAAATATAGAGTGGCTCATAAATAACAGGACGATAAAAAGCATTTTAATATCCTCAGTTAGCTTTTTTCTTAGTGATAGAGGACTTGTCAAAGTCTCTACTAAGAAGGAAATCATCAAAGAGATACTGTGTAGAACGACCACTATTGACTTAAAAAAAATACACTACTGTCCAAAAGTATACTTCTGTGATCTTAGCCAATCTGGAGGAGCCTCATTCCTCCTTGCCAGATGTTAAAATCAATTTTTTTTAATTTTTGGCTTTTCATCGCTAATATAGTTTCGAAGTGTCATCTGTCGAATGCTGTATGAATGATGGCTCTTTATTGTTATTTAACACTTTTATTAAATCCAACTTTCGAAATTACCAGCGAAAAATCGGCGCTGCAATTAGTCTTTGCATGCAAAATTCTTCTGATGATAATCATTATTTCTCATTCCAAAGGTGCAGGAATCATATGTCATGAACTTCTAATACCATCAGTTTTTATTCACTGTACTCGAAAAAAGGTTCTAATACATAGAGGAAGACTTGTTTTTCATTGTTCTCAAAACCAGTTTTTATAAAAAAAAGTACAGAATCGCCTTCGTTACTCCGACATAGTAAGCTCGATTGAGCGGCAACTTTTTTTACAGTTATTAAAAACTATTAAGGGTACCTACTTTTTTTTGTTATGAAAAATATTGTACCGTCGATTTTACAAAAAGACTCCAGAAAAAAAAGCCTGTATTTTTGCAGATACGCTCAGTATGTCGATCTTTTTTTTCATATGGAAGGAAATAAAAAACAACCACAAAAAGAGTAGGTATCCAAAACAGTGTCTACTATCTGTAAAAAGAGTACCGGTTCTAGAGGACTTATTACGGTTGAGAAAGCAAGGCAATTTTTAGTCTTGGCGACCCAGATATTTCCTAGAAAGAAGTGTTTAGGAATCTGAAGTCTATGACAAGTTTTGCTGTACTCATTGAGATCTATCTATTCTGAATGCTTCAAATAGTTCTTCAGAAACCCCGCAAGGAGAGAGCATCCTTACGGCTACACATTAGAAATTTTTATTATATGTACTACTGTAAAAATGTAGGCCAACGAGACCAGTCCAGTTTCGATCGCTTGAATTAAGGAACAGTTATGATATTTGATAGCTCTTCTCGTTATGAGTTCTATACCATAACAAGGGAATAATTTGGTTAATCTGCCATTGTGTAAAATATTCGCAGCTGTGGATTGCTTTAATAAAACTCGATTAAATTTATAGCGTAAATAGTTGTATTAAAGGGCTATATAATGACAGGTTCGTTCGAGTTATAGGACTCACAGTCAGAAGCGTCACTATAGATCATAGTTCCTATTCAGTTCAAGCAAACGAGGCTGGACTGGTTTCACTAATCTACGTTAGTATTTCTGCACAATATATATTTGATGGATTCTGTATCAATGAGAAAAATATCGTCCTAATCGAGTGAAGCAATGTGAAGATACTGAATATATTTTTTCGCCAAGTTATTTACGAGTTACGCTGTATTTCTAATTAGGAAAATACAGATTTTCAAAGATCACTTCTCAATTTGATCTAAAAACTTTTATAAACATTTCTAAACGAAATGAGATTTTTATAGAATATTATTAAAAATCATCGACCTACACGTCGTTTTATAAAAAAAAAATCTTATTATGTTAAGAAATCTTTTTCATATTAGATGAAATTTTCAAACATACATATCTTGGTGTGGCATTCTTTTTCAAATTTCTTTTATTACACAAAAAAATGACTTGTAACTGGATTAAACGTTCAGGTCTCAGCAAAAGCTAGCAATGAGTCGCACTTGTCAAGCAAACAACAGCTCCCGCTCGGGCTAGATTTTGTGATTCAGACGATGATAATGAACTATAAGTACTTTTTGATGAGCAACATGCCATGCAAATTCTGATAACCAGTATTAAAACAAATAGACCAAGCAGAACAAAAAATAGTATACCGATAACTCCCGGTCCATTTGATTTTGTATAACAAGTTCTACCTTCATATGAACCACATACTGTATCCACTGGATAAAAGAACAAGAGAGAAAAAAAATATCTACTTTTACTCAATGAATATATGAATTTACCTGGACAACAAAATGTCCACGGAAAAATTCCGCATTGTTTTCCTTGAAAAAGAAAGACATATTATTAAGATTTAAAAATATTGAAATTATTTTACCTGGTAGACCACCATATGAACATGACTGTGCTGATATACTAACTATGAATGCGAACAAAAGTCCAAATAAAACAAGTTTCGACATAAGTTTATTTCTTCGTAAGAAAAAAATATATAATGTTCTTATATCGAGTTTTGTACTTAATACAGGTAACTGATAAAATATGACGCACACATAACGTCATAAAATATCATCTTACGCAAACAGATATGAGAAATATGTGTTTTTCCTAGTGATAAGGCGAAAAGGATGAGAAGGTCGATAACTGATGACATTGCCTTCTTCAAAAATATGATTTTTGCCATGTCATACTGTTACTCAACGTGTTCCAATGTGACTCTTGATAAGATTGGACTTATAACACTTGTTCGTACTGTGTTCTTGTCGATTGAGATAGTCAACAGCTGTCGTATGTACACTATATGTGATCGTTGAAGATGATCAGCTCTTTTTCTCTACCAATCCGAAGATCGACCAGACTGGCATTCATATGGCTTGATAGCGCCTTTTAATAACTTCAAAATCATATAGAAGTATCACGGAATAAACACTATCTGATATGTCATCACATGAAGCACATAGTCCTGATATACTCGCATTTTTAGTATTGTTCAGATTGTTTACTGAAATCGTATACCAACAACATCTAATATTATCACATGCCGGGCTAGTTTTTTTATGGTTTGATAGTACTTTTTGAACGCTTCAAAATGGTGTAGAAACATCGAGGAAAAAAGCACTGGTCATACAATGAAATGCCAAGGAAACTATTCTCAAGACACGGTTTTATGACTTTTGTTTGACTGATATTAAGTAGACTTTGATTAGAAAAATACGTTTCGGATAAAAACTAATACAATATTCTGAATTAGCATCTAGAACTGAGTACATACATTTACGTGTATTTAAAAAGTTTTTGCATTTTTTTCTTTTAGCGGGAAAATTTACCCCTGGTGTAACTTCTAAGAGTTGGGTCAAAAAAAGAATTTCATTGAACAGTTATTTTGGTAGGAGAAATCAAGTTCTAAGGTGATAAACGATAGTAGAACTCAATAGGCGATGTATAAACAATAAAAACAGAACTTTCGTGAAATTCATTTTTTTACCCAACCCTTAGGGGACAAGTGCTGAATTTTCTCGGCGAGAAAATGATTGTAAAAATGAACTAAATACACGTAAGTCGGCTCAGTTTTGAATGTTGATACATAATATCATATTAGTTTTTATTCAAACTGTATCTGTCTAATCGAAATCGACTAAATATCAGACAGAAAAAAAATCATATATCGAGAGTAGTCTCTCTGTGATTTCTTTATGTGGCTAGTGTTTTTCCCCTGATGTTTTCGTACTTCTTTGGATCGTTCAAAAAGTTCTATCAAATCATATGAAAATAATCTGGCCACTCATGAGATAGGTAAATAAAATGTATTGATTACCAATAACAGTCGAGTCCAATTTACATATGCCAACCATTGACTATTTCAATCGACCTGTGCACAACATAAATAAGGGCTATATGACAAATTGCATCAGAACTCAATTTGAAGTACCTTATGCGACAGTTTGCCACTGAAGAAATGAAACTTCTCAAGTCGACTCTCATACTTTTATATAATTATATGCAAACAATAATATAACTTTTTTATGTCAAAATAAACGATTAGAAATTGTGTTTATTGAGCATGAGAACAAATCTAGTATAAATATTGATTGCGTGATATTTTGGAAAATGATCCATGGTCGTTCTTTTGGCAGTGAAAATAAAATATTCTCATGTATTTTATGGGACGTCGTTCACTTAAGCCCCCCCCCCCCCCCCCCGCCACCCCCACCCGCCCCCCCCCCCCCCCCCCCCGCCCCCCTATTCACGACTGAAGCCTCCTGCCGTGTGGTGCGAGGTNGAAGTTAATTTCCAATACTTGAAACTCAACTTTTGCTCGTATGAATGAAAAATCCGATGAATAAAGTGCAACAAAGCTAGAGTCACTGGTTGTTCCTTGCTATTGACAAAATTGATTGATCGAATTTTCGTAAAGTACACAAGCGGTGAATCCAATTGTCCCTTATTCAATAGCCATCTATCCGAATTCGTCGAAAAATCGAAAGATACATTTAAAGCACACGGCATAGAGCCAATAAATATGCTATTTTCATTGTCACGAAGGATAAGTACTGGTGGTCGATCAACACCGAGCCACCAATCACTCTGAAACTGATATAATAGCTGAATCGCATCGATTTCTTCGTCTTCACAATTAATGGTAAATTCTAGTTTTCTTAGACGTCGACAATGTTGAAATATTATTTCCAAATGACCTCCATCGACTACAAGATGATAACTATGGATAATCAAAGTCACGTGTTCAAGAGACGATTGATAACAATTAATTAATTTTTTGATAGAGCTAAGACACCAGTAATCATCATTCTCATCATCATCTACACACACAATGTATAATCGAACTAGACGAGAGCTTGGCTGAATAAGATTTACGAGGTCTAAATAATTTGAAAAATCATCAATAGGTTTTAGATCTTTAATCATGAGACTAATCAAATTTGGAGCAAGAGCAGAAAGACATAATATATCTTGAACCGTGCACTCCTCGACAGATAAACGTACAATGGCCGGACAGAGTAGAGTTTTGGAGATGATTTTTGTCTAAAAAGATTTGCGTACGAAAGATAAATAAGTCGAAGTGTCTATTTTACGCACCTTTTCGACATCAGTCAAGTATAAACGATCATTAAAAACGGATAACCTGTCATCATCATCGTCATAGTCAGAAGAAGGCCAAATATCACATAATCGAAGTATATTTAAAGTTGAAATAATAGCACCCAGTGCAGAAAAATTAGCGACATATAATTCAACTGTGAAAACATTTGGACATTTTAAAATGATTGATTGTAGATTGAAAAAAGAATGTGTACATGAAAAAATACTCGGCACCAATTTTATGTCGAGAGTGATCTTTTCGATGACGCTCTCGACGAATGACCTATGTTCGATTAACCAAACTGGAGATGTATCTATCGGAAATGTGAAATTACGCGATGACTTCTGCACAAGCCAAGTAAATCGTCGATTGAGACAAGAAAATACTTGAACAATGTCAGTCGAGCTCAAATAGGACATAACCGAAAGCATTATTTCGTTTGGTAACGTTTCAAAACAACTTTTCAACAATGTCCTAAAACAACAGATTCGTGTACTTGTTGAATGTTATAAGTAAATCCTGTATTGTTACCTTCGACGAATGTTGACATCATTATTCTGCTGTACAAAATAAAGCGAAGTATCAACCAAACTTCGATTGTGCTCACTCTGAATGACATTAGTTGCTATCGTCTGAAATGATATCGGCGAACTCTTTGACTCGGATAACTGAGTAATGACATGGCTATTTTGTTGATAATCGAATTTCACTCGTTTGATCGTCGTATCGAAATCACCATCTTTTGAATACAAAACAGAAAACATCGAACTAAATCACTCGACTAAGAAGGGTACCTGAGTAAAATCTGGATCTTTTGTCTTGACTCTGTGTTATCTGAGTATGAGCAGTGGTCATCTCGTTACAAAATCTAAAATAGTCATTCAATGATCAAACTAAATTGAAAATTGGTTATTGGTTTTTGTTCTTTTAGATTCGAAACATAAAATGAACGAAATTATAATATACATATCACTTCAAAAACTCGATTTCAGAGTTGGCATGAATCATTCAAAGCAGTGTTTTTCGCATAGAAAGCAATGGGCTATACAAGCGGAACAAAAAATTATCGAGATATTTCGACTAAGAAATCAAACTTTTTACTTGGCTCTTCATTCGTCTCATAATTATGACGAATTTAATTTTTAAATGAATAGATATTATATATAAGAAAGTTTATAAAAAATTAAAAGAAAAACTCTCCTACTTTCACGGCAACTGTCATACGTATTCGTGACGAGTCTCTTCATATTTTTTCTGTTGTGTTTTGCTTCGTGCGACACATTTTTCCTTCATTCACTATGATTTCATCAGAGGAAGAAAAAGAACATGTAAATTATGTGATTCATTGGAGGACCAGAGAAATGACAATGATAAAGGTGTTTTTTAAGTTGGAAAGAAAAAAAACTGAAAAGAAACATTTTATTTGTTGTGACTTTTCCAATATGAATCATTCAACCAATTCTTATCGACCATTCTGATGATTGAGAAAAAAACAAAACTTAATTTCGGACGTATGGTGTGGCTGAGTACAGAAGATCTACATCCACATTCAAACAACCAAAGCTGCTGATTATTACATTTAGTTTGGTCAAGTAAGGTCCTAAAATGAAATTTAATATTGAATAGAAAAGAAAATCAATATCATTTTTAAAAAACGATCGAAATTTAGCGAAAATAAAACCGTGAAAAACGCACATTTTTACGATTTCGTTTTTATTGAAGAGCCTTAACAGGTTTTTATGCGCTCGGTGTCTAGACTAAGAAAACTGTTAGAGCAAATAGAGTTTGTGTATGCGCGTATGTTTCATCGAGGAAAAAAACACCCTCAAACGATTCTGAACATTTTATTCCTTCTAAGAATTGAATTCTATTAATGTCTGAAACAATAGACAAAGAAAATGGCGTTGATTTCTGCCATTGGATAGAAAAATGGCAAACTATCAACTAAGGATCAAAGCAACATAACACATGTGTTTTGTTTCTTTTTTCATAAGAAACCGAATCAATTAGTTGCTACTGATATTATTGTTCGAGATGATCAAGATATGAGTAAGAAATTATCATTGGAAAAAGCTATTTGAATTGGAGGAATCAATGTTCATCGTGATTTTAGTGGAGAATGCATTGAAGTAATTTTATTTTCGTATATTGACAATTATATTCAACAAGTGATTAAAACTGATATCACTGTTTATGAATTTACAAACAATATTAAAGCAAAAAATATTTATAAATTATTTGCATTCAAAATGATTCAATCATCGAGAACAATCCAACAATAAGATAATAAATTCAGATATATTGTTTGAATATCAAGGATTGAAAAATATCAGTCACGTACTGTGAAGTCAGATTTTTTTCGTTCTAACAAAGTAACGCGGGTTTCATACGAAAAAAAAACTCGAATGAAAGCATTTCGTGAATCGTACAGATAGATGCCAGCGACCATCTCACTACATCTGGCAGCGATGGAACTAAGTAGTTCGATTCGGTTACAATAATAAAGACCTAACTTTGTCTCTGCTAGCTGGGCAATACGAATTACGTGATATTAATGAAAATTCTTCCATGAAGAAATGATGAAGTGGACATTTTTTTATGTGTTTGAAATGCATCGATGTTTTCCAAAATTCTTATCAAAATCATACCATTGAAAATATGAATAGCAAATAGCTAAACTATTTTCTCCTGTTGGGTCTACTGCAGACTCAGACGATTTGCGGTGAATCTCTAAAATGATTACATTACTTGAGTGCTGTGCAAAGAGGTACATGCTTAAAGTATTTAAGTTAATGATTTACAATATAGAAAAGGCAAGGAATAACATTCGTTAAGCCCTTACAGGGACCGTTGTTTTAGTAAAAACGGTACATGTAAGGACAAATATCTGCATAAAATCTAAATTCATCACTTTCATTGCATAGTTTTGATTTTTCCGAAGAAATCAAAATCATGGAATGTTTTATTAGGAACAGAATTGAGATCATCAATTTTTCTCGAACCCGAGAGAAAAAGCAGCTGATCTCGATTGTATCTGCTACGTATTTACTATCTGATACTTAATGAAATCGGATCCAAAGTTAGTGAAAGCTCATTATACCGCAAAAAATACATCATTTATTACATCTGACATAAAGCAAAGGAGAAGAGTAATGATAGTCGATATCTGTAAATGCAGTTTAGCATCTATGTAAAGGATGTGAACATAATTATTGTCTTTGGCATACTATTATTTCGTCCGATTCAGCTATGATGTAAACTTATAGATCGATTTCTTAGATTCTTCATTTTAAGAATTTGATCCAATTTTTGATTTTTATGAAAGTAGTTCGACACGAAAAACTCAGTATGACCACTTTTGTAAAACACAAATCTTTTAGACAAGTACTGTTTTGATTTATAGTTATATCACTACTGCAGCAGAAAAAAAAGAAAATTCCTAATCAAAGTGTTTTAACAAACGAAAAAATGCTCTATTGTATCTAACCAATGACATCTCCAGTATTTTATGTATAGGATACATTGAGTCAACTTTTCGAAAAAAATTACATAACCAAATAATCAATCTTGATGATCCATAACATCAAAATGATGATCTGTCGGTCTATTAATTTGATTCAGTAGACACTAACCAACGTCCAACTATTTTTTATGATACAAAAACCATTAGTGACCATTTTGTTCATTCTTGCTGTGCTAATTTTGCAGCTTAGTTTTATTCTTTCTCAAATAAAGTCACATAAAAATATTGCTATTTGAACATGATACTTTTAAAAGCTATTGAAATTCGGTTGTTATTGGATATGCACGACAGAGATAATGTAGATGTGCTGGTACGAATTTAATATTTTCTTTGCTTAGCCACACCAACACTCGTTGGGCCCTTTCTCACAATAAATAGTTGGAAAGAAATTCTGTATTATTTTACTCTTTCTTTTTGTTTGGTACGAAAGAAAAAAGAAACAAGAGAGGCTATTTATAAAAAAATTATTTCACTAGAAGCGTCCAAGAAAAATGAGCTGAAAACTGCGTAGCTCCGAAAATTCTAGCTCACTTTTCTCCAATATATTGTTTCACAACTGTTCATCTGATCTTTTATAACCAGCCAAGTCATTATTTTCGATTGGGAAACTGGGCATCATATTTGCTACTTTTTAAGTGCTACTTGGGCATAATTCTTTTCACAAAGTTCGAGCTATTCCGACATGGGATAGCTATATTACAAAGTTCAAATGAGTTGCACAATGGTCTTAAATGAAATATATCTAAGGCGCAATTTTTTATTAATGAGGTATGGTGATGGAATGCAGAAAGAAGGTATATGTTTCATACGTTGGGTCGACTTCAGTATTGAAAAAAAATTGTTTCACTGTTCTATTAGAAGTCTTTATACTTCAATAGAGCATAGTGTATTAATTGTCAATATCAAATTTATTTGAAGCACTTTCTGGTAGTCCTCAAACATAATGTTTGACCCGAAAGTCCATTAAAACTCAAATTTCGATTCGTTACAGATACGTTAATTCAATGCATTATTTATTTATCTATCGGATAAGAATAAGAAGGCCTAAGATATTCAAATATTTTTTGTATCGGTCAATTATCAGCGTGATCTTTTTTTCTACCAAATATGTATTTCAATGTACTATGTCTTATGACATTATTTTGAACTTGAAACTCTGTTTAGTAAAGCACTTTTGTTCTAAATACCATTCTTCAGATTTATTTTTTGTCATATTTTCTTCTTATTTCTGTACTTTTATTTCTTTGTTTTTTGGTTTCTGTAAAAGTAATTTAACGAAGATTATATGAAAAAAAACAGTGTTTCTTCATCTATCTCCAATATGTCTTTGCAACGGCTCGAGTGCTGTGCCATGCTTCATCCAATGCTTGAACGACATCATCCGGTAGTAGTCCTTTTTGTAAGTCCTTTAAATTTGATTCCAATTGTTCAACACTACTCGCTCCAATAATGATCCCGTCACCATCGAAAGGACGCAATTTTGAGTGATGAACAAGCCATCGAAACGCCGTCTCAGTAATAGTTAGACCATAGTTTTCTATCACCGGTATAAGATTATTAATGGCATCGAGATAAACATCATTAAAGTATCGATCACGGTATAGTTGTCCTGCTGTGTTTCCTTCGGCATTGGAGAAGCGACCTTCTTTAGGAATTTCGGACGACGATCTGTATCGTCCGGAAAGTATGCCACCAGCTAGGGGATTGTAGGCGATAATGTCGATTCCGTAGTGCCGACAACAGGGCACAAGTTCTTCTTCTAAGGCACGCGTAAGAGCATTGTACATACCCTGATATACTCTTGGACGGACCCATTGGTTGAAAATGCAGATTTGCGTTATTTGTGCCACCTCCCAAGCAGCATAGTTACTCAATCCGAACGTCTTAAATTTACCTTCTTTGTGCAGTTTATTGATTTCCTCAAGGGTCTCTTCATATGGGACACTTCGATCAGGTGCATGAAGGTAGAAGATTTCGACGGACTGTTGTCCCAGTTCACTGAGACTTGTCTCGAATGTCTGGCGTAGCCTCTCTGGTTTATGCATACCCGCTTCCACGGGATACACTTTTGTGGCTACGGTGAATCCTTCGTTGAGCACACCCGTCTCTCGAGTAAAAGCTTCTTGCTTGCCATCATTGTATGTTCGAGCAGTATCGAGTTCAGAATAGCCATATGACTGTAAAGCCTTGAACATTGCTTTTGTTCCGTCTACCGTGGTCACTCTTGCAATATTTGTCCCTGGAGGACCCATTGTTGCACAGCCCAAAATAACTCTTGGAACCTTGTTACTTGTCATCTCGTAATAATACTTTTTGAGTTAATAATATACGTAAAATTGAATAGAAATATATTTTGCGTTTTTCGTTCTGTTTTTCTTTTGCATTAACGTTAAGGTTTCGCAATTTATGCACTATTCCGTATATTTTCTTATCTTTTCTCGTTCCTTTTTTTTTGTCTGATAGTTTATCTACGTGAATGTTTTTAGTGAAGTCAATTTAGAAGAAAAAAAAACACAAAAAGAGTCATGTGCGAGTGAAATGTAATGAATTGTATGTGATAAAAAAATACATAAAAAAAGTTAAGAAGTATCAAAACAAACTCTGCATTGTGAATTATTGATAGAGTGTATAGTAAATGCGTTTGAATATTCTAAATATTACAAGGGATCTTATCAAGCCAATGATTCGAACGAAGGTTTTTTCGCTCTTAATTTTCATTTTTATTCGCATTTTAAACAGATCCATCTGTCTGTATGAAGACACTCAAGCCTAATTTATTCAAATATAAACTCAATTTGTATCAGTAGATAGATCAATTCTAATAGACAAAGGAAAAGCGACAATGCAAGTGGAACGAGAAAAGTTGTTGTTATAATTTTGAGTAGTACCCTATTGTAAAATATCCTACATTTATATATAATGTTTAGACATATTTAGGATTATGTTGAAAAATTCAGACTTTTTATATCTTACGAATCGTTATATTTTTTCATTTGTTTTTATAATGTATGAAGATAATTAATGAGATAAAATTTTTCCTTATTTTCAAAGACTGCTCTTCAATGGTCTAGTATTGCGAGAGCTGTAGATATATATTGTTAGTCGTTTTGGACTTTTTTTTTGAATATGTTCTTATACGAAATATTCTCGTATGAATGAAATTATGTTTCCTAACAGAATGCAGAATTTTATTTAATAATTTCTTTAAAAAGAGTTCATTGGGGGACCAAGAAATCGATGCATTGATTAAAACTTGAATTTTGGGTTTTTTATGCATACTACTAATTAGAATAAGCATCATCAAAAACCATCAAATCCACATGTTTAACTCATTAGGAAGTTCTATAGAAGTTACCCATTCTACATTAATAACCACAACTATCGGATGATCTTAAATCCATGGAAAATAGCCACACGTGACTAATTATAAACTCTCTAAAATGCTAATATATTCATCTGATTAACTTCGATTAGTCAGATCAATACACCAGCACGGTTTTGTGTCTTCATTATCTTTTTAATTCAAATGACATTTCTCAAAGCTTTCAATTAATAGATCTGGTTGAGATACAAATAACTGCTCGTCCTGCTTAATCAACTAATGAAATTAAAGTGCTTTTGGATTTTACTTACTCATACAAATATAAAGCTAATGACTGTATCGATTTCCTCACTAGCGAAAGACAAAAGAGTATTTAGAATTATTTTATATTGCTTTTCTCAACTGATTGTATCGCTTATCAAAGATATTCTGCATCTTTATTCGATTTGTGTGTTTGAAAGTTCTCAAATACGATTCGAGTCATACACAGACGAATAAAACAAGTCTAAGAAACAAAGAAATGTTCTATGGTATTTCCATGTTGACATCGGTCAGAGGAGCGATCGACAGATTTAATATTATTTTATCTTGATTTTTGTACTTCTCAAAGACAACGAAAGAATTGAATATTACAAACAAACATTTAAAAAAAACATGTTTGTTGACTACGGCTCTATTTTCCATTTGTTGAATGAAATAACCAAGTGAATAAATAACGTTCATCACATTCAGCTTTTTTTTTGCAAATGAACACCATAAGTGGAGTTAAGAATTAGTCATCTATCAGTGCCATCGATTCTATTGCTTGACGAGCACATACGGGAAATGTTACTAAAACATAAGACTCTTCATTCTCTGAATCGTTGACTTCATTGCTTCCGATAAGATTCTTTCTGTCACTGCAGATGTCATTCGCCACAATTCATTGTTGACTTCTTATTCTAATCTGGCAATGAATAGATTAACTTGTAACGACTCGATTTGTGCAATGTTTATTCGGTAGTTAAATTTGTCGATTCTCTCTTTAAATTGTTTTACCAACGAAATCCGTGGGAGAGAGTGTGGGTGAACAAGACGCACTCACGCACCTTCGTCAACACAATAAAAAAAAAGAACAAAAAGAAGAAGAATGCTTGAGACGATCGAACAGATGGTTCTAGAATGAAAAGAAGAAAAATATGTTGAGCAAGTTATGCCACAAGATTTCGCTATTCAGGTATCAATTGGTATAACTTTTAAGAGTAATTTCTTCTTTTCTGTCATTTAAATTACTGATCTACTATCATGTATAGTTCATTTACTGAAATGATACATCTAGGCCCTGACAGGTCGCTACAACTGTTCTAATTAATCTTGAACACGTGTAGATGTGAGGAAATATCTAAGGAGTCGATTGTGATGTTGTCGCTTTCCAATAACGATCTACCTTAGGTTCAGTCAAATGAGTGGTATTGAATGGTCGTGGTGGTGAAAAAAAGGTAGTTACGCGAGAAAAAAACTATCTTGAGCGGTTGAATAGATGAGTTTCGACTAAGTATTTCTATATTATTCTTCAAAAGTTTATCTTTCGCTCATTTGCGTATTTTACAGTACAATCCTTGCTTGTATTATAATTTGGATTCAGATCAATTTTATATTTTACTTTTCAACATTTACTACAGGAAAGAATCAACACTGTTTCTTCATTTCTTTTCGAATTTATATTAGACACTTAGTTCTTCATTCATATTTGAACTCGAAATAAGCAACTCATGTTTTTATAAGAGATCAGGTATCTTGGCTTGTATTTTAATCACGGATTAACTTTGAAAAAAGGAAAACAAAAAATGAAAATTTGTAAGTGTAAAGGTCAGATGAGAAAAAAATACATTACTGCCTAAGTATTTCGTGTAGCCTTTTATTTCTTTTGTTCCAATAACTGCATCAATTTATAAAGAAAATAAAAATAAAAGATAAGCTACTCCGCGGCGGGGAATCGAACCCCGGTTTCCCGCGTGACAGGCGGGGATACTAACCACTATACTACCGCGGACATTCTCTTTTTCGTGAAGTGAACTACACAATGCAAACTTCATTCATCAATAACAATAATATTTCAGCATTGAAGCAAAACAAAACAATGATTATGACATATATTCTTATTGTTATTTTGATGAAAGAAAAACGTTCTCCCTTGTACTCATGCGACAAAAACAATAAAAACGAAAAGAAAAACTCAAAACAAATAATCATTTATGTCATAGTCGGTTTTTTTTTGCCGTTCTTTCTGCAAACAGGCATTGCATCAGAGTAAAAATATAACAACTCCGCAGCAGGGAATCGAAAAAAATCAGTCGCATTTTACGTGCACTAGGCACGGAGTACGAAACAAAAAGATTTTCAAAAAGTGGTGATTTATAAACGAATATGTTCTACCCTGGTCTTCGGTTCGACAAACCGACATACTCAAGCCATTATACTACTGCAGACATTCGTCTCTAATACCAACCATGAAATTATTTTGTTCGATTTATGCATTTCTTCTTTCATTAACAGAATAACAATTATTTTCCAGTTGAAAAATTTTCTCAACTAGTTTATATTTAAAAGTTCACGTTGAGCTAAAAGTATTTTTTAAAACACTTAATAATCTAAGTGAGAAAGTTCTCATGGTGTTCAAGTAGATGATCTGTAGATACTCCGGCACAATCAAACTTTCATATGCTTCGCGAGAGTGTGAATGTGTATTTGGTCCAGGTACAGACAATATACAGTTATTTCTGTGTTAAAACGCATTAAATTAGCGTTTTTATCATTTTAGAGCGTGAAAATGAGTTTATTTATATAGTTTGGCCATTTTTAACATATGCAAACACCTTGATAAGAACGATAGCTTAGATTTATTTATATAGGTAGATAGAACTTGATGAGCTATATCCAATAGTGTTTAAGAATACCAATTTCGAACAAATCCGAGAGTAAATTCGAATGATGTGAGCCAACATTTTTCTACGGACAAACAGATCAATGACAGTAAACACTTACTTGAATGAATATTGACTTAAAACTACATAGTACCACTTTATTGAAGCTATGTCAAAAAAATATCTATCAACATTTTGCCTATCGCACTTTGACATAGGTAATGATCTACAAACACCAGCTATTTGAAAAGATCTCTTTTATAAACATAGTATAACAGCTGTTTACGCTATTTCTACGAAATAAAGTATGTAAAAATGTTTTTCACTTAATATAAGGACGAACGAATTCTCAATTACCAGAATTATATAAAGGTCGCATTAAATCCCTCTTTAGTATTTTGCTTATCTTATGTTAACGTCAATAAGCATCATTCTATATGGTTCTCCAAGTGTTAATAAAATCTGTCATTGCTAACACAATATCTAAGTTACTAAATATTCAATCTTCATTTGTTAGCGGTCTGGATCTATTCAATCATATGCTCGGTGAATCACAACCAGGGTTGCCACCATTTCCGCTGTGCCGCTTTTTGAAATAAAAGTTTATTTTCCATATTTCAAATTTGACATAGAAGAAAGCCTGTTCTTATTGAATAAATCGTGGCCATTGACATGCACAGTTTGCCATCATTCTTACTGATTGATCTGTTAACTCAGTCTAACAGCATTAAAAGATTTTCTACCGAACAGAGGCTCTGCTATCAATTCCTGTTCGTGAAATAAAAGCACTATTATACTTTATATTAATAGTTAACTCTGTTTATCCACTTTTTTGCGTGCTTAATTTACAAAGAAAATTTCAAATCCGAGACTCTAAACAACTTTTCTTTCTGATCAATCGATAGTGCGATAATAAATCAAGATGAAAATAATCATGGAAATGTGATAACAACAACAACAACAACAAGAATAATGCTATAATCAGATGAAAATAAAAATGTGACAGCCACAGCATATGCTTTTGAAAAGAAGAAAAAAGATGTGAATGCGAGTGGGTTTGGTTGTGTTTAGATATTCTCTTCACAGACATTCTACCCACACTCCAAAATCACTATGTCTCGCCAATCCACAAACTGATGAATGTTTGTTTACACAGATGTCCTCGAAAATCAGATCTAAAGTATATTTATTAACATATGCAATCAAAAAAATTCTTTTTTTCATTTTACTTCTATGTTATTTTATTCTTCCTGATTTATTACAAATAACAATTTTGTTTTTACTCTAGAACGAACACAAGTAAATCAATCCTTGTTGATAAAGATCACCAACGCACTTACGATAGGCACATTTATGCATTTCTTATTCTGTAAAATGATATTGGCAATTGTCATGCTATGTTCAGATCATCGTATGAACATATATTTATTTCTGGAATGGTTAGTCTCATATGTATAAAAAAAAAAGCAAGAACAATAGGTCATTCCAATTTTAAAAATGCCTGGTTAGTTAATAGAAATATAAAGAAAAAACGGCAACGTATATACAATGACAGTGACATTAACACATTTTTATCAGAGTTTCTACATGATCTGTGCCATAACATGCAATGGCAATGTCCATCCAACTGTCTTCATTCAAATCTTTGACTGCAATCGAATATGGACGATATCCATAGCCTAGAGCATAGAAAGTTTCGTTTCCAAAAAGTCCATTTCCATATCCATAAAGTAGAAAAATATTGTTAACGCCAGAATTCGCAATGGCAATATCCGGTATATTATCATTATTAAAATCACCTACGGCTACTGTGTATGGCCGAGAACCAGCTCCAGTTGAGTATGTTGCTCCAATTACAAACGTTCCATTACCATTACCGAGCAGAATAGCAATATTGTCGGTTTTAGAATTAGTAACAACGATATCCAATTGATTGTCGTTGTTGAAATCAGCTAAAGAAACAGAATATGGAGCTGAACCAACTCCAGTTGAATATGTTGTAATTGGGCCAAAAACTCCATTATCGTGTCCAAGTAAAATACCTACGTTGTCCGTACCATAGTTAGCTACGATAATATCTGATAGGCCATCGTTATTCAGATCACCAGTAGCCACTGAGTGTGGTTGCGATCCAAAACCCATACTATATAATGTTATGCCGGCATAAAGTTGCTTGCCATAGTCAAGAAAAATACTTATATCGCCCGATCTTTCATTTACGACAGCAATATCTAACCGAGTATCATTGTTAAAATCACCAATAGCTAACGCATATGGGGCGGATCCTATACCAGTGCGATATGCGGCCCCTAGTATAAATTTTCCATCTCCATATCCGAAAAGAACAACAATATTGCTAGTTCCATAATTAGCGACAGCGATATCTAATATATCATCATTATTAAAATCACGAGCTTCAAGAAATTGTGGAATAGAGCCATCTCCGGTGAAAAATGTCGCGGCAGGAGCAAAAGTACCATTTCCATATCCAAGGAAAATGACGACATTATTTTTATTAAAATTACTAGTAGCGATATCAAGTCGATTGTCTCTATTGAAATCTCCAACAGTTATCCAAGACGGCCAAGATTGATAACCCGTTGAATAACTCATTTGAGTTGTAAAACTTCCATTTTCATAACCTAAAAAAATATTGATATTGCTAGCATGATAATTAGCTACAACGATATCTATTTGACCATCATTGTCAAAATCACCAGCAGCAACACATAATGGATGCAAACCATTTTCAGTTGGATACGTAAGTAAGGTATTAAAAGTCAAATTACCAAGTCCAAGTAAAATACCTATATTCTTAGCAGCATAATTGACCACGACAATATCTATTCGGCCATCATTGTTTATATCGGTTAAGGCAATCGCAACCGGAGCAGAATCACTACCAGTTGAATATCTTATCATGTTAGCGAAACTTCCATTACCATATCCGACAAGGATACCTATGTCATTAGTACCTGAATTAGCGACAACAATATCCAATTGCCCATCATTATTAAAATCATGAGCAGCCAATGATTCAGGTAGTGAACCATTTCCAGTCGAATAAGTCATCATAACACCAAAACTTCCGTTACCATATCCAAGAAGAACACCTATGTTATCACTCAAAGAAAAAGTAACGGCAATATCTAGATATGTGTCATTATTGAAGTCATTAGTGATGATATTATGTGGTCTTCGATTATTATCACTAGAATAAGTCGTTGGACTTTGAAATGTTGTATAATGAAATCCAAGAAGTACACCTATACTATCTGTACCTGCATTAGCAATGATTGCATCTGATAGATTGTCGTTATTGACATCATCAAAAGCTACTGCCAATGGATATGAATCTTCTCCAGTTGAATACACCCTTGGGATATCAAAAGTTCCGTTGCCATGCCCTGCAAGTGCGCTAATACTATTATTATTTGAATTAACAATAACTATATCTAAATAATTATCTTTATTGACATCATAAGCGATAACAAATCGTGGAGACAAATCAGCACCGATAGGATACGTTATTTGCGTTACAAATGTACCGTTACCCGAGTTGAAAAGTATATCTAAATTATCAGTTCCTGAATTGACGATGGCTATATCTACGTAACTATCATCATTGAAATTACCAACAGTTATAGAATACGGTTGTGGAGCCGAACCAGTTGAATATGTTTTTCGATTTGAAAATTCTGCTGCAGCATATTCAGTGAAAATACCAATATTTCCTGTGCCCCAGAGAGTAACAACAATATCTCTTTGTGTTTTGTTTTGCAGCTGGACAGTGGTGATGGCATACGGCTTCGAACCAAAACCAGTAGAATATCTCCTTGCAAGTTGGAAACTGCCATTGCCATATCCATAAAAGATGATTATTTCGTCATTGACAGCATCAGTCACGACGAAGTCATGTTGATGATCGTTATTGAAATCAGCAATAGCCACGTAGTAAAGGGCTGAAGTAGAACTAGTCGAATAGGTTGCGATCTCTTGAAAAGCTCCATTTCCATATCCAAGAAAAACACTTATAAAACCTCCGTCTATAGTAGAGACAACAAGATCCAGGTGATTATCATTATTCAAATCAACGAGACAGACGGCAGCTGGACCAGAAAAAATACCAACAGAATAGGTTGTTGCATCAAGAAAAGTCCCATCACCATGCCCAAGAAGAACACCCACGTTGTTAGAGGCGTAATCCGTGATAACAACATCCAACCGATTATCATTATTGACATCGCCAACAGCAACTGATATCGGCTCAACAATAATATCAGTAGAGTATGTTGTCACGTTAGCAAATGTCCCATCGCCATATCCAAGATAAATACCTAATCCACCAGATCCATGATTTGCAGTGACAATATCTAATTGACTATCATTATTAAAGTCTCCAACAGCTACTGACCAAGGTTTAGAACCGTGATTCATGAAGTAAATTGTCACATTAGAAAAAGTTCCATTGTCTTGTGCAAGAAGAATACCTATACTATCAGACCCATAATTAGCCGTAACAATATCCATTCGATTGTCGTTGTTAAAATCACCAATACCTAAATCCTTTGGAGCTGATTTACTTCCCGTCGAAAATATTGTTGCTTGTTTAAAAGTTCCATCATCATTACCAGTTAGTAAAAGTAAGCTATCATCGTCAAAATTATTAACCAATACATCTAATTGATCATCATTATTAAAATCATAAATAGCGACTGCAGACGACCGTGAATCTTTTCCAACAAAATAACTCGTTTGTCTTAATGATGATTTCACAAAATACTGACTAAGTATAAGTACCTCATCAGTATTATAGTTGGCTATAACAATATCTGACTGATTGTCATTATTAAAGTCTGTCACAACGACACAGAATGGACGAGATCCATTTATGCCATCATATGTAGTTGTTGTAGCAAATGTTCTATTATCATATTGCAGAAGAATATGTACTTGGTTGTTTTCTGGATCAACAACAACAACATCTAATTGATTGTCCCTATCAAAATAACCAACAGCACTATAATATGGACGACAATTGGAGCTTATTGAGAACGTACTTTGTGCTGCAAATGTACCATTCTCCAAGCCAAGAAATATACCAATCTTGCCAGTACCATAATGTGTAACTATAATATCGAGATAATTATCATTATTTAAGTCTCCAACAGTGATAGACGATGGATTCGAATTTAGAGTAGTTGTATAAATTGTTTGGCTTGCAAATGTTCCATTACCATATCCAAGAAAAATACCGATGTTATTAGTACCATAATTAGCCACAGCAATATCCAGTTGATTATCTTTGTTGAAGTCACCAACTGCTAATGCATATGGAAGAGAATCATAACCCGTAGGATAAGTTGTTTGATCTTGAAAAGATCCATTACCATTTCCAAGAAGAATGCCAACAGTATTAGTACCATAGTTAGCTACAGCAATATCCATTTGATTATCATTATTGAAATCACCAATAGTAATAAAAAATGGACGAGAAGAACCAAGTGAAACTACTTTTTGATTAGCAAACGTTCCATTTTTATAGCCTAAAAATATTCCGATATTATTGGTACCATAATTAGCGACTGCGATATCTAAATTTTTGTCATTATTAAAATCATTAACAACAAGCGAATAAGGACTAGACGTGAATCCAGTTGAATAGATTTTTTGATTTGTAAAAGTTGCATTATCTTGTGCAAGAAATATTCCAATAGTATTTCTACCAGAATTCGCTACAACAATATCCATTTGATGATCATTATTAAAATCACCGACAGCGACAGATCGTGGTTGTGAACTAGATACGATTGAACTTTCCATCATTCGTTTGAAGGTAAAGTCACACGTTTCATCTAACAAATACACAATTTTAAGTGAATTAAACATCAGTGATCGATCTTCATCTATTTATCAATTATATTGTTTCATTAATAGAAAAGTTCAATGAAAACGAACAACATAAACATTTTGATGCTAGTTTATAGAATCAAATAAATTCTATAATTATTTGGTTCTTTCATTTGAAAGAAATGATGATTCCAGTTGAGAGTCAATAGAAGGCACACACATATTTTCTAGATTTATTAAGTGATCTCTTGGTCACAATAGATTTACTACTAAGAATGGTCCATTTGGGCTGAAACTTATGTGAACCCGCTCATGCCGTCTATATTATCCACATAGACTGTTTTGCCTATTTTTTGAGTTTGATTATTCATTAGAAATGAAACCACAAAAACAGTCATCAGTTAGAAGACTTCACCAATAGGAAAAAGAGTGGCGCTATGTGACAACAATATACCGTGGCATATTGAAAACGGCTTTTCAGTAGCAATCGATCTCGTCAAGATAGAAAATATTAATTTGATAGAAAAGCTATAAAACACTTAATGAAAAAAACGTAAAGTGTTCGAACCATTGGTTCTTTAATAAGCTGCTGGTAACCGTTAAGTTGAATAGAAAATTGACGACATGGGAAGTTTCTAGTGAAGATTTCGGCTCCATACGTCAAACTAGTCCAGACTTCGGACTTATTATTAGTCCATTTATCACATTCAACAGAATTACGATAACTCTGTTACTACAAAAGCTACAGAACATAGACCGATGTCAAATATAGAGCCAATACCTCTGCACAGTTTTTTTTTTGAATAGAATTTTGAATTTCGCTTACAGTTATTTTTTATAATCAATTTAGCACACATAATCTTGAAAGAAGAAAAAACCTGACTTCACGATACTAAGCCTCACTTTTTCCAACACAGCAATCAAATAAAAGGTCTGGTCGGGCAAGTTTACTCTTATTTAGACCTTTAAAACAAAACAAAAAAGGGATATTGATTATTTCTTGAACCGGGCAAAAGGAGTTTCAATATTTCTTACTGAAAATCATGTTCTAAGAAAAACGATTAATAAATTTTGACATGGAGGTTTTCATTGAAATTCAGAAAAAAAACCCATAACAGCATATTCAAAATGTATTTAAGAGAAATTTTCAAAAACACGTAGCAGATTATGTAAGCTAGCGTCATCTGTTGCACTTAAATAACATAAGAATGTGTATATATTCAATGCTGATGCAAATACAAAGGCTGTATTTGCAAAAGGAAAAAACTTTAAGAAGCTCCAAAACTTTCTCGGAAAACGGTGATAGGATTGAAATTTCTTTCAAAAATATGTTAAAATTGAACCTTTTTTTCGAAAACTCGTGGATATTCTGAGAGAGAAAACTTCGCTGCATATTCCTATGACGAAAACATAACTTCGAGTTTTTTTCAAGAAAATGAGCTTTTTACGAAGGCCCTTTAACATTGTTCAAAATCATTGATAAAGTTTTGATAATAAAACCCAGTGATGATATTTATTGTCGTATGAAAAGTTCATTGAATAAACAGTTCAAAGTAAATTTTGACTGAAACTAAAAATGATTTTTATTTATGACATATTTAAGACAAAGAATCTTTTTGTTTTCAAGCTTAATAGACATGTCAATAATCACATCATTTATCAAAATAAAAAATAAAAAACATACTTGATTTGGGTGAAGTAAAACAAACTATCAATGTTCCAATAATAATTACTATGCTGGTGAATATTCCAAAAAAACAAATATGCGTGGCAGTTAATCTTGTGTACAAGAAAGATGTTATTCTGTCAAAGAAGAAATTTTGATCTGAATAAAATTAACAGTATCAATTAAAATACATACTGTGGTTCGACGATTTCGTTCAAGTGTTTCTGATTATTAATATAGTCCAATTTAGCTGTCTCATGAGACACGTTTGGTTTTTTAATCAATTCATCAGTACGATGTTCGACCGATGAGGGTTGAATAGCCATACAATCTACGTGAATCTTTAGTGAAGAAAATCAACAAAGAAATTAATCATAAAATAACTGATGAATAAAATCGAATCATAAAAAAGACTTTCGATATAATAATGTTGCCTTACTAAAAAACTAAGTCATTAAAAAATTAAATATATTTTTTCAATTATATGAACATCTGAAAGTTAACACACTTATCTGACGAGTGAATCTTTTCAGATGATAAAAAGCTTTCGAAATTAAATTTGTATTATCAAGTAAGGTCTACATAGAGTGAACAAAATCTATAATGATTTTTTTCCCTTGTTACGTTCTTCCTAAGTTATGGACATTTGTTGAGTTTTTTTTTGACTTAGTGCATAATACATCAAGAAAAAGTTCATGCCAAAATTGTGATCTAAAATTTTTTTTCCATAAAGAGATCTTATGACTTCGTATCATAGACCGAAAATTTCAACCAGGATGAACGTTTTCTTCCGAGAATAAAAAAATTTACAGAAGACCTGAATTTTTTGCTAAAATATGCATATTGTTTGAGAATCCGTTATTGTAAGAACAAAACATTTGTCATAGCTGAAATTTTCGGTATATAAAAGAGTTCATAAGATGTCTGTATGAAAGAACTTTTGGATCAAAATTGAAACATAAATTTTTTCTTCATTTATCATGTATTAAATCATAAATTCAGAAAATTAGTTATAGGTTGAAAAGAAATCAATAAGGGAATAGTGATTATTCGTGTTTTTTACTTTCTTTCAATCGAATCTATGTAATGACCCAAATCTCGTTTCAAAGAGTCTTTCATTATTTGAAGACGTTTTCCTCGTTAGTAACAAATTCACAGTCAATCATCTTTTGTTATTAGAGGAAAGTTTGATCAATTAAAATAAATTAACTTATCTACAATAAATGAATAACTAATGACTCTTAAATTATAAATTCTTTTTTTTTTTCTTATGCTAGTTCTGTGACTTCTTTTTTGTAATTTATGTTTTCTATTAAGATCAATTATTAGGAGTAAGTAAAATTATTTTTGATATCATTGAAGTGTGAGTTGAGTCGAACAACCAAATATTTTTCAAAGCATAACAAAACATTCCGATAAACTTATAGTTTTAAGATGAAATATCCGTGATAATTCTTCTAAGATAAACACCTTAATGATTGAAGAGAAGAGAAAAATAACGCTCAATTAAATGTCGAAGTACAAATGAAAATTCCAACTAGATTTACAATATATAATTAGAATCATATTTAAAAAGATTTATTCTAGGAACATTTCTTTCTTAGAACGATGTATAAAAACTATACACTTGTTATTATCTGCTATAATTTTATGCTATATAAGAATAAAAAATGTATAATTATGTTTGTGATTATTTCGAAAACATTAGTTATTCATATTAACTGTTTTGTTTTTCAATAATTTATCTTTTTTATTTAACTCTTTGAGATCTGTAAAAAATCACTTGAATTTTGTTTTTTTTTAAATTAGAAGAAATTATCATATACCTTTTTATTGTATATCTTGTCTTTCACTGGTCAATGAGTGTGTATTGATTCGATTTCTTATGTTATTTGATTTATGAATATAAAACACGATTTGATTTTTGTATTAAATGCATGCTATGCTTGACTAGCGCTTGTTTATTTTAGTTTTTATTATTATTAACGCGTAGTACTACTTTTTATGATTGCTATATTTGCATATGATAGGCTACCTTTGTTTTAATGGACAGAATGAGCAGAAAAGGTAAATTGCAGGCAATTATTATCGAATTAAAAGGAAAGAAAATGATATTGTCAACGTAGGACTCTGTTTGTTTCTAATGTCATTTATTACACGTTAGTATATACCGAAGAATTTTTACTTTGCTTAGATTCATCGTTAATCCTTAATGTTTGCCCTAAGGTGCAAGTCTAAAATCCTGTCTATTTTATTTTATTTCAATTAAGGTCCCGACATACGTTCAGGTGCACTATTTTTCATAACTGTATGGCATACTATCACGAAAATGAGATCTTTCTTTATTCTTTTCTATCTACAGAAAATTTTCTTCATAACGGATGTGGATAAGATGTATGGATCTACTCTTGACGCACATCCCACCTTCGCTGTGTCATTAGAAGAGTCCATATTTCGAAATGAAACTAGGACATTGTGATACGTAGTAGACTTGTTGCCTGGATTATCGTCGAGCATAGATAGGCGTGAGCTTGGTCTTTGTTCATTGTTAAATTGTTGTCGGCCAAGAGTATTTCTCATCTTGGACCGTTGAATCTTGTTCAAATGTTGCCATTAACATTATTAAATTCTTTTGCAATTCAATTGATGATTTCTAATAGCACTATGGACTTCTTGTACAGATCGTCATATTTTTATTACATGATTTGACGCCATTCAAGTCCTAAGGTCAGGCTAGGTACGAGTCGGTGACACATTATTACTGATAATGGTAGACTGCGATAAAATTTCTGGTCGAAACATCAATTATTTCAATCTGTGGATGGGTTGGTGAAAAGAAGATTCATCGCTACATACACCTGTCAACAAGATGGTTTATCCACACAATAGTGATAATCAAACGACTTCTGAACTAGTGTTCTCATGGCTTTTTTTCTTTTGCTTTAGTTTTGTCTTCATCATAACTATTGAACATTTTCTGTGGAGTAAAGGGTTTATACCATTTCTGAAATTTGTATACTCAGCCAGTGAAAAACAGACTAACTTCTCGTCTTGCACAAGGACAGCTGTGAGCAATTTTCATCCGCATGTTCGAGTAGTGTTTGTAGATGATAGACACTTGTCTTCTCTGAACCAGGGTGTCCATACTGTACAATGATCAATATATAGTGATGCCAATCACAAAACAGTTATATCAATAAATCTCTAGCTGTAGTTTAGTCAGACTCGAATGGTAATCAATGTAGCAAGAAGAGCCAAGAGCTTGATGTTGAATGTCAAACCTTTTTCAAAACTCATTTTTTGCGTT